TTGAACTACGAAGTGAACGCAAACAAATGTAGTATGACTGGCCGTTTATATTGTTTATTGTTGTTGTAGAAAGCGGTATTTTTTCAGACAAATATTATTTTTAATTTCTCTTCAACCAAACATTTAACTTATTTCAGTTCCAATCATGGTTGTACGAGAACCAAATTGCTATTGGTGAATCGTTCTCCACTGGCGTAAGAGTTGTCAATACAGCTGTAAACAATCTCCGATGGGGCAACAACGTAGCAGCTGAAATTTACTCAGAGCTCCAAAGCAGAAGTTCAGCCACTTCCGTGATGACGTCCTTATTCGTTGTTATGTTGGTAGTAACGGCTAAATTTGTATTTTAATAATAAATAGATAAAATAATATCGCTAAATAATGAAGTTTTTATGGCACCTTGTAATTATAACAACACACTTGGCTTTGCTTTGATTTTATGTCTATTAATAGCATAAAGCAATTTAATAGTAGGTTTAAGTAATATGTCTAGTATTAATGTATCAGCCCCCTCCGACTCGTTAAGTAAAATATACGCGAATCATCCTAGCTTATTGTTAAGTATTGAATATTCTGAAATATCTTTTTTGCAAACGAGAGGTAACATAAAACTAAATTTTTATAAAGCTGACTGAGTGTGTCTGTTATAAAGGATCTGAAAACTATTGATTGGGATGATAGCCTATGCGCTCATGATATTATTAATGATATGGTATCTGCAAAATTCCTAACACTACTATAAATAAATTTGTTCCTAAAACGTCCATCATGAAATCTAAATATCCGGTGTGATTCAGTTCCTCCTTAATAAAATTACTTGCTGAAAAAGAAAAAACACGTAAGAGGTATCGAATATACAAGAATCCTCGAGACGAAATAGAGTATCACATTATTAGAAAACGTTGTCACAAACTTTATGATGATTGCTACACTATTTCGCTTATATTAAGCGAAATATTGAGGCAAGTATTCCTAATAATCCTAAATGTTTTTGGAGTTTTATAAAAAATAAGAAAGGTGGTCACTCTCCACTTTCCTTTTGCATGAAAATGGACAATGTGGCCCAGTCATCACCTGATATTGCTAATCTTTTTTCATATCTATTTCATCTGTGTATACTTGTGATGAATCACTTGTTGGCAGTTCCACTCCAGATGATATTGGCAATGTTGATGGCCTATTGTCCCTTTAGCTTTAGTGAAGATGAAATATCTAAGAAAATAAGGACTTCGATGAAAACGTTGTCACAAACTTTATGATGATTGCTACACTATTTCGCTTATATTAAGCGAAATATTGAGGCAAGTATTCCTAATAATCCTAAATGTTTTTGGAGTTTTATAAAAAATAAGAAAGGTGGTCACTCTCCACTTTCCTTTTGCATGAAAATGGACAATGTGGCCCAGTCATCACCTGATATTGCTAATCTTTTTTCATATCTATTTCATCTGTGTATACTTGTGATGAATCACTTGTTGGCAGTTCCACTCCAGATGATATTGGCAATGTTGATGGCCTATTGTCCCTTTAGCTTTAGTGAAGATGAAATATCTAAGAAAATAAGGACTTCATAGTAATAAAGAAGCTGGGCCAGACTCAAATCCTCCTATCTTTGTAAAACGATGTAGATTTGTATTATCTTTGCCCCTAACTATTTTTTATAGTAGATCTCTTAAAGATGGTGTTTTTCCTGAAGTATGGAAATAGGTCTCAAAAAATTACCGTCCTATTTGTATTTTATCTTGTTTTTCCAAGCTCTTTGAGTCTGTCCTGTATCCCATAATCTCCAAATGTGAAGACGGCTGTATCATTGATGAGCAACATGGTTTCAGAAGAGGCCGTTCAATTCAAACGAACCTCATATCTTTTGGGACTGAAACCACCAGATTGATGCAATATATACTGACTTTAGCAATGATTTTGACAAAGTCAGTCACGCTTTACTGATCCAAATGCTATGTGGTTATGGAATAGGAGGAAATTAACTGAACTGGTTTAAATCATATCTTCGTAACAGGCCTCAGTCAGTAGTTGTTGGAAGCGCTGAGTCTACTCCCTACATTGCGCGATCTGGTGTTCTCCAAGGATCCCATTTGGGGCCGTTGCTATTCTTATTATTTTTCAACGACGTTAGGAATCATATAAAGCCTATAAAGCGTCTCTCTTCGCTGATGATTTAAAAATGTATAAAGTTATTAACTCTGTCTGTGATGCTGCTCTAGTTGGTGCTTATTAAATGGTTTAATCCTCAATAAAAACAAGTGCTTTCATATTAAATACACAAAAAGAAAAAACCACTCATTACTGTGTATGAGCTTGACGGCGCGCCATTGAAGGAGGTTCAGGAGATTCGTAACTTGGGTGTAATTATTGACAAAAAATTAACGTTTATATCTCAGGTTAATAAAGTAGTCACCACATCCACACGAATGCTCGGATTTCTTAAACGGAATGCAGATTGTTTTGGTTGTACGACTAAAACAATTTTGTATAACGCTCTGGTGCGTAGTCATGTTGAATATGGCAGTATTATAATATGGAATCCACTATATGCGATCCATTCACAACGCGTAAATACGTTTAGAATTGTTAAACATATTTTATTTTATATACAAAAACCGGGAAAGTGTACCCTACACGCGGCATTTCCCGGCGCGTTGGATATATTTTTTTTTAATTTGGAAATTAACTTGGTCAGGGGTTATTCAGCCTTGTAAATGTGAAAGAAGTTTGTAATTCTAAAATAAGTCTCGTATTAATTTAATTTAATAAATTAAGTTAATTTGTTACAAACAAAAGTTGTAACAATCTAGTAAAAGGTTTTTCTTTTTATTAGAATTGATTATATTTTTAACGTTATAACTAACAATAGTGACAGTAAAAAAATAAATTAACATACTACCCTGAAAATATACTAATATTAAATATACTAATAATATATATTAATATTTTAAAGATTTGGTCATAAGATTCTGATAAGGTCCTTGTGGTTTATTGTTTATCAGAATGCCAAACCGTAAAATGACTGGTAGGAGCGCGACCGCCGCTGTAAAAATCGCTGTGTGAGTTCGAAAAGTGAGTTACAGAATCGCAAGGCTGGCATAAGAAGAAGCTTTATTCTGATTATTTAAATTCATAACAAAAATATGCAATATTTTGCTGAATTGATAGTTGCTGGATCTCACGGTCTTAATAGGCTCTCTAATAAATTATTAATAATTCTAATTATTTATATACGAGTATTATATTGTAACAAAATATTTTTAGCGCATATAAGAGATTGTGTGTAAAAATGATCCTAATCGGTTGTTTTACGAAGGTACATTATATTATCATACAAACTCGTGGACTTCATACATGTAACCAGTGATAAATGCCATTTGCTAACTCTTGATCCGATCTCTAGAATTCGACCCCTTATTCCTTATCTATCGTAGATAATAATAATTTCTTAAATCGCTAACCTTTATTACCTAAAGATTATATTTATTGCTGAAAGATTGTTGCCAAAGATTATCTTAAGTTGTGAAGTCCAAAAGGCGATCCAGGGGCTTAGCGTATGCTTTCACGATATTTAATTATCAAATGGATAGATTTAATTCATGACGTTGAATTGTGTTTATTGCTTATTAATTGGGATATAGTTTTACACAAAACAAGTTGTATGCCTCGACTATGTTGTTGACACCGTATTTTAGTGCTCAACGCACAGTGCATGTACCATGGATGATGTCCCCGTGAAATATAAATTTGAAACACTTTTACTTGTTATATTCATAAAATTGAAATAGAAACAGGAAATAAGTCTGCCTTAAGCCACTTCAAGGGGAGAAGGTGTAGAGATATACTCGTAGGCATAATTTTAGTGTGCTTTTACCGTCTCCCTTCTTTTTTATCTATATTGTGTGACTGTCCTTGCTTTCAATGTACGTAAATAACCATTGGCGCTACAACTTTTTAGATCAACGCCTGAGATTTTATTTCTGTTTCGTAATCATATTTTGCTTTTTTTAACAGGCAAGTAGCACGCGTCGACTTTTTGGGTCTAAGCATGCATGTTGTTTTCTTTACAGCTTAAGTGAGTGTTAAATGCGCACATATACAGAAGACCGTTGGTGCACAGCCGGGTCTCGAACTTACAACCTAATGCATGTAGTGAAAATAGTTATAGTACCCAGTATTAAGTAAGTTAAAGTATAAATCTAAATTACTTACTCTACAGTAGCATCACAAATATTTAAAAGATTAGTTAGCCATCGCATACAGCGATTTTATCTGAAGTAATTATATCAATAAAATAATTTATATCTGATTATCTAAAATGTATTATAAATTTTAAGATGTTTATCGAAACATATAAAAACACTCATTTTATCATTAACACACACATATTAAGGACACTTTCGGTATGTATTTATTTAAAGTTTTCATAATTTAGTTAAAGATTATATTTTTGAGTTCCACGGTGTATTTGGTAAATTTACAAATGATCTTTTGACATTTATAATGCATTAAATTGTTGTATTTAATTTCTTGGTAAAAACATAATAAAATCCGAATTTGTTAATATAGGCCTAGTTAAATTATATATATATATATATAATAAGTAAACTCCCTCCCGCGGCACAAACGAATATTGTAATTTGTTCCCCGGGTATGAGAGGTGGGAAGTATTAGCCAGGGAAGATATCTGACTCTCGGTAAGAAAGAGCAAGGCCGGATTCCGGTCTCCAAGTGGTATAGCATAGTCTCTCTTTATTCTGCACCTTCTTATTAATTCTTGAACGATGGGCTCCGGGAATCTCACTGTACGCCTGTACGCGCGAGTACAATAAGGCGCACGCATTTCAACACTTTACGGCGTGTGAGTTAATTTATAACGAAAGAGTTTGATTGTGATGAGATGTTATATCATGACGTATCATGTCCCATATCAACGAGTGTAGGACTACAGACACTGTGCCCTGTTCGGAGTTTCATAAGAAAAATCTATTTCAGAAATGTTCCTCAAAACGGGGCTTGTATTGGCCCTATTAGCTCTAACCAGATCAGAAAAATTAACATTGGCTGATATAGACGATTCTATGACAATTGAAGAAGAAATATTAGTGAGATCTCATGATGAAATCTACAGACTACCGACAACCGTGAAACCCATATCATATGATATTTTTATAGATTTTTATTTTGCTGAGAAGACTGACAATCCTTTTTCATATAACGGAAGAGAAAATATAATTATACAAGTAAGTATTTTACAATATATCTAAAATAGGTAGTAGAAAAATGCTTTCGCGGGGAAATTCTTGTCTGCAGATGGGACATTAAATTAATAGAACCTTTTTGAACCAGTAAATACACATGCATTGCATAAAAAGTAACCGTTTCGATATGCAAAGCAAAATAATCGTGTAGCCTACAATTAGCCTTAAATCACTAACATGTCCTGAATCGCGCTAACAAAGTTATTCTGACTCATTGATATACAAAAAACCCAAGATGCACAGTCTCGAATAAAAGTAACGCTCGAAACTGTCCCGAAACACTATTTCTGTCTCTTTCTATAAGTTACAAGCATATATTATTGCAAAATCAACCTTACGCGAATTGTTTAAAGTTGTTATTACAACGCAGTGTACTTAAAGCAATAAAATTTTACGACCGACCGTGGTCGGTAGGACAAGGTATTGAGTGGAGTCGAACATGACGTCGACGTTTTTTGGCGTCGGGACGTGACGACCCCATCGCCCACTGGTGAAATAACCTGTGACAGAGGTTATTTCATCAGCGCAATCAGTCAACCCCTTCCTAGTGGGAGTGCCATGCTGTTGCCTTCGGGCTTCAGCCAAATGGGCAGGCACGACCGGGGCAGTACCACTGTCTCTCAGAAAACCGGCGTGAAGTGAGGCAATAGGTTCGCCTTATTGTACTCGCGTTTCGTACGGTGAGGGAGACTCCCGGAGCCCATCCCCCCCATATGAAATATGAAGGTGCAGAACAAACAGAATCTACCCCAGGGGGGTACCACACGCGAACGCGGTGGAGAATCCCCTCTGAGCGTCCAACACTGGGACACTCAGCACCCGGTGGTGGACGCACAGGCTGCCCTTCGTATTCTGGGGGCGCAATTCTGCGCTCGGTAAAAAAAACATTAATCGTTCTCGGGGCAAACGGAGCAATTCAACTAAGGCACCCCCGTCCACACTCGCCGTGGACTTCACAAATGTTAGGGGGCTCCAATCAATAATCACAACAAAAACAATAATCAACGCTGTCCACTACCACTTAGAGACTGCGAAGCCGGCCTTGCTCTTTCTTACCGGGACTCAGATATCCCCCCCGGCTGATACTTCCTACCTCTCCTACCCGGGGTACAAATTGGAACATTCATTTGTGCCGCGGGCGGGAGTTTGCGTGTACGTCAGAGAGGATATCTGTTCTCGTCGCCTCGGGACGCTTGAAGGAAGGGACCTATCTAACCTCTGGCTGCGCGTAGACTGCGATGACCATCCGCGATTCTACGCATGCCTGTATAGGTCCCATAGCGGAAATACCGAAACTGACCGACTCATTGAGCACATCCAAATGGCTACAGATTCCCTGCTCGAAAGGGTTCCTACCGCTGAAATCGTGATACTTGGCGATTTTAACGCCCACCATGCCGATTGGCTCGGCTCAGAAACCACCGCTCATGCGGGAAGATCCTTTCACGACTTTGCTTTGGCTTACGACTTGACGCAAATGGTCCCTGCGATTACGCGAATACCAGATGTGGATGGTCATAAACCCTCTTTGTTGGACCTTCTGCTGACTTCACATCCGGAGAACTACCAAGTCTCTGTTGAACCGCCATTGGGTTCATCAGATCATTGTGTGGTCCGGAGCATTGTGCCGTTCACGCGCCCTCTTCGGCCTAGCTTCACGGGCTGTCGCCGCGTGTGGCACTATAAGTCAGTAGATTGGGATGGGATGCGGTCTTTTTTGCGTCCTACCCTTGGGGGCCCATTTGCTTTTCGTCGAGTACTCCAGATGCCGTCACTGACTCTGTCGCCGAGGTGGTCCTGCAGGGTATGGAACTTTTTATTCCATTCTCAGCGGTGCCGGTCGGTGGCAAGTCCCAGCCTTGGTTTAGGCGTTCTTGCAAAGCGGCTTTGCGCCGTAAGCGTGAATGCTTTAAAGCCTGGGCAGAAGCGGTGACATCCTGTGATGTGACTATCGGCGAACGTAAAAAAGCATACAATTCAGTCTCCAGGTCCTTCAAGCGAGAAATCGCTAAAGCAAAGTCAGAGCACATTGCCAGATTTGGTGAGAAATTGGCCCACCTCCCTTCGGGAACTCGAGCCTTCTGGTCTCTTGCCAAAGCTGTCCAAGGGAATTTCTGTCAGCCCTCAATTCCACCACTGCATAGGGAGGATGACTCACTGGCCCATACCGCGAAAGAGAAGGCCGATCTTCTAGGCTGTCTCTTTGCGTCGAACTCCACTTTGGATGATCAAGGGAATGAACCACCGACATTATTGCGGTGTTATACTACGATGCCCGAAGTTATATTCCGGCAACGTGCTATCCGTAAAGCTTTGTCTTCCTTGGACATCCATAAGTCGAGCGGGCCCGATGGCATCCCTCCAATTGTGCTGCGTACTTGTGCTCCTGAGTTGGCTCCGGTTCTAACGCGCCTTTTCCGGTACCTTTACACGCTCGGCACTGTTCCGAAGTGCTGGAAGATCGCTTCGATACATCCGATCCCTAAAAAAGGCGATCGCTCTGATCCGTCCAACTATCGCCCAATAGCTATAACCTCCTTGTTCTCCAAAATAATGGAAACCATTATTAACAGCCAGCTCCTGAGGTATCTAGAGGGCCACCAGCTGATTAGCGATTCTCAGTACGGCTTTCGTCGTGGTCGCTCAGCTGGTGACCTCCTTGTATACCTTACACATAGGTGGGCAGAGGCAATTGAGTCCAAGGGGAGGCGCTGGCGGTAAGTTTGGACATAGCGAAAGCCTTCGATCGGGTGTGGCACAGAGCACTGCTCTCGAAGCTTCCAGCCTATGGGCTCCCTGAGAAATTATGCAACTGGATTTCCAGCTTTCTCGCTGATCGGAGCATCAAAGTCGTCATCGACGGAGCATGCTCCGACCTGAAACCTGTGAATGCTGGTGTCCCACAAGGCTGTGTCCTATCCCCGACCCTGTTTATTCTGCATATCAATGATATGTTGCAGCTTAGCAACATTCATTGCTATGCGGACGACAGCACTGGGGATACTTTTTACACTGGCCGGGCAGGTATTTCTCGGGCTGTTGTCGATGAGTACCGGAACAAACTTGTGTCTGAAGTCGAAACTCTTCTACGTGGAGTCTCGGACTGGGGTAGACTAAATCTAGTCCAATTTAACCCCAAGAAGACACAAGTTTGCGCGTTTTCCGCTAAAAAAACTCCCTTTGTCGCTACTCCCCTCTTTGAAGACACTCTCCTTAAAGCCTCAGCTAGCATCGGAATACTGGGCGTTGACATATCGAATAACGTTCAGTTTCGCGGTCATCTGGAAGGAAAGGCTAAATTAGCCTCCAATAAGCTTGGTGTGCTCAGCAAGGCGAGACGGTACTTCACTCCGGGCCACCGCTTGCAACTATATAAAGCGCAAATTCGGCCCCATATGGAGTACTGCTCTCACCTCTGGGCGGGAGCTCCCCAGTACCAGCTCCTTCCACTTGACCGTATTCAACGAAGAGCGGTTCGAATCGTCGACGACCAGTCACTTTCCGTGCGGCTTGATCCCTTGGCGTTGCGTAGAGATGTGGGATCTCTCTGCATCTTCTACCGCATTTACCATGGAGAGTGTTCAGAGGAGTTGTTCGGTCTAATACCTGCAGCTGAGTTTCATCAACGGACGTCAAGGCAAAATACAAAATACCATCCGTATCACCTCGACGTCCGTCGTTCCACAACAGAGCGTTTTCTAAGGCAGTTTTTGCCGCGCACCGCCACTATGTGGAACCAGCTGCCCACAGAAGTATTTCCGAACCAATTCGACTTAGGGTCCTTCAAGAAAAGAGCGTACCAATTTTTGAAAGGCCGGCAACGCACTTGCGAGCCTTCTGGCATTGTGAGTGTCCATGGGCGGCGGTGTCACTTAACATCAGGTGAGCCTCCTGCCCGTTTGCCTCCTATTACATAAAAAAAAAAAAAAAAAATGACATTTTTTTTTTCATTATACATACATTACTATTTAGTATTTTAAGAGTTTGTTAAATTGTGTTTTAAACACATAAATATACTTTTATTTGTGCATTAATATGTTTTTGGGTAGCCTATGGGTACATAAAAAAAAGGTGTTTGTACTTATGTACGCGCGTAAGAAGTTAGACTTCTTTGGCTTTCTTTATTGTTTTTAAATATTAAATAATTAATAATAAATATTTAGCGTTAATAATTAAACAATATTTAATTAATATTAATCATAATTATTATTTATTATTTTATTTTATTATTAATTCAATTTAATAACTAGGTATGTTTCATAACCTTTTAACTAATAAGTAACAATAGGTCTTTGTGAAAAAGCATTGCTAAACTTCTTTGAAAAAATAATTAAAACTCCTTTTTTTGTTTAAAAGGTACTACAAATATCATTATGGTCATGCAAAATTCTTGGCATAGCTGCTAACGTCACGCATATTCTATTTCTTTTTACTTTTAGATTGTCTTATTCCCATCTCGCTCGCGCACGCTCGGCGCCCATACTGATAATTTTGTGTCACACGGTGCGCGCGCATCGTAAAATTTCACTCTAATAAATTTTTCATAACGCGCCTAAAGAAGTATAACTTCAATAACAAATAATAACTGTTAAAATTGTTTATTCAATTATTTGGTTCAAAACGATAATGATGAATGGTATTTATTTTGCAAAATCAATGCCTATATACGACTACTCGACCTTAGCCACTGGGGCTTTCCAGCTATTTCGGAGGAAACTACAACATCCTACCACCACAATCATTTTGAGATTGAACTCACAGTAAAATCTAGAAAAAGATTTTAACATCTATTAAGAAACACAGTTTTACTGATAACTGTTAAGAATCAGGAAATGTTGGAATCAATTTTAAATTTAGAAGTTTGCAGATCAGTGATTTGTATCATTGTGTCCCGTAATAACATTTGAAAATGGTATAGTATAATCTTTCAAAGTTTTTTTTTAATGTTTACAGGCTCAACAAAATGACGTGTTTCAAATAGTTCTACATGCTAATGTAGATAAAATAAATAATGTCACTGTCGAGAGAGAAGATGGAGCCAACTTAGATCTTGGTTCACCATCCTATCTCCTGGAACCTCAGTACCATTTTCTGAAGATAAATCTACAGCAAGCTCTAGCTATGAATACTAATTATACCTTAAAAATAGATTATTCAAGTACTATGAATGAGGGACCAATTAAGAGAGGTATTTGGAGAGGATGGTATAAAGATGATAATGGAGTAGAGAGGTGATGTTATAATTTACTTTGAAATAAGATAAGCAACTTACATTACTGTTTGATTTGCTTTATCGGTAAAGCTTTAACACAAAAACTTTCAAAGCATAAACTATGGTTTGATTTCATAATTGTTAAAAATAATAAAAACAAGAATATTGTTTAATAAAAAGAATTCTTAAATACATAACTTTCACTAACTATGATACTTATACTGGAAATACGAGTATTACGTCACAAGTAAGAAGATGCCCTTCTCTAAAATGGTTAAGAGAAGATTATTTTGAACAATAATGACATTATGTATCCGCCTTTCAATTTCTAGGTCTGTTTATACAGGCATATACCTGATCAGCGTATAAATAAAATAAATCGTAAATTGTTTTTAAGCATGGCACCTTTTTCATTATTTTTTCCATAATATATGCACATTTTTATGATTTCAGAATATACACAACAACACATTTCCAACCATATAACGCGAGGCAAGCTTTTCCTTGCTGGGACGAACCTTTCTTTAAATCAGTCTTTACAGTCCATTTATCTGCTCCAGCCAGTTATATCAAGATGTTTTCTAATACTGAAGTTGCTTCTATTGAAAAGTAAGTTAAGATCTTACAGTAGCCATAGTTTGGTTAAGCACCCGTGAATGAAAATATTTGTTTAAAAATTTATATTTATTCTAAAATATCGAAATGGCTTTTGCATATAATAACTATGATAATGATAATATTTCATACATCGACGTTACACCTAATTAATAGAGATAATGTAATTCAGCGTCAGTCTTAATAAAGTTTTCATGACTGTTTTAAATCGCCTATTTTTTTAACAAGTAACATTTCAAAATTTGTTGTGTAGCGTGCTTTATTTTTAACTGGTCGCGTCGTCACTGTTACATGTTACTTAGTAAATAATAACGTTTTTTTACTTTATTTAAGCGATGCAAATTCCGGTCGCCTCACAACGAATTTCTACCCTACGCCCAGAATGTCTAGTTACTTGGTAACGTTTCTTGTAAGTGAAACATTTCAAGTGATCGCTGAAGATACGTCCTTTAAACCACCGATTAGGATTATCGGGAGATCAAATATGGTCGGTCTTGCTGACCATGCTCTGGAGCTGACGGTCAAAATTACCCAGTTCTTCGATGAATATTTCGAAATACCTTACTCTACATTGCACTCTCATCTAAATAATGACCATGTTGCATCACCTGATTGGGCTTCCTCGGCCACAGAAAACTGGGGCATGGTCAGTTACAGGTAACTTGTTTATTAATTTTGTTGCCAACCAGGGCAGGTTTGCGTTAACAATAGATTTCTTATAGACAGAGTAGTTCAAAGAGGACAAATGATATTACTAAATATAAATTTATGGTTTTTAGCTTATCTCGAAGTTCATTATCCCACATTGGAAACCATACATAAAATCCTTCAATTTATTTAATCAATTCTTTTCAATCCCAAAACTTCCTCTTATCTTAAAAATTATCTGAAATTTCCTGGTCATTATAACTATAAGTTACGCTTTCATCTGACAGCTTATCCTTCTTAGGCAATACCTACGTTTTAGATCTCCATTTTTTTTTTTGTATTATTTTAGAATAAGGTTGAAGATTCTATATTTTTATAAGATATTTTGGTTTAACTCACTTCTTGCACTTTACCCATCCTATTTACTTTTTTAGTTTTTTCTTACTAGGATTACCTGGATGAGATGGCTTGTTAGCGATAAGGCCGCCCGTTGCATCCCTTATAGTTTTGATGTATTATGTTATTTATTTTTCTATAAATGTAACGAAGTGTATTTGTCAATACTTTAAGCAATAGCCACAAGAACAATTACGAAAAATATCCAAACTAAATTCTCATATATTTTAGGGAACTCTACATGATTATTGATCCAAAAGAAACACTAGTTTCCACCGAACGATACGTATCAACTCTTGTGTCACACGAACTCGCTCACAAATGGATGGGTAACCTCATTACATGCTTCTGGTGGAGTAATACCTGGATCAATGAAGGATTCGCTAGCTACTTCGGTTACGTAGCTTCTCATGCGGTAATGTATTTATTTATTTCGTAATCCTACAGCTAACAATATATATATGTAACAAACAATTACACTAAAAATATAGCCATAGATGGAATACATGATATAACTACAAAAAAGTTCAAAAATTTACAAAAGGAAACAAACAATAAAAATTATTCAATACATTTAACTAAGTGCTACTTAATTTGGCTCTGTTGTGTGATGGTGTAAAAGTGAGGTGACGGTGTGTATGTGGGGTATGCTCATGACGCAGGTGATTTGGATATTCTTAATACTCCTTTTTACATATACCCCGATAGCTTAAAAACGTCAAAGCTTAAATATTGGACGTTGTATGTCCGGGTAGTAATACTTGTATTTCTATTGGAAACGTAATTGACTTGTTCTTGCGGACAAGACCCATATAGTTATAGTGTAATTGGATTATTATTATTCGTCATATTTAACGTTAAAAACGGCTGTAATACACTGTCAAAATCTTTTTCATTTTAAATAATATACAATCATTTTATATACTACAAGCTGCCCCCGCAAACTTTGTATCGCCTTAATATGATTTACTCAGCCTTACCTACCAATATATGGAACATTTTGCTATGTTACCCCTTAGAGACCGTTCGCTTTTCCGGAATAAAATCCTAAGTACTCAATTTTCAATTTTTATTTATATTTTTCCAAATTTTCTTTCAATAATAACCTTCGATTTTAGAGGGGGAAAATTAAGGGTTGTATGTGTTTTGTACGTTGTATCATAAAAAAAAACAAAATAATTTGTTTAAAATATATAAAAAAATTAAGTTGTTTCTTAAATGAAGTCGCCTAAGTCACGGTTAAGGGCAGTGAACTTCACAGCCAAATGTTTGTAAAGGAGCAATCGAAAAGCTCGATCTATAATAAGGGAACACGATTGACCAGTTTTAAGTTGAAATATATTGGTAGCCAATCTCAAAGTCATATTGAAACCCAATAATTTATCAGTCAGTCTGAAAGTTAATATTGACTTTCAGATGTTCCCCAATTATGAATTGAACGAACATTTCAATTCGAGATACCTACAACCCAGTTTATCGTTTGACTCCGGTACATCAACCGTGCCATTGAACCATGATGTCAACACTCCAGCTCAAGTGACCGGGCATTTTGGTACTATCAGTTACTCGAAAGGAGCGGCCTTCTTGCGAATGATTTCAGATATGATATCTCCAGAAACATTCAGAAAAGCCTGTAAATTTTTCTTAAATGATAAGTGAGTACTCTGTTTTATACTGATATTTATTAGAGCATTTAATTTAGATTAATTTTAAGAGCATATTACACTTTTGATTCAGCGCGGAATAGTCACTCGTGAATCATGTCTGGCTGTGCATTTATAAGAATTTCCTTTTATGCGACATTCAAACAAAAACACCATCTATGTTAGACACAGAAGGTTGATCGCCTATTCAATGAAATGATCAATTGTATTGATGTATCTATTACTAAGGTGAGAAGGAATCCAGTATGTCCAAACCAATTTTGACATACGGAAGCCTTGCTTCTGAATCTTAGGGTAAGACTAGCAAAGAAATTATTTAGATATTTGATTCAAGTCAAGTCAAGTTATTTATTTCAATTATACCACCTAAAATGGCACTTTTGCACGTCAAATTAAATATAAAGATGATTCTAGTTGACCCTTCCAAAAGGTAGTTTCGTGTGGAGAAGAATGGACAAGAAACTCCACACTTACTCTTTTAAAATAAGTTTCACAATACTTTGTATACATTAGTTAAATAATTATATGTGAAGACAATGTACTCCTACAATAAAACTACAATAAAACTAACACAAAAAAGCAAAGATGGGGTCGAGGACGTATCTATCGTAAAAAGTCTTTTATCGATGTATTAAATTGTTTTTATAAAAAAACAAACAAAAATCTGATCGACTACTTGCCAACACAATTATTCTTCTTATTTTCTTATAACAATTATTGCTAGCACGAAACTATTATCAATTGTCTACTCGGTTGCCGTGTTTTTTGTTATTAATTGTTATATTATATTTACGCTTTTTATTACGCTAATCTCAACTTAAAATACGAAATATCATACAGCGCATACGAACCGACAGACCAACATGATTTGTATGAAGCTTTCTCGAAGGCTATACAGGAAGACCGTACACTAAGTCAATACCAAAACTTTAATTTTACGGAATTTTATCGAATTTGGGTCAATGAAGCTGGGTACCCTATTCTAAATGTCACCGTCAACCACTCTACAGGAGAAATACATTTAAGCCAGGTAATATAAATTTACGATACGGAAAATTGTTATTTGTAACATACTTCTTCAAAATTCATGATTTTACGGTAGATTTGAAAAAGCATATATACGCACCACGCGCTTTAAGACAAAATCTAAAATTACAGGAAAGATTCTTCATTAGTGCAACAGCCACGTCCACTGGTCAAATATACCCCATCCCCATAACGTATTCAACAAAGTCCAAACCAAATTTTGACGAACTTAAACCTTCATATATGATGTCTGATGACAGGGCTGTTTTAAACAAAGATGTTGGAGACGAATGGGTTATATTCAACAATCAACAACGTGGTTGGTATAATTTCAGCATTATTATTTACGAGTGAGCCTAAAAGTTTATGGTTACTAAAAACTCTGTAAAAGCCACTTAATAATAACTAAATTATTGGCTCACGTTCGCACTACCTAAGAAAGAACCATCACGATGTCATATTATAACGACAAAATCCAAGTTAATGTATTAACAAATATCCATAGCGTAATATAGCAAACATGGAGTTATGGGTTTATGGGGTGGATAACAATTTTTTTTTTTTTATGTAATAGGAAGCAAATGGGCAGGAGGCTCACCTGATGTTAAGTGATACCGCCGCTCATGGACACTCACAATACCAGAAGGCTCGCAAGTGCGTTGCCGGCCGACCCTAAGTCGAATTGGTTCGGAAATACTTCTGTGGGCAGCTGGTTCCACATAGTGGTGGTGCGCGGCACAAACTGCCTTATAAAACGCTCTGTTGTGGAACGACGGACGTCGAGGTGATACGTATGGTATTTTGTATTTTGCCTTGACGTCCGATGATGAAACTCAGCTGCAGGTATTAGATCGAACAACTCCTCCGAACACTCTCCATGGTAAATGCGGCAGAAGATGCAGAGAGATCCCACATCTCTACGCAACGCCAAGGGATCAAGCCGCACGGAAAGTGACTGGTCGTCGACGATTCGAACCGCTCTTCGTTGAATACGGTCAAGTGGAAGGAGCTGGTACTGGGGAGCTCCCGCCCAGAGGTGAGAGCAATACTCCATATGGGGCCGAATTTGCGCTTTATATAGTTGCAAGCGGTGGCCCGGAGTGAAGTACCGTCTCGCCTTGCTGAGCACACCAAGCTTTTTGGAGGCTAATTTAGCCTTTCCTTCCAGATAACCGCGAAACTGAACGTTATTCGATATGTCAACGCCCAGTATTCCGATGCTAGCTGAGGCTTTAAGGAGAGTGTCTTCAAAGAGGGGAGTAGCGACAAAGGGAGTTTTTTTAGCGGAAAACGCGCATACTTGTGTCTTCTTGGGGTTAAATTGGACTAGATTTAGTCTACCCCAGTCCGAGACTCCACGTAGAAGAGTTTCGACTTCAGACACAAGTTTGTTCCGGTACACAATATTGATACACGAATTTATCTGGTACTCATACTTCTTTTAGGTCTGTACAGAGTAAACTATGATGAGAAGACCTGGAATTTAATAGCTGACGCTTTATTAAAAACTCCGGATGACATCCATCATTTGAACAGAGCTCAAGTAAGTTAATAATATTACTTTACTCAAAAAACTTTCCATCCATTTCCATTTTTATATCGCTAATTAAAATATAAGAACCTTATAAGAAACTGCAACCATTTCACCTTGCTACTCTTGGAATGAATTTCATGCATGAGTTATTCTCACCCAAAATGTCTCTTGGCCTTTAGAAACGCGAAATTTTCACCGTTTCCTGGTATGTGCCATTTCGTCGGTTGTAGCGCCCACTTCCGTACCTGTGCTGGCCTACATTCTCCATTCGTCTCTAATTTGTAATATTGGAATGGACTGCCGTTATTTTTGCTGGATGAAATTTCATGAATGACAATGGTTTTATGAGCGATATTTGACATTTCTACAAAGACCAATTAAAAAGCACACTTTATTAAGAGCTGACCTAGGTCTTTTAATTACCATTCGTTTAAATAGAAGCGCTGACGAAATTATTACTTATCTGATATGTATTAGAATTAATTCTTTAGAGGAAGACCCTCTTATTTTTAAACATCCAAGCTCTTTTTTTATTACAGGTTGTAGACGACATATTTGCGCTAATGAGGTCAGAAAAAATGACGTATTACTACGGTTTCAAGATTCTACGGTTTTTGGAGAAAGAAACCAATCATCACGTCTGGAGTGCAGCTATCAGTGGTTATAACTGGCTAAGAAATCGTTTTAGGCACCTTCCTGAAACACAGGCTACATTTGATGTTAGTGTTATGATACTCTATACCAATTAGTTATAAGTTTTATTTATAATATATTAGTTTTACGTATAAGTATGTGAAAATTTGATTGTATGCACACCTTAGATTGATGACGACATAAGATTGATATTATATGATAACTAGCTGATCCGGCAAACGTCATTTTGCCATGTATACCATTTATAATAAAAAATAGGGGTTGATCATAGAGGGGTGAAAGTTAGGGGTTGTATGTATTTTTTTATGCTGTATCATAAAAAAATAAAAAATATGTAATTTATCTAAGAATTTAAAAAAATAATTTAGGGGTCCACCCCTTAGTAGTACACTACCCTTAACATTTAGGGGGACGAAAATTTCATGAGAATCGGTCTAGCCGTTTCGGAGGAGTATGGCAACGAAAACTGTGACACGAGAATTTTATGTATTAGATCAAACTTTCATTTTCTAACAGTTATGAAATTGCTGGACTTGATTTTGTTCAATTAATACAGAGATATTTTTATTGAAAGCAGTGTACAAAGCCTTTGAATACGTAATGAACACTAAGTCTATGTATATAATAGATTATACATTTTAAATTAATGATGACTGCTTTTGTAGTACTTTCAGGAACATATTTGGGCAACAAAATATCTGTTAGACTGTTGCTTTTGGAGAAAATTAATTATTGATATTGAAATTAATGCTGAAACGACGGATTATAGTTTTTTACGGCTACGTTAATACCATTTAAAATTGTATATTATATTGACTTTCAGAGCAATTACTGATATGAAACATTGTAACAACATATACACTCAAAGGGTTCTGAAAAAGTAATATACAATTCTTGTGTGAAATTACTACGACTTCATAATCCACGGAAGATAGGGCGGAGAAGTTATGTAGAATTTCTTGTTGATTTATCTACTTTTTATGATACAGGCACATGTATTGGGCCATATGGAACATGTTATAAATTATTTGGGCTACGAAAAAAAGGCAAATGAATCGCCTACCACGAGTGCAACGAGACAGGATGTACTTCACTTCGCATGTTTGTTGGGTCATGAAGGTTGCGTCAAAGAATCTTTAAACAGATTTGTATCACTTAAGAATGGAAATTGGTGAGTACCCCGGCATCAATTGCGCAATTAATACTTGTCGAACGGTATACATGAGGTATATATGATGCAAAAATCAATGACGTGTGTCAGTCATGAGGCTAATATTTTAACCTAAAAAAGCAAAAAAATCGGTTGCAATCACAAGCTAGGCAATCTGATAATCAAGTGGATTTTTATCATACAATTTTTCAATCAGCTGTTATTACTAGGATTAAACATGATTATAGGATTAGTAATTATGCATTTATTTTATCTTAAGGAATAAATGCGAAATTCTGATAAGTTTTAATTATACACAGTAGAAACTTATTGATTAAATATCTATTTTGGTGACTGACAATATTTATTATTATAGGGTTGATCCTGTAATAAGAAGGAACGTATACGGGGTAGGAATAAGAGAAGGAGGGGCCGAAGATTTTAACTTCCTTCTAAATCGGTTCCAAACGTCCAAGTACGCCAACGACCAATTGGAAATGCTCAGAGGTTTGGGCGCAACACGCGACCCACAGTTGTTGACCAGGTTTGTAAAAAAAGCTCTATAGAAGTTCTATTAATTTTGCACTTAGTGTAATATTTAAAACGTGAAGTGTTGGACAAGGAGAGAAAAGGATTGTAAATAAAAACTATTTTTTTTATCTCAAAAGTGTAAGACACTCATGTCAGGAAAATATTGGCCTTTTGGAAGATTAATCTAATTTGAAAAATCTCACTAATTTGTATCGTACCAATTAATGTGTATAATATTGTTTTGTGTATATATAAATGGTATTGCACTTATAATACCAAAACTGGACTGCTTTTGTTTGTACAGTCCACAATACCCGTAAAATTACAATAATCGTACATTATTAAAAATGCGTGGCTGTACTGAAATCCTTAGAAGAAAATTATTTAATTGCACTATTTATTTCCAAGCAGATCTATTCACTAGCCAGTACTTTCAACGTTTCGGTAATTATTAACTTTTCTTTTTCTGTTATTTTCCAGATACCTCGAGTTAACTTTGACGAAGGAAATTCGATTACATGATAAAGTACATTCCTATAACTATGCGCTACTTGGCAACAAAAATAACTCAAAGACCGTTCTCGACTTCGTTAAAAACAATATAGATACCTTGAGAAAAGTGTAAGTTTGCTGTAATAATTTTTGATTATGTATATAACTATACTTTTAATTATATATATATATATATATATATATATATATATATACTGTATATATATAAAATATATATATATATATATTTTTTTTTTAATAGAATTTACTATTAAGTTTGTTATAGAAGGGCTGGGAATGGGTTTTGTTTACTTAAAAGGGTTCCCAAAGCTTACAGGTTATAATGAATTGTTGTCAAATGCATAAACACATTTTATTTTATTATTGTTAAAACGTAAAACCTGCAAAATATAATTTTTACTCAAAAAATAACTGAAATAAGTGAGGTCCATAACTAAACAGGAATATGCGAAAAAAGGCTTCTTCTTATATTTATAGGTATTGGTAGAAGAAAGAAATCGAGCTACGCAAAGTTGTTGTTTGAGGTGCTGCATCTGGCACAAAACAAGGCACTTATAAGAAAAAGATTTTGTGTTGTCTATTCATCTAGATGCATCCTAACATCTAATTTAATTTATATTAAAGCGATTTAATCACTATTTTTAGATACGTCGAAGATTCCCCGCCGAATCCTGTCCATACAGCGCTTTCAAACCTGGCGTCATATCTAGAGGAAGATGGCCTACAAGAGGTAAGGTATTATATAAAAAGTGAATGTTTATTTAAATACCTAAAAATCTATAAATATGAAATGTGGGATTAAGACAGTCAAACGATTATAGTAATTGTTTGTCTTAGAAGTTAAGGTGGCAGTACTGATATTAACAGGATTTCTCGGCCGAAATCTCTTCTAAAGAGTTTTGTTTTTTTAAGTAATAGGAGGTAAATAGGCACGAGGCTCGCCTGATGTTAATAGACACTCACATTGCCAGAAGGCTCGCGAGTGCGTTGCCGGCCTTTCGAACTTCGCTGTTCCCCTATGTTAATGTACTAAGAGCTCGAGCTCGTTGGCTATGCTTTACATACCTGTAAATTTATTAATTTTGCTGCAGTATGCGAAAACAACTTTTTAGATATAAGAAAATACCAGCGGAAATATTCTATATAAAACTTGTTTGTTCTTAGATCGTCTTCTTACACTGTTCAATAGAAACGCTATATTGATAATACAATAATGTTTTTTACAGTATGAAGCCTGGCTCCGCAGTACACAGACCAACAGTCTTCAATTTAATAGTGCAATTTCTGCAATTAACTCAGCTCGGAACACTATGGCCTGGGGAACAGCCAACGCAGATATGATCTTAGAAGCTACTAGAAGCAGTGCTTCAGTTCTACTGATATCTACCACACTGGTTTTGGCAATGCTTTTTATAACGATTCGCATTTAATAACAATGAATAAAATGATAAATATTTAAAGATTTCTGACTCGAACGTTATGTTTACACGTTTATAATCCGTTGAGTTTTATTAAAGTGAATAGAGGCAAGGCGATTCTAACGTCATAGATACTAATTTAAGGACTCCATGTTAAATATTACCTTTTAACTGAAGTATTCTGAACCAATTCGACTTAGGGTCCTTCAAGAAGAAGCGCGTACCAATTATTAAAAGTCCGGCAACGTACTTCTGGCAATGTGAGTGTTCTTGGAAGGCGGCGGTATCACTTAGCATCAGATGACCCCTCCTGCCCGTTTGCCCCCTATTATTATTATTTTAGCCCTTAACTTATTTCTCATTTTTTTACTTTTACAATATTTTTATTGTATTGAATATTTCAACCATATCTAAAACTACGTAAATTCAGAATAAACAATCGCGTAGGTATATTTCTTGATTGTTGGCTTATCTTTATTAATATATCAAAAAATTTCGTTATGTATTGCGATTTTGTCATAATATGTCATGAATTTAAATATAAAAGAGAAGCTTAAAATTTTTTTTCTTTGGCGTACGATTCCTTTAATTAGTCGTTAACTATAAGGGTATTCACGTCATTTAGACGTAAATTTACATTCAATATTAAAGTTAATATGGACTACTCTAATATAAATATGAGTTTCAAAAACGTTTACAAACTTCGCGGAAAAGCAAGACTACGCCATCCGTTCGCAAAACTACCAGGAGGCCTTGTTCTGAGAAGAACGGGCAAGAAACTCAGCAAGTTTTACCCTCCCTCTTCATTACAATTATTCAAAGGAAAATGTTATAAACCACAAGGTCATTAAAGTTACATATGTAAAAAAAAACTGTGTTGTGATTTACCATATTCACCATTAGACACATTCCTAATACTAATATATTTATGAAAATATTATGTATACATACAAAAATAGTGATAAGTTTACTAGAATAGAAAATACGCACAATGTTAATACTCGGAACAAACGCAGGCTGCAATTTCCCCGTACTAGACTATCTAAAGTTAGTAATTCTTTTTTGGGAAAAGGGATACTCTTCTTTAATAAAATCCCAGAGGCTCTTCTATCTCTGCCTTTTAATAAATTTAAGAAATGTATTAAAGAAAAGTTGTGTAAAAAGGCTTACTATAAAGTTAACGATTATCTAGTTGATAAAAGGGCCTGGGACTAGGGCTAGACAGGCTACTTCTAATTAATTTGCGATATTTGATTTAAAATATGTGTTGTTTGATGATTTACTATCTTAAAAGAGTACCGAGAGTTTTTTACGCCGGCTTTTTCTCTCGGCCTACACCCTCTGTCTTCTTTGCCGATGAGTAGGGATGCCTACAAATTAAAATTTAATGACGTGGAATAAGTGATACATGTATCTTATGTTCCATAATAAACATATTTTTATTTTTATTTTACTTCAAAGATAACAAAACAAATTATAATAATTGAACTATAACTATTGCCACGCGTTTTTGTCTTCTAGTTATTAACTGTGTAATAACTTCTACTCATAATATTTTTTTAATATGTGTTTTGAATCTGTTTAAAGGCAGTTCCAATATTTCACTATAGATCAAGAGCCTAGGACTGCCAGACCTTCGTCATTTTATAAAAGCTGAAAGTTCTTCTGTGCGTGTCCCCTATACAGGTAAGAAGGACCAGAGACTATAGAGTTTGGGTAGTGGTTACTTTAGCAGATAACAGGTAGTAAAGACTAAGCGCTCGCGCTCGGAGCCTACAGCGGACTTTCAATGTGTCTGGCAGGGTGTAAAAACCATTGAAACTGTCCGGCTATTGAGGTATCATATTTTCATAGGTCCCCAAGTAACATATATAAAATTTAGCTTTTTATACTCTAACGAAAGCATAATTATAATTAATCAATGTTTAGGGGTGTCTGGCAGGGGAAGACAACTGTCATCAGTGTCCGGCAATGTATGACGATATTTATAAAGTTATCCCTAATAAAATATAAAAAATTGAGCTTTATACTTTAAGGGATTTAAGGTACTATTTTAAACACCTTTACTACCTGTTATCCGCCAAAGTAACCACTACCCAAACTCTATAGTCTCTGGTCGTTCTTACATGTATAGGGGACACGCACAGAAGAACTTTCAGCTTTTATAAAATGACGAAGGTCTGGCCTAAACAAAGAGCCCTGGGCTCTAAGGATACTAGGAATCATGTTACAGCAGCGTATACTTAGGTCCATAAATGAAGTATTTATTTTCTGCAACCTGTAAGATGGCTGGAAAAGTGTTCCCTTATTATGTATTCCTATTGTGAATGTCACTGTTCTTTAAAAGAGAACTAATAATACTACGTACAAAAGCCATACAATCATTACAATGACGTATGTCTCCACAGTGCCCTAAATACCTATATATACTGATTATCTAGAGATATTTGTGATAATTGCAAAACGAGACCTTGAGTTCAAACGAGTCATTAATAATTGGACAATTAAGATTTATAAATATAGTTTCTTTATATGAATGCGAATCTATTACCATACTTTATTTATTTATTTTTGCTCTCAAACATCACATATGTTAGGACGTTTTCGTTAGATGGTCGTTTCGACAGTAAATTCACAGATATATATTTAATAATATATTTCAAAGTCTACCGAAACATGGTGTTACTAACGCCATTTTTGCTGCGAAGAAGATCTGAAACATCTCCTAAATATTTACCAATACACAGCATACCAAGTTTTTTTTAAATACTCAATTACAGGGTTAGCAATTCAATGATTAAAAAAATATGTATGACACGTGCGCTTTACATATAATAATATTAAAACGCTATCATCAAACACACTTTGTATTAAATTGAATCGGTAATGTCTTATCAAGTTCTAATATGTCTTGATAAAAGATATACTTCATATATATTATAATCCTGATAAAGTCCAATAAAATCATTAACATTTTATTAATGATAATTTCTTTATTCAGTTGTTTATTTCTGTGGAGTCGTACATGTGGGTTTATAATTGTAATGAATTAATGATTTTAATTTAACAAAACAGAGCAGACTTATTAAGGTAAGTTATATTTAATTAAGATTAAAAAAATAAAATCAGTGGCACTACAACCTCTTTAGGTCTGGGGTTCAGATTTCTGAATATGTTTCATGATCATTTTTAAATCTAATAGGCAAGTAGGTGATCAGCCTTCAGTGCCTGACACACGCCGTCGACTTTTTGGGTCTAGGACATGTCAGTTTCCTCACGATGTTTTCCTTCACCGTTCGAGCGAATGTTTAATGCGCACATAGAAAGAAAGTCCATTGGTGCACAGCCGGGGATCGAACCTACGACCTCAGGGATGAAAGCCGCACGTTGAAGCCACTAGGCCAACACTGCTAATTAAGATTAAGCCAAATTAAATACCTTCATTTCTTAAAACCGCAACGACACTTGTTTCGACTACAGCCAGGGCTTAAACCCGGGTAACGGAGACCCGGATGAAGTTTCCGTGCCAGTATTTGTCCATCTTCTTAATGATTATGTGAACTGTGGCCTTCATGGCAAACGTCATACGTTACCTGATTAGCTTGATTCACGTGATCTCTATATAGTACTCCGTTCCATTTCATACAATAAATCAAGACAAGTTAAGAATGGGTAATTACGATGTTTGATGGTATAGGATGCCCCTGAATAGAAAACGGAAAAGAGTCTCTTATCTATAATTTTGTTAAGAATTTGGGAGTTTAAAAATAAGTGTATTGTATTCATAAAATTTGAAAGGATTACTTCACTACACATATTACCACCGTTCTCATGCAAGTTGAAAAATTCAGTACCAACAATTAAAATTATTTTCAATAAATAAATATTTAACGCTTTATAGTGTACGTTTCCTGAATTTCCGTCCCATACCCAATCAGTCCCAAACAAATTTATTTGGTAAATTTATAGTTTAAAATATATCTAGTATAGCTCCCTTAAGATACTGAAACAGCAAAATATTTTCTATTTTTCAGCATGATAAAATTTCCACAGCTGGTTTTAATACCAGCTATCTTAGCAGTAGTAAAAAGTGAATTCCCTTTCGATGTGGAATCTGTTGCATTCTCTAGTTCTGCAAGTGAAGAAGTTTATAGGCTCCCGGAGGATTTGGATCCAGTTAGTTTCAATGTAGAAATAACTCCTTACTTTCAAGCTGAAGGGAATAATGAAGCATTCACATTTAATGGTTATGTGGAAATTATTGTAAAAGTAAGTAAATCCTACTAATATTATAAACGCCAAAGTTTGTAAGTAGGGATGGATGTTTGTTACTCTTTCACGTAAAAACTACTGAATGGATTTTAACGAAACTTTACAATAATATAGCTTATACATCAGAATAGTACATTGTCTACAATGTATAAAGATATTGTGTGAATTGTCCAAAATATCAAGCAAGTAGGAAAACTACAAATGTACCAACTGCGAGCTATTCTGGCGTGCGCTGCCAAAACCGCTAGAGTTACACATATGTAATGCATGATGAAAATGTTTATCTTAAATAGTCCTACAAAAAACCCGCCAAAGTTTAGATATATGTCTTATGCGTAAGACATTAAAGCTAAAATAGTGAACCATAACTACAATAAAAATTGATTATTTATTTCAAACATTTGGTAGTAAAAGTAATAACAAAAAGTTATACATAAATCGGAAAATGTAAATTGGTTAAAAGTATTAAGAAAGGAACATTGACCTGTGGTGGTGTGTGTGTGGGTGGACCAATGGTGTGGGAGGCGGAAAACAGCTAGCCAGCTTATTGATCACAAGCCAGTATCACGCTTATTATCCAGTTCTCCTTAGTAGGGACCTGGGCTATAAAATATTGACATTTCCAGAACTGACATATTATTTTTAACATGATTAAATCTAAAAGACAAGGTGCCTTTATAGCGTGGGAGAGAAATGAGACCATTAGTGTTGACAATAATTATTATTGACTGTTCGTTTTATGACATAATGATAACTAAGCCTTTTAATGTACTTTATTATAATAACAGAAGGAACAACACAAAAAAAAGAACAATAAAAACAATAACTAACCTTTAAATATAATAACTAAAATATATTATTAAAAGGAATCCTTAGGCAAAGTTCCGGAGATACTGGCAGCGTTCCCCCTTTGAATAGCTAGACTAATTCTTTGTCCAAAGTAGCTGCCAGCTCTTCGGTCTCCTGTGATATCGACTAACCTATTTGCTATTTCCTTAAAAAGCCTTTTAACGCTAGGAACCCACGGACCAAGGGTCTCGACACCGAATGGGACAAAATCATATTCGGATCCTACACCCTTGTATTTGCAGGCTTTACCTTTTTCAGCCGCATCTGTGATGCGGCCGCACCAGCTCTGTTGTTGGTTCCATTTAGATGGAAAGGGGCCAGTGTCTCTGAACAGGTTGCATCCCATACCAGCACCCGGCCCATCTTCCATGGAATCAAACTAATACCAATTAATATGACATTTGCATGCCTATTTTTATATAAACGAAACATTATTATAATAAGATAAATTAATGGATTCTTATAAAATTTAAGGCACTTACGAGTACTTCAACTTTAGTACTACACGAAAATGTCAGAGAAATACGCGGAGTTACCGTTTTCGATAATGATGGGTCAGTCGTTCCCTTAGAACCCTCCAACCCCTTTGTGAGGGAACGGGAATATCATTTCCTAAAACTTAATCTTCAAGAAGGATTAACATTAAATGTAAATGAGACCTATCGGATTGCTATACGTTACTTAGGTAACATAAACGAGACCCCTCTCTCACGTGGAGTTTTTAGAGGAAGTTACATTGGAAGCGATGGGAAAACACAGTAAGTATATATCATAGAGTTAATTGTATATTAAGAACTTGATTGGCTATAATTTTTAAATATAGCTTTCAAAATTTTTAATCAGAATATTTCAGAGATGCATAAAGACAACCTTCCCGTATCTTTTCTAATAAGACGAGTAGATGATTGGCTTTCTGTTGCAACTCCAGATTGTGCTTTTTATGCTTGGATTTGACCTAGAACCATCGCTCTCTCTGTGGTATAAGTCCCTTAGGTTTGGCGAGGTTAAAGACTAGGAAATAGAATGTCATAATTATTATGAAAGTTCGATAAATGGCAAAATGTATTATAAATTATTAACAACTAAATCTTTCAGCTATTACGCCGCAAGTCATTTGCAGCCAACAAACTCAAGGCAGGCGTTTCCTTGCTTTGATGAACCTGGATTTAAATCAATTTTCAACATTATCATTAACAGACCTATAAATTTTATGCAAACGTATGCGAACATGCCTCTTCTACGCCAGGAAGTGTATGTATTTATATGTTATTAATTCATATAATATGTTTTATGAAGTCAAAACCTACATAAAAAATATAAAAAATTGCGTGCGTACAAAGTACACATGTCAGAAGTGATCAAACTTCTTTGGCAATATTTTTAAGTCTTGTTCATATTTATACAAATCTAAAACTTTACATTTCCGAGACTTAGAGGGAGGGCAAAAGGAAGGTATGTTAGGAATTTAATTGTCATTAAAATATAAAAAGTGTCGAGAATTAATACAAATTATAAATTTAATTTTTTAAATTTATTTCTTATAAAAACACGTGGCATTTTAATTTACTTAAATAGTCAATAGAATATTTTGCATAAAATTAATTTACATTAAATATATATTCATAAATTATCTTACGAAATTACTAATTTTAAAAAATAGAATTTCTATAAGATAATTTACCCTTCTCACTCTCTCTCAATCGGTCTCAATCGCTCTCAAGAATTTCTTTCACCGTAAAAAACTACTTTCGTGACGTTTCATCCGTCAAAAATATATATACAAAATATCAAAAACATGAATAGTATAAGAAAATAATCATTTGTTAGAATGTTCAGATTTATTGTAAGAAATTATATTAAACGATCGAGTCAATTTATGATTTATCTAATACTTGCCTACTCATGCACAATAAATAAGGCAAGTAAATGGATTAAAAAGTATTTTGATTCAATAATCAAATATTAATATAAGCCATTACGGTTTTCAGAAATGGCAACCGCGTAAAAGAAATATTTCAACCAACACCAAGAATGTCTGCTTATTTAGTCACTTTTCATATCAGTGAAGAGTTTACTGTTATAGCAGATAACAATAACAATGCAAGACCTTACCGCATTCTCGCAAGGCCAAACGCAGCCGGTCAAGGAGCCTACGCTTTAGAAGTGGGACCTCCTCTAACACAATGGTTTTCAGACTATTTGGGAGTCGAATATTATTCTATGGATGATAATCTTAAAAACGACCAAATCGCTGTCCCAGATTGGGCTTCTGGAGCGACTGAGAACTGGGGATTGGTTTCATACAGGTACTTACGAAAGGTGACCCGTGTTAGGCCATACACAAATCTGCGTATGCCAATACATACATGTTTATTTTACCGAAAGTACCTGATTTTATGCTTAAAAAATCTAAATTTTAAGAATCAGTGCAAATGTTGTTGAATTTATTTTATTACGTTAAAATGTTAATAATCTATTCTCCTACAATTTCAGCCTATATTTAACAAATAATATTTAAAATTACTGTTTATTTTTGAGTTCATGTTTTATGTGGCTCTGTCAAATATAAGCTTTGAAAATTGTCAAGCTTGGCGAGGAATTCAAATGTAGAACGTTATAACACATGTATTGTGCGATGATTGCAGAGAGGTAAGACTCTTATATGAGGAAGGTGAAACAAACGCGTTAGACAAAATGTATATTGGAACTATAACTGCTCACGAGCTTGCTCATAAGTGGTTTGGCAATTTAATAACCTGCAGATGGTGGGACAATGTCTGGATAAACGAAGGATTTGCCAGTTACTTTGAATATTTTGCTATGCATGAAGTAAGTATATTTTCAAAAATTCGCCTTAAAAAATAAAAGTTTCCAATATTTAAAGAAAAAACTTTTAAACCATTATTATAAATTTACATTATTTAACATAATTTTAAATTTATCCGACGTTTCGCGTGCTTTTCATCTGCGTGGTCACCGTACTACGTAAAATTATTTAAATAATTGTAAATTTATAATAATAATAACTTTATCCGTTAAAATTTTTATATATGTAAAGGTTATGTCAATAAAAGATTCCAATATGAGTCTTCAAATAGATATACAATTTTCTGATTTACCAGTCTTTGCCACAGTTTTCTACATGTGTGTTTTTCATTTTATATTGTCGATTTTAATTGCACATAATGTTTAAAAGCTTACATATAATATATAATTTACACGTTGACAACAAAATATTTAATTTTTTTTGTTAACAGATATTATGAATTTATACAATTATATATAAAGTATTTCAATTTCCTTCTACAAATTAATAATAGAAATAAAAAATCAAAATAAAACAATATTTAAAGTTTGGTCCCTGTGGCAAAAAAAAAAAAGAAATATTGCACATAATTGCATATTGAAATTTTTAATTGTAGGTAGACCCATCATTGGAAATAGCGGATCAATTCAATATACTATCATTGCAAAGTGCCCTATCATCGGACTCATCTATAAATACCAGGGCATTGGAGCACACAGTTAACACGCCGACCCAAGTTACTGGACATTTTAGTGGAATCAGTTACACAAAAGGGGCAGCCCTACTAGTTATGTTGAAGCATTTGATGGGAGAAAGTACATTTAAAAAAGCCTTAAACTACTTTTTAGTAGAGAAGTGAGAATTTTTTTTATATACTAATATTTCAAAACTTTATTTTTAAAATACTTTGACATCGGCATAAAAACTGGAGGTGTTCCAATGTAGGCCCCACCAGACTCCTGCATAATCATTCATCTGTATGTTATTATTAATAATAAAATAATCTATATTTTCAAATAAAACTTACAAATATCAGCCTTGCGATTCTGTAACTCACTTTTCGAACTCTCGCTGCGGTTTTCGCAGCGGCGGTCGCGCTCAAATCAGTCGTGAAGCAGTCATTTTACGATTTTGCATTCTGATAAGGGAGCATGTAGTTTATTGTTTATTATACAACATCAAAACATTTGCGGGTAACTTAGCTTGGCAAAATTATACAAGCCCGCGGCATAAGTACCCGCAAAATGATTGATACAGTTGAGAATTGCCACAACGCCCTCTACAAATACAAAATCTCGCAATTACTCTCTTCAAAGATAATAATAATTATAATGTTTATCATTTAGATCCTATGAACATGCGTATCCTGTCGATCTCTACTCAAACTTTGCAAAAGCCGTTGCAGAAGACCAAACTCTTCTAAGTACTGTGAACATCGCTGAATTTTTCCGATACTGGGTAGAAGAACGCGGGTACCCCGTTATCAATGTTAATGTCAATATGGCGTCCGGTCTCATTAAAATTTCACAGGTATGGTTTGTTTACTTTAATTTAGAGACGCTGCTATTATATGCAAGTTTTTTAAAATATACTAGTAAAAAATATGACGTTAAACCTCATTCAATAACATAATGTTACTTTACTCAGGGGGAGCTGAAATTATAAACAATTTTACAAACATAACAAATAATATCCAACTTAGGAATAAAACCTATAGAAATGGAGTATTTTGTAAATGTCTAACCAAAGAAGTGGGAAAACTAAATATACAAAATACATGATTAAGTCTGACAAGGCTGACTGACTGTAGCGCTTTTGGCCAGACAGTCCTACTGGCAATTTTAAATATATAAACAATATAATGAAGTGATAAATTTAGGAACACCTGTAGTTTTAAATGGAAATTATAAAAATCTTTTATGCGGTTGTTTACACAAAATAGCAAAATGGGCGTAATAAGCCGTATTTTCTGTTACTTTAAATTAGTAAATACTTACTTCGAACACGCCCTAATGACAGACTCTGAAGTCTGGGTCAAACTTTGATCATGCTTGGTATAAGGCAGGCAAAATGTTGGATCAGTAAAAAAAATCTAGAAATATGTGTAAAATTATAATTGCTATATAGTTTCTAAAGTCATTTGAATATCATATTGACAAACGTTTATTATTCATTATTTTAGGAACGTTTCTTCATCAGCCCTTCAGCTCAGCAAACTAAGCAATTCTGGCCTATCCCACTTACATACACATCAGGGCATAACCCGAACTTTGAGAATCTTACCATCACCCATGTCATGCAAGGTGAAGAATATGAAATTCAAAACACACCTGGACATAATTGGGTGATATTTAATCTTCAGCAAAAAGGTATGTTACAAAATTAAATTAACAAGAAAACGCTGTCATTAATATAAGTTTTATTTTGTGATTTTTACTTTGAATTCAATTATAGCATGGTAAATTATATCCTAGGAGATATCAAAATGTAAAAAAATTACACCTCACAAAATAAGTGTGCAAGACGTTTTTTTTAAAGTGATTTTTAAGAATTTTGTAAGTGATTTATTCTAATAAAATGAATATTATAAATATGTTCACGACATTGCCACGATTACATATTATTCTTTTATGTATGATTAGATGAGGTCTAAGAGATGTTTTTCAACAATACACGATAAATGCCGGTACCGTGCGGGTAATAACACTTATCCATATATAGAAAAATCTAATAATGTACGGACAATAAAAACATAAAAGTGTAAATAAAATAAAAGCAAGTACTTACGTTAGGAATTACGAAACGAAATTACGTCGAAGAAAAAAAGCGGCTCCTCCTAACTTGTAATTATAGTAAATGTATAATTTATTTATTATCACCTAATAAGGTACTGCAATGTCGAAAATATTGAAATTTGTTTAATTATTTTTTAGGAATATACAGAGTAAATTATGACACTCACACATGGGAAATGCTCGCTGACGCTCTTCAAAAGAATCACACGCAGATACATCATCTAAATAGGGCTCAGGTAATTATGATATATTTAATCTTCATGCATGTCATATAGTGCCGTATACTGGAACTATCTCGGGTATGTATCACGAAAGTATCAGATTATAAAAACGATGAATATACGAGAAAAATGCTCAAGATAGAGAGATCGATCCGGCGGAGGCTTTTAGGCGTTTCTTGACAAAATATATATCTAGTTTTGTATTAAAGTTTCAATGTATGTATCATTTATGAATAGATTATTTCATAGAAAAACACTTTTTTAACGGATTTGAAGTTATGTTTTATTATAAATTTACAATTATTTTACATAATTTTAAATTTATTATTTTACATAATTTTAAATTTAACCGACGTTTCACGGTGACCACGCACGCTGTAAAGCACGCGAAACGTCGGTTAAAATTAAAATTATGTAAAATAATTGTAAATTTATAATAAAACATAACTTCAAATCCGTTAAAAAAAAGTGTTTTTCTATTTCTAAAAGTTATGTCAATAAAAGACAATACTATAGATTATTTCAGGTAATAAATCAGGTGTAATTATTACTATACCGTCTTCTCTGTCTATTCTTAACTTTTTAATTACTAAACACTAACGGTCTGACAAGTTAACTTATATTGGTGGTAAGCCTTACTTAAAGTTCTTATGCAGTCTTCGTAAGACCAAATTTTTTTAGATAAAAAAAAAACATTTTCAATTATAATTGTCATATAAGTATATTATGTTAAAGTGTCTAATTTGAGTAAGGGACTTAACCTAGTTAAGTTTTGGAACTTAGTTCAAACGAAGTTTCGTGCCTATATTATTATCTAATGTAAAATAGTACTGATATAATAATAAGAAATTTAATAAACCCTTTTTCAGATTGTCGATGACGTGTTTGCTTTGATGAGGTCGGAAAGAATGTCTTTTAATCTAGGTTTCCGAGTACTAGATTTTCTAAAGAAAGATACCAGCTATTACTCTTGGTATCCAGCGATAACTGGATTCTCCTGGATTAGAAACCGATTCTTGCATATGCCGAGCACATCACAGGAGTTCGATGTTAGTATTTCTATACGATTCGAAGTTATAATATCTCCACTTACAATTTATATTCTTGCATTGTTGAATAAACTCTCCCGACCGCGTGTCTGTATGATATTTATATTTCACGAATAGATTGATGCGGTTTTTGTCCACCCCGCATTTATGTGTATTATTTTTAGTTTTAAGTAAATTTACTAAAATTTAACGCGTATATATCACATTTATATATAATCCAAAATAAATTTTTCCGAGGTTTAACGAAGTGAACTGTGTTTATATATATTTTACAAGAATTTTCTAACAGTCTCGTAGCACTCCATTTGTGAAAATAAATTGTGCGTGTACTAGGTGTACACACGAAGGAAACTTCTGACTTATTTTTCGAAAATGTCTACTATTGCCTAGCCTTAAATTGCCGTTTACAGGCTTTATTTTGACTGAATACAAATATTTCGTTTTCCTAACGGTATTTAAATCTTAGATTGTGTAAAAGAATTATTACTATCATTGTAAAACGTGACGATGCTACAATTCTCCCAACTCGAAAAATTTCATTCCAACGCCGATAAAGAAGTTTACTCCAAAACCAACAGGGCGCGCCACAGAAGAGGGGCGGGGAACAAAAAAATTTACCCAAATTTTTTTCCAACCTCGATAAAGAAGTTTCACTTCAAAAATGGGTTTTGAATTTCTTACAGATTATACTGCACGAATTCTTGCGAAATGTCATAGAGGACTTAGGGTACGACGTTCAAATAGGAGAACCTTTGTCAAGGACATTGAATCGTTTCTTCGTCCTTCAGTTTGCTTGTAGCATCGGCCATACCGGCTGCATCAACAACGCTGTGTTGAAGTTCAATGCTTTTAAAAATAACAGTAACAAGTAAGTGAACATACATTTCAAATAGTGTAAAGGATCGTACGCATCATGGCTATGCACCTTTTTCACTTACATTTAGAGCTGGGTTTTACGGCGAAGGACAATACTGTAAGGAAATCGGCATGTTTGCCTATCGAGCAAAATTTATCAATGAATCTCAAAGTAGGTTGGTTGTATGGTAATGCTTTTTTTAATACTCAAGCCTCCGTTGTAACAAATTAAATAAAAATATTTCTTTTATGTAATAGGAGGCAAACGGGCAGAAGGCTCACATTGCCAGAAGGCAAGTACGTTGCCGGCCTTTTAAGAATGTGTACTTTAAAGAATCGCTCCACAAGAAATAGAATAAGATAGAATATGTTAAATCTATGAAACCTTGTCTTATGAATTGAATTTGTCATGCTTCATCATCATCAACAACAGAAGTTAATACGTGTAAAAATTAAATCTTAATAGCACATTAAACGTAAACTTTACTTTATTGCTTCTAATTGCTAGTATGACATTAATTAAAAATTCATAGTCATCATTAATTTTATACGTATTATTTGTATTCATTTTATTTTATCAGCCTCAGTTTGACAGTCATCTAATCCTTCAAGCAAGTGCAAGGTTAGACAAAGACTTGTAGTCTACGATAAATAAAAATAAATAAATCAATGGCGTTGCAACCTTTTTAGGTGGGCCTCAGATTTCTGTATCTGTTTCATGATCATTTGTTAATCTTATAGGCAAGGTGGGCTTCTGTGCCTGACGCACGCAGTCGACTTTTTGGGTCTAAGGCAAGCCGGTTTCCTCACGATGTTTTCCTTCACCTTTCGAGCGAAAAATTTATCGCGACATAGAAAGAAAGTCCATTGGTGCACAGCCGGGGATCGAACCTACGACCACAGAGATGAGAATCGTACGTGAAAAGCCATAGGCCAAACCTGTATTTTCTCATCAGTCTAAAATATTCCAAATAAAACAAAATCCTAGATAGAAATATTCAGGATCAATACGAATGTATTTTCTCATCGTTAAAATTATTAATTGAATTAGTGATAATGAGGCACTACACGTCTATACTACATTATACGATCACCGTAAAGTATGTAAATAAATCACACGATAGGCGTGGTTAATTTCCTTTAATGGACCTTTTCTTATCACCAATTAGTTTTTTGTCTTCAATGCACATTGTGTTCAATTTTTCTTAATAAAAAATTCAAATTGATTTTCCTCCTATTTTCCAATAGGGAATTTATTAATCCTCAATATATGACAATTGGTGGCCTAATTCTGTATCAGTCTTGTTTGGATGTATTTTATGTTTTTTTTCAATAGAAACGACGCAAAAATTTGTTTTGCCGCTAATTGTCATAATTTTTAGTAGTGACACCTTTTGTGGATACATCCAATGTATTTAATTTATTTACATTATTAACTTTTTTTTGTATAGCGTGGTATCTGTTTTTTTCCCAAATAAATAATGCACAATCCTTAATTTGAATGGTGGGTAATTTTCCGTTAAAGTACACTCGTGAGATATTCCTTTTACTGGTCCGAGGCGGAATGTGCCACTTAGATTAAAATTGAGTGTGTCCTCGCTCAAACCATTATCCTTACATATCTTTATATGTAGCGATTTTTCGATTTTCAAAAGAATACTTTTTATTACTCCACAAGTACAGGTTTATGATTATAATGACCTTTATAAATATCAAAATTCTTTCATAAATTGTAATCTAAGAGGAAGCCTGTTGTACTTGCAAACAAGTCGTCTAGCATCTGAATGATGTTGGTACAACCTTATTGTCCATGAATAAGTACGCATTATAATTATGTTATTAACATTATGAGTCAGGCTCCCTTTATGATCCTGGTACACACGGGCCTTAGGCAAGTGAGCACGGGGTTTTTATAGGCATTTGTGCTTTTATCTTCCTGTATTTGGGAGGCTGTGAAAATGGATTTCGGGAGGTCTAAAAATTTTATACATTCGTGTGGGCGGTTATTATTATTACTTTTAAGTAGTGTAGTCTTAATCAGCATGTGTGATAAAATCAACTAGATTGGTTGAGATTAGTTATAGAGAATATTTCTTGCGAAATAAATTTCACAAATGTCTTAATTTATTATTAAAAAAAATCACTGGCGCTACAACCTCTTTAAGTCTTGGCCTCAGATTTGTCTATCTGTTTCATGATCATTTTTAAATCAAATAGGCAAGTAGGTGATCAGCCTCTAGTGCCTGACACACGCCGTCGACTTTTTGGGTCTAAGACATGTCGGTTTCCTCTCGATGTTTTCCTTCACCGTTCGAGGAAAAGTTAAATGCGCACATAGAAAGAAAGTCCATTGGTGCACATCTGGGGATCGAACCTACGACCTCAGGTATGAGAGTCGCACGCTGAAGCTACTAGGCCAACACTGCTTCTTAATTTAAAAAGGTATATAATTAATTAAATGTTTTCAGAGTGAACCCTAATATTAGAAGACACGTCTTCTGTCAAGGTCTCCTTAATGGCAACTACAGTGATTGGCAGTTCATGTACCAGAGACGGCTTAATTCAAACAACCAGGCGGATGAGACTGCCATGCTGAGAGCTCTTGGTTGTACAAGTGATAGTCAGGCTGTGCAAGAGTACGTATTATGTGAAGAATGTAATCACATAATATAACAATCATTGCTGCAAGATAAGAAATATTTGGAAGGCTTAGGAAATTTAATTTTAAATTATTTCACAATTTTTAAATTATTACACAATAATTTAAATGTATTGTGAAATAATTTAAAAATACGATGTTCTTTTTATATTTTTAACATTTTGCTTCCGATTTTTGTTTGTATGAGGGTTTTTCTTAAAATATTTTATACAGCTTTTTTTATTACAGAAAGACGTTTGCAACAATAGAAACGGCTTGTCATTTCAAAATATATACAACATTAGAGTAAATTAGAAAAAAAATATGCCCTTCGTGGAATATATATTGCTGAAATATACATTGATTAAATGGGGCTAGTTAATTGTCACAGGAAGCCTCTTAGGCAATGTCTAGTAGGTCCTAAAGGGGCCTACTTAAAAAGAGTGCTGGAGAGATTATTGCCTGTTCTTCTCTTCCGTTGTACGCCCTTGATTTTAGAACTGGCAGTAAATGTAAAATTATAAGCATTTAATGTATATTTCTTTTTTGACGTTCATAAGTGTACATTGTGTTACCTATATGAATAAATGATTTTTATTGATTGATATTAGTTATACTTATGTTACAAATTAAAATTAGAAAATACATGTGTTAGGTTATAAACAGTTGAATAATAATTATGTGAAACAAATTTATTCTCCGTTGCCATAAGAATCTTACAGTCTAATTGGAAAAATATTTAAAGGTTCCTGCAGATGGTTCTCAGCTCACACGTGAAGGCACAAGACAGTTTGAATGCTTTGTCATTCCTCTATATGGGCAATAGGGCAAACGCGAGGACAGCTCTAGAGTTTTTGAAACCAAGAGTGGAAGAGTTTAGGAAAAAGTAAGTTTAAAATTTGTTTTGATTCGTGTTATTCGCGTTTGTTCGTGAATAACTAAAACAATACAAAATTCGTATGTGCAACCAAACTCCGAAATAGCTTGACCAATTTTTATGACTTTTGTTTATATATTTGGTTTTAGATAAGCTCTAAGTGAAGTTTGACCCACGAGAAAAAAAAAAATCATTTAATTTTGTTGCAATTATTTATGATTTGATATATAGCCCTTAGGTTTCACCTCTTTACCATAAATCCCCATTAAAAACAGCGACAATAGTACTAACAAAATATTTGTATGAATACATTTATATAGAAAACCCGGGAGTCAATTCCAAAGTTGGAGAATGGAGATTAATATCGTTAAATGTCAATTAATCCAAAAATGACATTTAATACTTGACAACTGGCGACGCCATCTTGTCTAGAAAAGCGTTTTGGGGGTTTAAATTAGTTTTATGCTATATTTAAAATTAAATTATTAAATGTTTCATAAGGCAATGAATGCCGATACCGAGGAAGGAATAGCGTAGCTTATATGAAATTTAGTTTTATGGAGTAACTTTAATTTCCAGGGTTGTTCTGCCGGCCTGGTTTAATAATGTACTTAGTAATCTGGCGAGTTATCTAGATGAAGCAGGTCTTAACGACGTAAGTATGGTATTACGTTATCTTGAAGATAGCACGTTATTAATACAATCAATAAAACCGAAGTGTGCGTTTTACTGTATAGCTCTTTACTATATATATTATGTATAACTTTTTTATTCTTTATCACCACACAATTTGTATTTTCAGAAACAAAAATAATCAGAGTAAAACTCGACTTATTAAGACATTATTTTCCCAAGACTCGCAACTTACTATCGGGACTTGTTGACATAATTTTTACAGGGCCAGCGCTGCACTATTAATAAAAAAAATATAACATTGTACGTTTTAGACAGATAATAACTTTAAATATAAATACAATTACTTTTATCCAGTGTTTTATAAAGCACAAACTATTGTACCAGACACCATTGTACATTTTAAATTATATTTAATTAAAGTTGTTAAAAAGATTTTGAACTAATAATACTTATCATTTCTTTCGGAACTTTCAGAGCATAATATTATGTTTCAACTTTTCTTATTTCAAAATAATTTATTTTTAATTTTTTAATCTTTGTATAGATGGAGACTTGGCTGAGAGCCAACCAGGCTACAATTCCAGGTGCTTCGACAGGATTGAACGCGATAGCTTCTGCTAGAAGTAGCATGGATTGGGGAACGCAGAAAGCCTCCTCTATCCTCAGCGCCGCTAGAGGATCAGCTATTATTGTTGCACCGACATCCATATTATTTTTATTAACAGCTTTATTATTACTAAAATAAATTATAAAATAATATTTTTTTACATAAAAATAATTTAAAGGCAATAGAATAAATTGATTTATTAAAAAATATGAATGTGTTTTATTACATTATTAGAATCGCCGATTTAGTTAAAACTTATAAGATAATATTTTTTAATATTTACGTCTTCAAACCAAAATATAGATAAATAATAATTGTTGTAACATAAATTACTTTATATATGCGCTTGTGGTTTTTTAAATTTTTCAATCATTGTCATCGAACCTAGATAAATCTTAGAATTCAAAATTGTTCCAACGATAAATAACCGTGAATTATTACTTTAAGCGATTGTGTTTTTTTTTTTTATTTATGATTAAATATTGCATCATTGTAATAATTAATGTTTAAATATCCAATCATTCTTGAGAATAGCAAAATATTATGCAAAGTAAATTAACCATGAAGAGACATTTATTCTAGGGTGTGTCACTTAAATTTTAACGTTCAGCGAATAGCAAGTTGTTGTGTCTTTTCCTAATTATCGATTAAATTGAATTTTATTTATTGGCAATTTCAAATTTCCCCCCGGGGGGGGGAAGGGAAAAAAAAAAAAAAAAAAAAAGGGGGCAAAAACCCCCATAAAAAGACCTTCACCGAGATGCTTATTTAAAACTATATAGTTAATATTCAATAAATATCCGTTAATGTATTATTAATTAATTCACAATCAATTTAAATTTCGTTATAATTTGATAAATTCTATAGCCAAACATATTATGGCAAATACAAATTTAATCAATTAATTATTTATGGAATGAAACTATTCAAAATTCTTTAAAAAGCGTTATAGTGTACATTTAAATATCTGTTAAAAGTTCAAAGTTCGAAACTAAATTCTAATATTTCTTATGGTAAATTAATTAAATATTTCTCTAACTAAATTTGTAGGGCAACCCATATGGATTTTATTTAATACAATCAAGTTAAATTAAAATATTTCAAGAGCCTACGTGAAAATACAAATTTATATAGTATTTTTGGAGGTGAAATCTACTGTAAACAATAAATAATCAAGATACTTGACATGTATTATCAACGACAATTGATAAGGTATCCAAGATGAACGTTATCTGTAACGTCTGAGACAGCACAGTTTCAATATTTAACTGTCGATGAAGACACGGTGGTAAGATTTTCTAAATTTAACTACTTTAAGATTTTGGATTTTCTAGTTTTAATCTCGAGTTCATGGGTTCGATTCCCCATAGAATAGCAAGTTTATCATGGGGTTTAAAACCTTATAGTACTTGTATAAAAAATCGCTATTATAATACATTATATAAAGAAAATACCATAACAATTCTTGCCGGCTGCGTACTTGCGGGCAACGGTATCATTTAACATCAGATGAGCCTCCTTCCCATTTGACCTCTTTTATATAAATGTTTAATGAATCGCTTTTTATTACTATATTGCTTCCAGACAAATAGTACTGTCCATTTTGTTAAAGTTTATCGCCATACAAATATGTATAAAACCGACGGTTTATATGTTTATAATTTTTTACTCTTAGTAATTATTTTTTAACTCACCGTGCAAATATTTTCAGAAATGATTCGTCAAATGTTGATATTGACTCTGTGTAGCCTGCTATTTGCAGTTGCTAGAAGTGATACAAATTATCGTCTTAATACAAGCATAGTACCATCATCATACTCTATTGCTATAACTCCGTACTTTGATACGGGTGACGATAAAGCTTTTACGTTTGACGGAGAAGTTATTATTAAATTCATAACAGAATCTAATATTCATAGGATAAAAATTCATTCAGTAGATTTGAATTTTAATGCATCTGATATTAATATAAGCAGCGGTTCAGTATCAGTTAAATTGAATGAAGCGAATCCATTAGAGTTTGACAAAAAATACGATTTTGCTTACATCAATTTGGAATCAGAGCTTATTGCTGGATATGAGTATGAACTAAGTATCGATTACAATGGACCAATAAGAAAAGATCTTAAAGGATTTTATATGAATCATTATTATCAAGGTGGAGTAAAAAAGTAAGTACCCTATACCTAGATTATCTAGTTCGATATCCAAATGAATTTCAAAATCCGATAAAAAATAAGAAAATGCCATATGGTTAATGATAAGTTATGTTTTTATCTTCCGCCTGATATGTATTTAGGATGAAGAACAATCCTAAAGTACATAAGAATGATAACGTGAGACAATTATATTAATTTATATTTGTAGATGGTTAGGAGCAACACAATTTGAATCAACACATGCACGAAAAGCATTCCCGTGTTTTGATGAGCCCGGATTAAAAGCGGTATTCACACTTATAATAGACAGACCGGCAAGTTTTAAACCAAGTTTGACTAACACAAAAATACAGAGTACTGTGCCACTGTAAGATATAACAAATTTCTATTACCTATATTAGATTTAAAGAAAACACTTTTTTACCGGATTGAAGTTATGTATTATTATAAATTTACAATTATTTTACAGAATTTCGACGTTTTGCGTGCTTTACAGCGTGCGTGGTCAAGGTGAAAAAAGTGTTTTCTTTAAATGTGTAAAAGTTATGTCAATAAAAGACAATACTATATTAGATGTTAATTTTGATCAAAAATAAAAACCTTATTATTATAGGGCAAATGGCTATGTAAGAGAAATATTTTACCCGACACCTAGAATGTCTACTTACCTGGTAGCATTTCTTATATCGGAATTTGAAAGTGTAACAACGATCAAAAATGGAGACAATGAGTTCGGTGTATACACTCGTCCAGAAGCAATTAATCAAACAGAATACGCCGTTGATTTTGGGCAAAAGATTGTAGACGCTCTCGGTGATTACTTTGGGATCGATTATTACTCTGTGGATAGTAATTTAAAATTGGACCACGTTGCTCTTGTAGATTTTGATTCTGGAGCTATGGAAAATTGGGGACTTGTGAAATACAGGTAAGTGAATATAATCTCTCTCTTGAATCGGCAGCTCATATCTGAGCATCATGGAAGAACCTGGAGTGGACTATCTGTTTCCACCGGTTTCTGTTCAGCTCCTCTTTCAATACAGTGTATAGGTTTGAGGATGATGAGTCTTTCTCTTGATTGTTCCATCTAAAGTGAAGTGCCACGTGATCTTTTGCCTTCTGTGTTACCAACCACGATAATTTTCTCAAAGTTCTTATCGCCTTTGCGCATTGTATGACCAATATAAGATACAATTCGCTGTCGGCAGGCGAGATATCTATGTATTGGTGCGTTTGTGTGTGTGAATGTAATGAAAGTAATTAAAAAAATGAAATTAATTATAAATATATACATTTATTATAGAGAGTCTCTATTGTTATACGTTCCGGAAGATTCAAGCCCGTACTACAAATATAGAGTGGCACAAATTGTTGCACATGAAACTACGCACATGTGGTTTGGAAATCTGGTCACTTGTCATTGGTGGAGTAATACATGGCTTAACGAGGGATTTGCTAATTACTTTCAAGATTACATGACTTCTTTAGTAAGTACAAACAGTAAATGATGATTATGTAGGTTTATCAAAGGCATATATTATACTCACTACCTTGTATCTGATTGTATCTGATATATAAGATATAACTTAACGCAGTTTAGTATTATAAAACTGGCTGTAGCCAGAACTTCGTTTCGCCTTAATATATTTTACTTAGCCTCCCTTTTTAGTTGCTACATACCAACATATGGAAGATTCTGCTATGCTACCTCATAGAGACTGTTAAACCTCAGTACTAAATAAAATAAAATTATTATTTTTTCCTTTATGAGTAATTCCTCAGATATCATTATTTTCATTCAGAATGAATTAAAAAAAACTCGAATGGGTTCAGCCGTTTTCGAGTTTTGCGCTTAGCACATATTTTGCGATTCATATTATTAATATTAATAGATTATTATCTCAATATTTCTCGTGAACGGTTTGCGTGATAGTAATAATTAAAAAACATTGTTGTCATGGTTATTTAATTTTCCTTTGAATTTAATAATTACGCTATAAAAAGAAATGAAACCATCATAATATTTTCTTACTATTAATTTTTATTTATCTATTTGTGTTATCAACTCTTATATAATTGCACATAATAACAATTTACATGTTATAAAAAACAAAAAAATAACTCTTGCTAACAACTGTGACAGAATACAGAGTGCGAAAATTATAATATAAAACAAAAAATAATTAATATATTGTGTGAATAAAGAAAACTAATAACTTAACTATAAATATACAAAAAATAAGATATTCATTTTTCAAACTATTATAAAAGTAATATCCACATAAGAAAAATAAATTATAATTATTTCTTAATAACCAAATTTTTACATGTTAGTTGTACTCCAACCAAGTATTAATATTTAATATCAGAATTAGTGTACTATATTTAAAAGTCAATCAGATAATTAATATTCCTAGCCTTATTTAGGTAGTTATCTACTAAATAATTGAGATTTGTAGAACATTAATTTTTTCAACGCTTCTCAAGTTTCTATAAATAAATATTAAATGATGGATATATTTTAGATTGAGCCAACCGTCGGAGCTGCTGACCAACTGGTAATAGGCTCCGTGTATGCGGCCTACGATGCCGATGAAAAATCAGATGCTGTTCCGATAACCAATAATGTAGTGAATTCACCTGAAGAAATCAGCGGCCATTTTGGTACGATTACATACCAAAAAGCTGGCTCTGTAATTCGCATGATTCATCACTTTATTGGTAATGATGCGTTTAAGTTTGGACTTCATACATATTTAAATGCCAAGTAAGTCTAACTTTAAAATACTATAATTTAATATACACAATTATGTTCTAAGTAAACACATGTATGTTATAAGTAAAGTGTTGTATCTTGATAGTTAAACAAATTAATAATATTTTAAAATCTCTCTTCTCAAGTAAAATTACAATGCATAATGCAATCGAAATCAATATTCTCATACAAGCCATGTTAGTCCAACTTGTATATTTTCAGTCAATTGCAACCCAGTTACCCAGAGAATTTGTACGCTGGTTTAGAAGAAGGAGTTGCTACTTTCAACTCGCTTTCTAGCTATCCAGGATATGATTTAACTTCTGTCATGAGTTCTTGGATATCTCAAGCTGGACACCCTGTATTACACGTCGAAGTTGACCATGCTAATTCATTAGTGAAACTTAAACAGGTTAGCACTTTGGTCTCATTATGACCTGTTATGAATTTACATCATGTACTAAGATTCTATACAAGAAAATTAAATACAGTGTCTTTACTAAGACATCATGGAACATTACAATCTATTTAACTTAAGACTAATAAGTAATTAAAGTCTAATAATAATTTAAAGATGTAATATGCATATTACATATTGCATTTTTCATCAGGAAATGCTGCCAGCGTTAAAGGTACACTGCCACAGGGACCAAACTTTTTAAATTTGTTTTGATTTTATTTTTAATAATTTTTATTATTACTTTGTAGGTTAAGCAAATTGTTAATACTGTATAATACACGATATTTAATTAAAAAAAAATATCAAAAAATCATGTGTAAATATTATATTTTCTCTTCAGTTTTTAAGCATTGCTAGCAGAGTGGTTATGCTTAATTTAGTATTGGATGCTTCAAATAAATCAATATTATTATATGCATATAAAAATACACTTTGTTTTAAAATACGTATAACAATTTGGATTCTTTAATCGCAATAGCCAATCGTCAAAGCATGAATTGGATTATCATATTCACACTTTTTTAATATTCTGGAATACTGTATTGGTGGGATTTTAAATTAATCGAGTAGATTATGAATTTATCCGTTGCTAAAATAAAAAAAATATTTCAAAAATTAGTAATGAGTTAGAAATGATAATAGTGCCATCGTTTTAAAGAATTCATTCAATGGACGATATGTTACAGAAACGGTTTTACATCGACCCTACTAAATCATCAGATGAGCTATACAAAATACCAATCACATACACCACAAGCAATGCTCCGAACTTTGAAAATACAAAACCGAGCTTTATTATGGATGGTGAAACCTATGAACTCTCGGTAAATCTTACAGAAGACACGTGGATTATATTTAATGTTCAAGAAACAGGTGATTTTTTAAATGTGTTAAGTTATTTTCGACGCATATTCCAGCTATACTGTATTCTTATTTAACTACGTAGTGTTAAATAAAACAAAAAGATTACAATCTGTATTGTATGATCAAAAGTTGGTTTTAAAACTCGAATTATTAAATGGTTTTCTTATACTACCCATTTTTTTACAGGGCTTTACAGAGTATCATATGATGTTCACACTTGGCAATTAATATTCAAGGCATTGAAAGGAACTAAAAGGGAAGAAATTCACTATTTAAACAGAGCTAAGGTAACATATGAGACATTACTACAACTTTTAGTTAAAATAATCGCGTTTGCGAAAATTCTCACGCAGAATTCAAACATTGTTTATTAATTTAGTAACAATTTATTTATTTTTGTTATTCCATGTAAGAGTTTTAAGCTCTTATATATATAAATATAAGTCCTACAGAAAGGTATTGTTAATTTCAATTCTGATGCCAAAGAAAATATTATTGGCGTTTAAATAAATCGCGCCTAGTAAAAATTGCAGAGCAAAGTGGCAATAGAGCTTTGTATTTTTCATTCATGTTCCTACTGGTCCTGAACCAGCCTGACTAAATACACTCTGAAAGCTAACTGTGTAATTCGTCAACAAATATGCGTTTTATATACAATTTTCACGAGGAGGAATTCGCGGCACTAACTACTATATAAATAAATATAGATCAATGTTGATGCTACAAACGAAATGAAGCGTAAAGCGAAATTAAATAACCATAATATCATAATGATTTTAGAATGAAACATTGAGTCATTAACTGTCATAATAAGTTCAATCAAAGATCTTATTTGTATCTTCAGATTATAATAACTAAACTAAATAGTGACTAACATAAAAATACTTGCAGATTATAAACGATTTGTTCGCATTTCTATTCACCGGTGAAATTAAATTTGCTATGCTATACGAGGGACTAGAGTTTTTACACGAAGAAAAAAGTTATCCCGTTTGGTACGCCGCTGTTCGTGGTTTAAAGAAATTAAGGACTATGTATATTGGAAGCGAAACATTATCCTTAATTGATGTAAGTGTTTTGTGTATGCTGCTTTCAAGAGGTTATTGTAAGCATATTTATAGTACTTAATTGAATCCTGTTTTCATCATGGTGCAGATAAGACTTTTCTGGTGTTAAAAGAAGAAACAGTGAAAAACGTCCTATTCAAAATATACTTCAGTTCTTAAAATACTTATTCATATTAAAAACATCAGAACTTATGAACAAGACATCAGAACATCAGAACTTATGCATTTAATGACGTGGAATAAGTGATACCTATATCGTATATTGCATATTAAACGTATTTTATTTTATGAATGATGGTGAAAGTATAAAAGAATAATGTAATGTTTTCTTGCAGGCATATTCTCTCAAATTGATTGATAGTGCAATCAAAAATCTAGGCTATGAAGTAAATCCTATGGATGATTATGACACACTTAGAAATAGAATGCAAATCCTTGACTTGGCTTGTCAACTCGACCATCAAGGTTGTATTGATAACGCTGCAGCGAAGTACAAAGACCTGAAGGAAAATGGAAAAGAGTAAGTATTCATATTATTAGTAATTATTGATAAGTAAATAGTAAAGGATGTTTCACAATTGCACAAACTAAACTAGTAGCACGCACAAAATCTTTGTGTTACTTGTTTGATGTTAGACTAACTTCGTTCATAAAATCTATCAGTTTAATTGTACTTCGTTATCTATATTCCTCTCTCTCTTTCAAATTGTATTTACGCCATTGAAAGAAGTTCTTTGCTAAAATTAGACTGATTCATTATTTATGAATTAGATAGTTACACCTAGCATTCGCAAGTATAAGTATTTAAATAAATAAAAAAAGAACAGTTAGATTGGACTCTCCTTGTCTCTCACTAACGATTCCTGGAAAGTTTCTTCTTCTGGTGCCACTTTAATGTTAAACGTTGGCTGTTAACAACATGAATTGCCGGGTATTTGCGCTAGTCTAAAAAGTTCCTCGGCGGATGTGATGCCGGTCCACCCCCGTACGTTCTGCAACCATAAGTTCTTCCTTCTACCAGCCCGTCTCTTGCCTTGAATTTTCATCATTATAAGCTGCAACAACTCGTATCGGTGATGAGATATCCCAGAAAGTGTTCACTAGTTAAAGAAGTTTTAAATATTTACACTAAATAACAATGAACTTCATTAGAAGCTAATGCACAAAACCTGAAACTTTCCCGAGAAACAATAAATGTGCTCCATATTTTTGTCTTCTGAGTTTTAGTTCCACATAATATAAAAGATTGTTGTTGAGTGTGGCTGTCTGTTTTTGAAATATTCTTATCACCATGAAGCTTTAGATTAATTTCTTATTGCAGAATATCGCCAAGCTTACGTTCGGTCTCTTACTGTACGGGACTACGGCTTGGAGATGGGAAAGACTACGACTTCTTATGGAGTCGGATGGCGTCTACAAACGTCGCGAATGAAGCACGAACCATTGGAGACATATTGGGATGTACAGCAGACGAAGAGAAGTTAAGAAGGTGCGTATTACCAAAGATAATTAAAATAAATGGACACCCTTACTTGACATTACTTATATGTATTATTGTTATACTATTTGTGCTCATATTTAGGTCATAGATTTATTGCACATAGGTACTAGGTCTGTCTTTCGCATTATCTACTCATTATAGTAATGGCACCTTATTATTCGATTCGGCAATCCCATATACAATTTTTTAAAGTGAGCCATGATTTTTTACTTAATTCTATTTCCACTGGTTTATGTTATATCATTTATTTATCAGATATTATTAAATATCTGAATAACTTATAATTATTACAAAAAGTCAAAATAAGGATGTTTAACCTTTTTGTGTGTGATATTATTGAAGTTGATATATATATATATATATATATATATATATATATATATATTATAAATAGTTTTATTTTTGTACCGACATATTTCTCGTAAATAAATGCTTATGTTTTTAATCAGGTAATAAATATTAATTATTAATGATTTAAACAAATAAATATTTAAGCTTTGCAGTGAGAGGTTTTTTGTATGTTACAGTTTCCTAGTATCGACGCAAGTAGAAAACAGTCCAATACTAACTCAAGATCTAACTGTACCCCTAAGCAGTGTTCTAGCTAATCACAGCCACGTTTCCCTGGTAATTGAAGAATTGGACAAGAACTTAGCACTATGGAAATCTATGTATGTATTTTAAATAACATTGTCTTTTCTATCGCATTTAATTTAATCCCTCGGCATCATCCGTAATTCAGCGCGTGTTAAACATTTTAAAATTGTAAAATTTTGATGTGAAACAAATGAGCATCGTAGAATAATGTAATAGAAATATGTATGGGTTTTAAAGACATTTTTTTTCAGTTATCCATCTTTCGACGGAGTTCTATCGTCAATCGCCACAGCTCTACATACAGAAAACGAATTTGATACTGTAAGTATACGTCTGAAAATATTAAATTAAATATCTTGCAATACTTTTTTTGTAAGTTGTAATGTTCACAATCTTCTTGGAAACCAAACCAATCTTTTGTGATTTAAACCCAATAATATTCCAACTACAAACCCCAATTTGCGTAAGAATTTTCCAGAAGTGATCCAAGTGTACGCCATCGAATGCCCTGCAATAGTCAATAAGATTCTTGTGCGAGCATTTATATATATAACTAGCTGCCCCCGCGAACGTTTCTCCTTAATGTCATTTTTAGCCTACCTTTTTAGTACCAACATGGAACATTTTGCTATGCTACCCCGGAGACTGTTCGATTTTCTGGAATGAAAACTTTTTAGGTTTTTCTGTGAATTTTTAACTATATAAACCTCTGAGTTCAAGACATAAGATTTAAATTAACAAATAAAAATAGGGCTTGATCATAGAGATGTGAAAATTAAGTGTTGTATATATTTTCTGTATGCGATAACAATAAAAAAAAAAAAATTAGGTTGACACCCTTTATCACTTAGGGGTTTGAAAGATAGATAGTAGCGATCTAGACTTACTGAATATGCATAAAACATTTCTAAGAATCGGTCGAGCCGTTTCGGAGGAGTATGGGAACGAACATTGTGATTCGAGAATTTTATATATATAGAGATGTCCTGGGGTATGCATTTGCTTCGCGTGAGTTTCGATTTTTAATACGAATGTGTTCAATAATTTTTGTTCCTTCGACACCCCCTTAGCTTTAAGCTCATGGTATAGCGTACCGTTTAGATCAGAAGTACCTTTGAGGACCTCTCGTTCTATGTTTGATGACACGCCACGTTTCTTCTAAACTCCATAATTGGCACACGTAATGTTGACTAAAATTAACAACGCAACAACAACTCAATAAAGAAATATACCTGAGTACACTTTCATTAGTGCGAATGAAAATAGAATCCGTTTGTCGTAACCCTTCATTATGTGTTTGTTTGTTTGGTCATTTAGGTCACAACGAGTAATTAGCTAAAAGGTCAATAGGGGGAAGTGACTCGGCCAATATTTATGATACTCTAACACTTTATTGAGTTGCTTTGTAAAGGAGTTTTTATTTCAAATGTTCAGAAATGAGAGAGTTAACAAAATTTATCTATTTCGTGATAAATCTATAAATTATTGACCACCGTATACGGTGGAATCAATCAATTTTAATTTTTTGCAACTTTATAAACTAGGTTTACAGTTTTGTTTAGTCAGCGATATAAATAATGAAGAAATCGCTACACAACATTGTGTAACAAATCATCTAAATAATAAAAAAAGTTGTGTTAGTTACACTACTTATAACTGGATTATTATTTCATTCCCTTGATGGATTCTCTTGCGGAATAACAGAATAAGTACTAAAATATCAGATTGGAAAACTGAAAATTGCACGGACAAACCTTTTAACAAATTTTCTTTGCGTGATTGTGAACTGCAAACAATTCTATGGGTTAGCAAATGAATATGACCATATTTGGCAAGTAGCTACTAACCCAAAGGTAAATGTAATAATAAATCATTTTAGGGGAAAATAAGGTTCGCGAGATAGGCGATAGTCTTTAAAGGTTCTAAACAATATGTTTGTCTATTTTCTATGATCCTTCTTTCCTAACATAAGATGAGCTCTTCCGTTTGCCTCCTATTACATAAAAAAGAGCGTACCATTTGTGTGTAGCTGGCCATACAATCAAGCTTTCTGTATCTTCTTTCTGAAACATAATTTTGCCATAATCCAACGCCTCGGTAGACTGTGTGCATTCTATTACATAAAAGCAGTCATTATTTATTGCAGATATTTTAATGGTTTCATTAATCTTTGAGCTGTCCTGGCGTAGTACGTTATTTTTAGGTATACTCAAACATTTAGGCATTCCAATACTGAAAACATTTTTGAAATCGGTCAAGTAGTTTTTGAGTTTATTCGTCACAAATATAGAAATCTTGCCTCTTTAAAATATTAGTAAAAAAAAAATGAAGACAAATCATTTTAGAAATTGTTGCGTAAATAATTATAACATTTACATGTTTTACTATATTTGCGTACTTACGTTCGCGAACTATGAAAGAAAACATCTGCTTGCTGTTGATTGATTTTTAATGCCGATTCATAGAAATCGGACTTTACAAAATACACTTTTTAAGTTATTGCTGAAAATAATCTTAATATCAAATATAGGTTTCTTATTTTACACTTCAGAGGAAATGTTATTATTACAAAATTGCTTTCTTAAAAAGTAAAATTAAATATAACCTAAAGCAATGCAACACATCTCGAAATAGCCATTGAAATTGTGCCAATTCTGTTGACACTGAAGTTGCGTTCAATGGCAAAACAATTAAACGAAATTAATCATTTATGGTTCATAATTACGTAGATGAGAAAATAGCAAGGTTAAAGAGAAATTAGCACAGCCGCTTGTTATAAATAATAGGACTAATAAGATGTTATAACTTCCTCGATCATTAAATTCAAAAACTACGTGATCGGAAAACAAATGAATCTCACCAAATTTGTAAGCTTGTCATCAGAATGAGGTGGGACCTTATTATAGTTGCATATTTGTTTGTACACTGGCTGAGTTCATAAGAGTTGCTTCCTATATTATTAGTTATAAGATTTGGGTGGTAAAAAATGTTTTTTTTATTTTTTACTAGGTGGTTGGGTGTAAATATTGTGTCGTTCTATCGAATTAGTAACTGTAAAGATAGAATGGAACAAAATAAATAAATTAAATATTATATGTAAACAATAATGTTGTCATTGAATTTGCCATTATTTATAAAAATTACTTTGAATAAAGTTTTTTGTCTTTTTAATTCAAATTGTGATAAATAGAGTCTCTTAAAGGGCAGAATTATGCTGATATATTTTTTTAGGGAAAAGGGTGTTAATAATATGTAAGTGATTATGAATAAGCAAAAAAGCATCTAAATTATGGCTAAATTAAAGTGTAAAGTCTATAGGACTTGAAAATACCCGTGGCAACTGAGTTCTCCTTGTCGGAGGGAAATATTATTTAATTTTATTTGTACCTATGACTTTTCATATTAAGTAAGGATTTTGCAATGTCGATGTGGTAACCTAAAGAACGAACTTAATCGATTAATAATAAACAATTTTTGATTGTAATGAATCAGTTGCATGATACAAAACTTCCGTAAAATAAAATATAAAAATATAAAATTACATGTCAAGTAGTAATAATCCTTAGATTTCAAAATCCTATCCTACCCCCAACCCCCCCCCCCCCAAAGGTTTTTTTTTTTATATGTTTATCCTATCTTATATATTATTATTAAAGGTACTTTCATAACCTAAGCACCTACCTACGCACTGAACTTTGTCAATCTTTCAGTTCGATTCCTGGCTATCTTCCTGTGAGGAATGTGGTGATGAAGCCGTAACAAAAGCGAAAACTTCTTTGGCAGCAGCAAAAGCAGTAACATCATGGGCTGACAATCATAATTTAGATATCCTGGCCACCTTAAAGGGCAGCGCTCGTATTGTTACTTCCTCTATGTTTATGATTCTTTCTGGTATACTTTGGGCAGTTTGTGCCTTGTAAATTTCATGTTGGTAATATTATTAAAAAGATTGAATGTAGGTAATTCATGCAGATAAGTGTAATTTGATAGTATTTATAGTAAATTATGTATTAAATAGAGTTTAGGATAGAAAATGTAAATAAAATTCGAAAGAGATCCCTTTCCACTATGATATTAATTAAACATATATTTCAATTGATGTTGCTGTTACTGTATTTAACGTAATAAATTATTGACTCGTTATATTACTTTAGTTTCCCCTCCTCCAGTTTACTTATAGGTAAATGTCAAAAACTGCTCGCAAATTACCCCCATCTGACCCCTTTGATCTATTAAGTTTCATATGTTTAATAAAGGTGAAAAATACGTCATGATACTAACCAAAGGTATAATGGCCAAAATAATACGCAACGGTTATAGACGCATCATAAACAATTCGAACGTTCGCTAAGAGCGGACGCGTCGGTCCTTTCGCCGCGAATTCCTTTTCTGTATTTAAAATCATAAAAATATTAGTTGCACAAAATATATTAAGGTGTATTGAAAATGTTGTTCTTCACTATTTTGATGTTCATTTGTACAACCAAAGCGTACGTTTTGGAAGAAGAATGTTTGAATTACACAATTTATCCCGCGCAATATGAGCTTACAATAATACCGCATATATTTAAAGATGGAACATCATATTACGATTGTGATTTATTAATAACGGTAATAGCAAATGCGCCAAATGTGAATATTATTGAGTTGGACGCAAAGGAGTTAGAGATAAAGAGTGGTTCGATAAAAGTTCTGGATGGTGTAACGGATATTGTTAATCAACACAGACCATACGAGTTTGATAATAAAAGGGGAAAATTGTTTATTTATTTGAGGGAACCGATGAAACAATACAGTGCAAGTAGAACTCAGTATATAATAAGAGTGTCTTTTGTGAAATACGTTCATTTGGATAGCGAAGGTGTATCTATTGTTCCTTATAAAGGAGACGACGGGAAACAAGCGTAAGTATTAACTAATAAACTCAAAATAACTTAATTCATATAGGTAAACAAGTACACTTATGAACGTCAACAGAAAAGATGTTAATTTGATTCTTAATTTAAACTGGTAGTAACCAGTTCGCAAGTCAAGGGGGTAGATCGAGCTAGAAGAACTGGCAAGAAACTCTCTGGCCCTCATTTTAATCGCCAAGTTTTCAGTCATACAAATTGTTAAACTGGAGCAAATCAATCCTTTCATCATGATCATTCAAGTATGATCAAGTATGAATTATATTATTTGAAAGCTAAGCTAAGCTTATTATCAAAACACTAGTTTTAAATCAAGCTATTATTGAGATGATGCTGAAGCTGATTTAACACATCATTTGCAAGTCGTCAGAATTCTAGGATAATAATTTTAAGACAGCCAAACAGACTTAAGAGGGAAGTGATTGTACACTATCCTGTATAAAATATAATTTTACCGAAGTATGTCTCTTGTAAAATACTAGGTCTTATTTTGATTAAACATTATATGATTTGAGCAGTGTTGGCCTAGTGGCTTGTGGCGACAACTTTGTAGTCGTGCGTTCACGGCTGTGTACAAATTGTACATGTGCTGAATGAAGGTAAGGTGAAGGCAAAGATCGTGAGGACATGGGCACTGGGCAGGTCTCAAAAGAAGGTGTCAGACCAACTAGTCTATAAAAAGAAATAAATTTGGCAAAAAACTAATACAATGTGAGACCTAGGCCCATATGGGGCTGTAGCGTTGGATTATTATTTATCTGAACCAAGACGCAATTCATTTGAAAAGAAAAGATTTCTGGGATTACACCAAAACATTGTTTTCCACGAAAATTTAATTTAGAAACGGGCGATATGCAAATACTACTCGTAGGCGATTAAATAATAAACAGAAATAAAACATAAAACACCTTGAAAACGCGTATTATAAGAAAATTGTTTGTTTATATGTTGGCGGAACAGGTGACCTTCTTCCCACATGCACTGAGTACAGATTTATGGCTAGATCGGAGTAGTCAAGATAGTTCCAGTAAAATTATTAAAACTCCTAAACGGTTTGATATATTTTGTAGATTTAAAAAAGCTAGAGAGAAGAGATAACTGACTCAACACATGCGTTGCCGACCATTAAGGACATAAATATTATCAGCAAAATTCTTACAAAAATAAATATATTGCTTTAATAAAATACATAATAAAATAAAACAAATAACACATTCATGCAAATACAGGGGTCTAGGCTCCGAATATAATTTTGTCCCATTCGGTGTCGAGACCCTTGGCCAAAGGTTACAGGAGACCGAAGAGCTGGCAGCTGCCTCGTACAAATAATTAGTCTAGCTATTCAAAGGGGGAACGTCGCCAGTATCTTTGGAACTTTACCTAAAGGGACTTTTAATAATATATTTTAGTTAATATATTATTTGTTATTTTTAAAGGTTCTTAGTTGTAGGTTCCTTTTTAAAATAAGAGAACCAACTATGTATTGTTCTTCACGAAAGGTAAAGACCTTGAGCCGTCCCTCGAAATCACAGCAGAAGTTATCGAAGAATTACAAGAAAATAATTTTGTAATTACAAGAAAAAAATATAAATTATTAAAATGGTAAAACTTTATGCATACACTCCTTCCCACAAAATGCTATGAATGTATACGTAATCCAACATACTTGCAATAAGAGCATCATCAGGAAACCATTTTTATGTCAGGGCCTTGTTTAATTACCCATAACAGATTTGTCTTGATTTATAAATCACAGTATCAACCTACGCACTGATATATTTATTATCATTATAGACAATCGCAATAGGTGTAGAATTATAATAGCTATGTTTATATTGCTGGCTGTTTCGTTAGTTACTATATGTATAAAACGAGGAATAATCACAAATGAGAGTTTTTCTTTATTTTGACTTGACTTAAGGTTCTATGTCCCCTGTGTGGGGCAGAGGGCATCCAGCGTAGAATACCTGCCTGATCGGTGTTGGTCAAAGTCAAAGCCAAAGTCAAAATCATTTATTCATTTAGGTAACACAATGTAGACTTATGAAATGCTTCTAATTTTACATTTACTGCCAGTTCTCAAATAAAGGGCGTAGAACGGAAGAGAAGAACTGGCAATAAACTCTCCGCCACTCTTTTTAATCCCCAAGTTATTTTGTTTTACACAATGTTTGTAAGGAGCTGCAACCATTACTCCATGTTCCACATGACATCTTAAGTAATTAATAATAATAAAAAAAAACTAAAAACAAATATTTGTCCTCTATGTTGGACCGGACTAACTCCAAATAATTCTAGCTCTCTTCTCTTCTCTCTAATGAGGCTTTGTTTCCGTCTGTTTTGGGAGGAAAAACAAAAGGTTTTCTTTTGCCTTGGGGATCCCGGCCAAAAGCTTGCTTGCCAATGTGACTAGGATCCCTTCAGAACAGCTGGCACTTAATTAAATTAAATTAAGTTAGTTAATAAATATCTAAATTAATATCTATTTTTTTTTATTCAAAAGTCTTTGAACTTACTTTTATTAATTAGACTTAATGACAGGATAGATGACAGAAAGGTTTTACGAATGTTAAGTTTGTACCTCTTACAAAGTAAAGAAGAAATCATTTTTGAACAGCGAATGATAATTATTATGGTGGCTGTACACACTCGACGAGAGCCTCTCGCCGAGAGTCTCGACCGAGAGGACCGAGAGAAGAGCGCAGCCTGTACACACTCGTTACGTTAATTGTATTTAAAACACCGTTAATAATGGACGTGGAAACCGCTGCTGCTGTTTTTCTTTGTGCAATAAGTTGTTATAATTTTCTTCACGTTTAGCATTAAAAAAAAATACGAAGCCATGGCGAAGAAGAAGATGGTGACTATGCACCGCAACAGAAATTGGTAATTAGGATCATAACGTTTTAATATTATCCAAAATTGAGTGATTGAACGAGTGTGTACAGGTCGCTCTCGTTTTACTCGCGAGACCGTTTGACTCGTGCGCAAAAAACCGACAGGTGACCGAGAGAGGCGAGACCAACTGCGAGGAAGCGAGACGAGACGAGAGCTCTATTGTACACTCTCGCACTCGGCCTGTCTCGGCCGTGTACAGCCACCATTAGGAAGTTATACCTCATAATTAGTGTAAACTCAGCGTTGGTAATACTAATTATAATTTGCAATAGTTTGCAAAGTGAAGTTAAGTGTTAACGTTACTTCCGTTTTAATACGCCTTTTTAATTATTCACATTAATTATATTCTCCTTGTTACAGATATCTATATACTACCCGATTATCTCCAACCAAAGCTAAATATTTCTTCCCATGCTTCAACAATCCAGAATTTGAAGCTGTATTCAAGTTAAGGGTGTATGTTGCACCGCCACGGCCGGGCATCCAGTTCTGTAATACCACATTAGTCGTCGCAAAAGAGTTAAACAGACAGAAGTAAGTAGCGATTTTGCGGAATTCAGAATTCCATTCCCACACCCTTCTGGCATTATTGTCTAATAAAAATCAAATCCTACAAAAACAAGTATTTTCTATAGTGAAAGTGAGACTCGTACGTATTGTGGAGGTCTGAGCATAGAACACAATACTCCATTGTGTTAGGAGGACTTAGGAGTAATACGTAGTAGCTTATCCTTTCCAAATTAGAATTGAGATTTTTTTTATTTTTTATACATGTGTCACTTCACTAAGACATCATGGAATATTACGATCTAGCCTAACTTAAGACTAATAAGTAATTTAAGTCTAACCTAATTTATTGAAAAGGATATTTAACATAAGAAAGTGTCCAATAACACTACTTATAGTCTCTATTAAAGGGAAGACACTTTGTTCTTGTGATCTATTTTTTCACTCACTGTTTAGCACTTAATATTAACGTGCACTAACACTAATTCACTAGAATGAATTGAGATGGTGCCCCAAAGAGTAAAATAGTGATTCGAATTTGAAATAGGAATTAATACGTTATTTCATTCAAGCTTTTATTATTTGTTTATTTATAAAAGCTTGCCAACGCTTGGCACACTGATACTTTGATAAAAGAAGAATAAAATAAAATTTTTAATGTGTCAAGCACTTACAGGCAAACATAGCATACAAGAAGTAATAAAATTAACTAAGCAAAACAATAATATAATTTAAATAAACATTAAAAGAAAATCGCTCTCAGAGTGTGAGGTGAGCTACTATGGATGTCCAGATCCAACTCGTTTAACAGAATGCTCAATCTGGACATAGGTGAATTTCGGCTAAAACGCTTTCTCCGGAAAGGAGGGATAAATGGAATGATGGGATGTCTGGGATATCTACTGGGTACACGAAATTTAAATTTTGTTAAAAGGTTGGGGCAATCTAGCTGATTGTTAAGTATCTTAATGGCAAATGATACATCAATTAGTTAAGCTTTCGTCCCAATAAAAATAACAACATTAATCTTGTAACTAAAAACCTATTTCCTCTTAACCACGTTAAATTCCATGCCTATAAATAGAGACCACTGATGTATAACATTATCTCGTATTATTGACGCTCGATACGGAACTGGTCACACCATACAAGTTACAATTGACACAGTTTCTATTCATAGTAACCATTTTTGGTCTGGTCCGGAGCTTTGTAGAGTTGCGACTTCCTTTTTATTAAAACGCGTGAACATGCTTAACTCTTGGAAAGTTAAGAGTAGCTCCACATACGAATACTTTAATCATACGACGCAATATCTAATAACGAGAATAATAATTGCTGCGAATGGAATCGAGGACCATGGGGTTTTAACCACTAAGTCACAAAGAGTCACTCTAACATTTTACATTATTTTGACGTGTGATATTCATGTACCTGAAATAATAAAGTAAATAAATTAGGTTAGGTTAGGTTACATATTACGTCCTCCCACCGCAAATGTCCTCCTGCGGGGTCCGAGCCTTGACGTGGCCGGGGAGGGCTTAGTAACTGGGGTGCAAGCCAGCACCTTGGTGAAGCGAATCGAAAGAGGGGGCCATTCTATTGGCCCCAGCGGCGCTTCATGCCGTGGTATGGCTGGCCTTTAAGGCTGGCGAGGCTCGTCGAATTGACGGCGAGCCCCTAACCTCAGTTTCTGGCGCCCGGCGATGGGGTGAGTGGCCGGGGGAGTTCGGTCCCGAGGGGTCCCAGGGTGAGCTGTCTTACCTGGATAAAAATTAAAGCGAAAATGAAGACAAAACTTGTAAACTACCCCAGGCGGGTCAAATCCCGCCACCTGCTCGCAAGAGCCGGTGCAAAAGTCCCACCGTACTCTGGGGGGACAATCTTCATGATTCCGGCGCTTTTGCCGAGGCGAGCGAGGAGAAAATCATTAGAAATAACACATGGATAGTAGAAGATATCCACGGACCAACCAATAAACCCGGATCTGAGAGAATTACAAGAAGTGACCGTGGTGCTGAGCGCACTCTATGGGTGAGATCTATAGTGCGACTTAGACTTTGCTCTGACTTAACTATGAGCTAAGACACAGTCGGTATTTATAGAGCAAACTGCAATCTCTCCTAGTTTGGCTTAGCTTAATCTCAAGTCCACGAAATCGACACTTACCAAAAACTTTGACTATAAGCCTAACAAAAATAATGGCCCAAAATTTGCTTTACCATATTCTTTACTGGACTTTTTATTTTTGTCGGTTTTTAATGAACGTTTGAGCATAGACTTTGGGAAAAATAGAATTTGAATTTAAAGAAATTATAAATGATTTGATAAATACCTATGAAATGCATGAAATAAAATAATTATTTTACGCCGGTGCCGGCTTTCAGGGAATTTTTGGCGACCATAGTTGACGCACCTACGTCTGTGTGGAAGGTTATGGATTCCTCCGCGAATTGATCGCCAGATCACTGGATTGTACAGACCCTACATATCCTAGATTCTGGAGTTCTCGCAAACGAACCAGGAGTGGCGAAGACGATGGCGACAGTACAATCAGGAGTCGTCTGTTCGGACCCCACTAAAAGTTGCTACAACAAGAAGAGGAAGAGGCCGCCCACCAAAACCAGAGGGTACATGGGCTTGGCGCCTGCTAGGTTGTTATTTAAAGGCCAAGAAAACGGAAAAGGAAGCCCAGGCTAGGAGGAGATCCTCGCTTCATTGACTGAGCCGAGTAAACCCGCACCAACACCAGCGGCAATGAATGCAGAAGGGGAAATTTTGACGGCAGATCTGACGGCGATGGCCATAAGGGTGGCAAGGGCGTACCGCACCGTCTCTTGCGAGGCAGCGTGTGTTATTGCAGGAACTGCCCCTGGCACCTCGAAGCGGCTGCTAGCCAAGATCTATTGGCATAGGGCAGATAGTAGAAGTAGGGGTTTCGACCCCTTCCTGAGCACATAAACAGCTGGAGACGGGAAGCCCAGTGACCGTCCTTCAGAAATGGATGGATGAGTTACAAGATCACAGGGCAGGAGTCTGGACAATTACATCTATACGTCCAGTGCTCAACTTGTGGGTAAATAGAAGATGGGGGCACTCTAGTACCGACTGTTCAGGTCCTCACAGGCCATGGATTTTCGGTGGATACCTTCACAGGGTTGCCAGGAGGGAGGCATCCCCATTTGCCACGAGTTTTTCGAGACGACACAGCGCAACACACTTTAGAGGTTTGTCCGGCTGGAGCTCTGAACGTAGCCTATTAACCGCCACCTTCGGATTGGACCTGTCGCTTCCAGTCATAGTTAAAGAGATGGAGGCTGAAGTGACGGCCCGTGGAACACTTTCAAAGCGTTCTGTGAAGCCGTCATTACACTTAAAGAGAATGGGAGAGGGTTCGGGAGTGTAACCCAGACGCCGACCCTCAACGCAAAAAAGGCCTGGAAGGAGACGTCGCGATTACGCACGTACCCACTGGGACCTTAGGACAGGATTGGGCAACGCAGAATATGTGCTCAACAGCAGACGCTCATGACGGAGGCACGGATTAAGGGAAACTGTTACCGCGCTACCGTCCATAGCGAACAGATGGGGCTGTTGGGTTTTAGTGGGTAGGTGTCCATTGCACCATACGGACTGACTCCCACACTCCCTGGCCACTTTTAATGTTGCCCCGGCGCGGGGGTCAGTAAATTGATTTCCCAACAATAAAAAAAAAAAAAAAAAAAAAGGTTACATATTACGTAGGAAACATACTTCGTTGCCATAAACTAAAATTTTAACATAATTAACTATTTAAAATCTACATTTTTAAGATCTTATAATTTGCATTCATTGCCGCTAAAAGGTCTAATCTTTGAAGGTTATCGGGCAATTTTGTATGGCGAGTTGCGTGAATCATGTATATTTCAGGAATATATGATACAAATGCAGTGAGATGCTTATTATTAAAATAGAGATGTTAGGCGTCTGTCGTGCGTTAACTGATTGTATCAATTATTCGAATTATAATAATGTAAAAGTGGCTTGTTAATTAAGCGCTACTTAATTAACAAGCCACTTTTACTATCATTACTTGCAATAGAAGGAAGAAGCTGTTTATTGACATATTCTTTATCTTTTTAAACAAAAAGTTAATAATCGGATCCAGAAAACTACTTTTTAATAAAATGGTTTCAATAAGTGATATACAGAAAGTGGGTAACATCCGATATGCGTTGCAATGTCTTAAAGAATCTTGGGAAATTACAGTACAACATTTGCCAACGTCCAATAATGGTCAGACTGCATAACTAAATTATCTGCTACCCGTTTTGCCTTGATGGCACTCAGTCACGACATGGGTAATTTATAAATAGGTTCACTGATTTTTTTTTATGATTAGCTGTTCCCTGCCACGCTTCGCTGTGGCACATTGTGATTGAATGGTTGAGAAATGAGAAACAAAACAAAGGAAACATTTCATATAAGTTTAATTTTGCAATACTTCTGAAAAAAAAAAAAAAAAACGATAAATCCTTGATGCGTATTATATACATGCTAGTTCAGCTCGATCGGTGCAGAACTTTTTGAGTTTTTGAAGCGTACACAAACCAACAACATTTTAATATATACAAATTAATATTCTGTTATTAGCTTAGCTTTTCTATTATGTGTAACCAGTAGGAAGGTAACTTAATTAAAACATGTGTTGTGGGATATTTATGCAATTATACGCATTTTACAAATATAGGAATTATGCTAAAATGGTTAAAAATGACGATAAGCATCTTATCTAGAGGATTGTTTAAGATAACTTATCTGTGCTTTACAAACCTTTTTTAATTTTTTTAGGTAAAATTCACACAGAAATAGTTCTTTAGTTAGATGCAAACATATTTGTTTAGGTTTAATAACAGACTTAAATTTATAAATAGGTTTAAAACTATGTCACATTTACGTAGGTTTATCTGAAAGAATTGATTTAATTTAATTATTTAATTATTGAAGTTGTACTTCTTTAGGCGCGTTATGAAAAATTATGAGAGTGAAATTTTACGATTGGGGCACCTATGACACAAAATTGGCAGTGTGATATAGGTGGGGCGAGATGGGAATAAGACAAACTACAAGTAAAAGAAAAGAATATGGGAAGCTAACTTCACGCATATTCTAGCTTAGCAGCTAACAAGAATTTTGAATGACCATGACAATTGACATCTGACAATGACATTTACCTTTTAAACAAATAAAGGAGTTTTAATTATTGTTTAAAATTAATAATTATATACTAGTTATTTTCATTATACAAAATATTTGTGAAATAATATAAAATATTTGTGAAAAACTGTGCTAACCTCCTGATGCTTCAAAAATTGAGGTTAACTATCCGTAGTATTATGAGTATTATTGTTGATTAAACTGAAACAGAACCATAGCTTTTGTAGGGAAGAATTTTTAGAAATATTCTACGACCCTATATATCAATAATTGAGAACAAAGATTTAAGACGAATATAATAAGGAGAAAATGAAGGCTTGGAACGATATAAAGAGAAGTAAACATTTAATAAGTACTGCATCTCAAAAAAATGACCAATTATTTAATCAAAACATCAGATTTAATCTAGCAAATATAAGGACAAGAGACAAAAAACAATTGATGAATAGTGGAAGTGCATTAAATTGAATACAAAAAAGAGTTGACTTATCGCCGTGAAACATCAAACTGAGGTGGAAAAAGCCACCATCACCTTTGAGAAATGGTTTGAAGTAGATTTAAGATGGTGTGGTTGAGGTAGGAATGTAATTAAAATAGAAGGAGTGTCAACCTTAGAAGGATATGTACATACTTTATTCCCTACAGGGTAGTTAGAGATATTGTAAACTAAAAATCCATGTTGCACATGTAGTACCGAAACTCTTCTGCAGAAGTGGCCCATTCCACTTATAATGAAGTGGGTATAATACACCTTAATACCTGAGTGGAACCACTCACCATGATACTTAAATTAATAGATGTTATTTATATATTTAGGATTACAAATAAAATCATTTTGGAAACAATTGATATCCCAAAAGCAAATAAAGCCAACAATGACAAGGTAATAAATTTTGACATAACTTGAATACTAAAAAAGCCAAACAAAGGTGTGCACAACAGTGACAACATAACTTAACAATTTCATTATTTTGTAGATTAAAGAAAGGTTAAAGAAAATCATGTCGAACTGAACAACAAGAATCCCCAAACAACTCCAAAGAAACCTACAAGGAAGACACCGGTATTATATTTAAATTATCTCTATCTCTAAATAGAATAAAAGAAAGTTGATAGGTCTGTAGATGTGCTACAAATTATATTATTAACACATTTATATAATTATATTAATATAAATGTGTTAAAAATGAAATATGAATTATAAAAAATTTTAATTTTGCATGGACAGAGCTTAAATTAATATTCTCTTATTTGTTGCAGAAAGAAGTAGTTTTGGAGAAGCCTCGTAGATGACAACCAAGTAATGATTAATTTAAAATTACAAACCGAAATTCTGATGAAGACATTAGAGTCACTTAAAAATAAATAGTATAATGAAATAAAAATGTTTTAAAGATAAATAGTGTTTTATTTGTTTAATGTAAGAGAATAATAATAAATATTTATTTAATTAATTTTTCAAATGTAAACTGAACTTTATTGACTTTAATGACTCCTTTTCCAGTCTTTTGATTATTTAATTGTAATTAATTATTTGCATGCAATCAAAAACTATTTTTAATAATGCCAAAGAAGTATAACTTCTTACGCGCGTACATAAGTACACGCACCCTTTTTTTTTTTTTTTTTTTTGCGAACGAGCGAACTTTGGAATCGACTTCCAGTGTGGGTTTTCCCTAGGAGATACAAACTCCAACGACTCAAAGTTAGAGTGTACTTCTCCCTCAAAGGCCGGCAGCGCACCCACTTAAATGGGTGTCCATGGGCACCGATGACTGCCCTTTTTGGACGTCCCGTAGGCTCGTTTGCCCCCTAATATAAAAAAAATATAAGAAATGAAGTTCGGTTTTAATATAATATTATTTAGACGTATATAAAATTTTATGTTAGCGTTTAAAAGTAGGTATGCCAAACTTATGTAAATAGAAAGCTACAAAAAGGTATAAGATATATTATTTCCAATCAAATAAATGTTTGAAATCCGACAACTTTGCTTATTACAGTTGGCGAAATTGTTTCACAAGCAGACATTACTCTCCTAATACTGCATTCATAAACGAAAGATATTCTATTTTAGCTTCAAAGACGACAGCTATGGTACCATCGAATACATTCCATCACCGCAAATCGGCGTTCATCAAGTTGGCTTCCATCACTCACAATTCAGCAACCGTGAGGTCAAAATTGGCGAAGATGCCTTGATCTTCTGGTCTAGATCGTCTCAATTACCATACTTATCATTTATATTGCAATTTGGAGAAAATCTTATTCATATGATCCACAAATACTCAATGATTAAGAGGCCGCTCGTGAGTGGACCGATAAATATCGTGGCAGTACCTAAGAATCTTAATGGATATGAGATTGGAAGCTGGAATCTTTTGACTAATAGGTGAGTCACCTCGGTAAAGTTATATTAACTCTTAGGTATTGTATCATATTTAAAACTGCGCTAGTTAATAATTTGTTGTAAGTTATGAGGGTGGCGTTGTATATAAATTAAAAAAAAAAAACAGTGGCGCGACAAGCTCTAGGTCTTGGCCTCAGATTTCTGAATCTGTTTCATGATCATTTTTAAATCTAATAGGCAAGTAGGTGATCAGTCTCCAGTGCCTGACACACGCCGTCGACTTTTTGGGTCTAAGATATGTCGGTTTCCTCACGATGTTTCCCTTCACCGTTCGAGCAAATGTTAAATGCGCACATAGAAAAGAAAGTCCATGGTGCACAGCCGGGGATCGAACCTACGACCTGAGGTATGAGAGTCGCACGCTGAAGCCACTAGGCCAACACTGCTTTTAATCCTTTTTAAATAGATACAAAAAAATCTATTACCCTGTTAAAACAATTTTAAAAGTGTGGGTTATTTATTAAATAGACTGTACTGGATCATCGGGGTGCTTTAAATAATAGAGGAATTTAATTTTGCTCACTCAGAATTTCTTAGTTATATAATCGTGGAGATTTTCTAAATCGTCGGAGTTACGCCCCGAGAGTATAACCAGACGTAGGCACTCTCTTCAACGGTTACATTGCATTCATTCGTTACATAGCAAAATGTACAGACTTTTTTTTTTTAAAGACAATTCACACCAATTGACCTAGTCCCATGCTAAGCTGGTGAAGCTTGTGTTATGGGTACTAGGCAACGGATATACATGCATATTATAGATAGATAGACATATAAATACATATTTAAACACCCAAGACGTAAGCACAACACCAAATGCTCATCACATCGATGTTCGTCTCAGCCGGGGATCGAACCCGGGGACCCATGGATTCGCAGTCAGGGGTACTAACCACTAGACCAATGAGTCGTCTGTACTTTGCTGATACAATAAATATGATGTACTAAATTATTAATTTAAAGTAGGTATAACATTATCATATCTTATATATTTGGTTTATTTGAAATTACGATTGAGAATCAAATGTTTTATCTCGGCTTACATGCACTAGGTTTTCATTAATTACAATTTTTACAGTGAAACAAAATTAGCATATATAAATGAATACACAAGCGTGAAACAAATGGAGGAAATGATGTTTGAATTATCCCAGCAATTGAGCAGGATATGGTTGGGAAATCCTGGAGAATTAAAAAGGACTAGGTGGATTGAAGAATGGTTCAAGGAAGGTGTCGCTACATATTTCGCTTATTACTATCTGACGCAGGTAATAACATGTTTACTTGGCCAACAGAGCTCCTAGCTTTGAATTTCAAATAGTAATTTCATTAGGTATAATTAGGTAATAGGACCGCAATTTAATTAATAACACAGCATTAAATATGTATTTCTTTGACGTTCATAAGTGTACATTGTGTTACCGAAATGAATAAATGAGTTTGATTTGATATCCATCCATCTGGAGGTCCTAGATTCAAGCTTTCAGGCATAATACTTAAAATTATATTTGTTATTGTGCAATTTAAAAATACTAACTTGGCATCGTTAGTATATACATTATACATGTAGGGGTGAAATGCTGGTAATTTCTCAAGATGCCAACGATTATTTATTCTGCAAAATATGTTATATTTTTACTTACAGTATAATCATGGAGGAATGAAACCAATAAGTCGTATTCCACTATCGATGTACGGTCAGCAGATGAAGCAGAGAGCAATGGCCGTAGACTGGCACCACTCAATTCCAGCGCTTATGTCTTTCAATAGAACCTTAGCTGTAGAAATTCCCAACAGATATAAGGAATTGGTGACAATGAAGACTGCATCAATACTGTGGATGGTTGAAAACTGGTTGGGCTCGGAAAAATTCCATCAAGCTTTGATCAAATATATCAATTTACGGTAAGATATTATGTGTATGACTTTTTCAATTACTATAAATTCTATAATTTCTCTTATACATGAGGTCGTAGGTTCGATCCCCGGCTGTGCACCATGGACTTTTTTTCTATGTGCGCATTTAACATTCGCTCGATCGGTGAAGGAAAACATCGTGAGGAAACCGACATGTCTTAGACCCAAAAAGTCGACGGCATGTGTCAGGCACTGGAGGTTGATCACATTGCCTATTGAAAATTATCATGAACCAGATTCTGAAATCTGAGGCCTAGACCTAAAGAGGTTGTGGCGCACTGATTTATTTATTATAAAGTCTATAATAGCTTTCAGACTTATAGTCCGTCCTGAGCGCGAAGTGACTAAAATATATGGATCTAATACGGGAGTCATATTTAAATCTCAACTCTGTATCTAAAGGTGAGATTCGGAAAGAGAACTTAGACTCCCATACGTCATAATTGACGACGTGAGATTCTGAAAGAGAACTGAGACTCCCATACGTCATAATTGACGACGTGAGATTCTGAAAGAGAACTGAGACTCCCATACGTCATAATTGACGACGTAAGACTCAGCCCCGTTTCTGAATGTTAGGGTCCGAGACAACGGCAATTGTAATCTACAAATTTGATTGCCCTTAATTACTTCCTTACTTTCTAAATATATATCTATAAAAACATACGTTGAAATATCCTACCTATCATTAGTATAGGTATCAAATAAAAGACTTGGAAAATGTTAATAAACAAAACTAATAAAATATTATTTTCACCTTTGCAGGAGAGGGCGCTTCATCTCAATCACTGACTTCATGATAAGCTTAGACCAAGATACCGTTGAGTGTATGCATCAGTTCTTTAATGGAACAACAGCGTCCCGGGTGCTGAGTTCCTGGTTTTACCAATCCGGATATCCCGTTGTTTATGTCAATGTGCTCAGAGATAGGACTCCAAATGCAGTTCAGTTAAAACAAGTTGGTATTTTAAATAGTTTGAATTTGTTTCACATAGTTAAGTTTGTTTGGTGGGTTGTTAAAAAAATTATATGTAATTAACTCGCGTTAATATCCGTTACAAAAGTAGTAGATTTCTTCACATGACGGTTGAAATATACAGAAACGAGTGAGAAATTAGTTAAAATAATTATCGTTATATTTTATAAATTTGACGATTATTTAAATGATCCTAATTCTTGGGATTGAATTGCGTCAGTTCGAACAATTTGTATGACTCAAATCTTGTCGAATTAAAAGAGTGGCGAAGAGTTTCTTGCCAGTTCTTCTTGCTCGCTCTATGCCCTTGACTTGCTGGTAGTAATTTTAAATGTAGAATCAATTTGAAAAAAATATAGGATCTTTCCTGTTGACGTTCATAAGTGAAGTTTTTACGTGACTAAAGTGTTTTTGTTATTTGAGTTTTGAGTTTGAAGATGGTTTTGCTATATTCCACTATAGTTCATTAAAGGTGTCATCATTTACATGACCTTCAGAACCACCTCCTGAACAGTCGGATTGGAATACTAAGAAAAATTATCTCACTCCATTTCAAAAACCTTTCAGAGACAATTCAGTTTTAATGACTTGAACCGCTTGGAATCTAACTATCTAATACCGATTTCGTATATCGTACAAAACAATGAAAACTGCTACAACTGTCACCAACCACGCTTCACTATCGGCAGTCAGACCTACACATTTGGAGAGAACTTGAATGGCGGTTGGATTATTCTTAATAGGAATTCGGCGGGTACGTATTCGTAGATTTATTTTGTTTTTGCGTACACAAAATATACACGTTGAATTGTAACCATTCATCTGAATAAAGTAAGTTAATCAAGGTGTATTCTTTTTGAATGTAAGGTATTGGATTTCGAACATACCTTTATATTTTACCCAACACATAAAATTTAACAAAGTGAATAAACGAACTAGTCCGTACCATGCAAAACTGTTTAGACTAGCATAAGCAAGTTTGATAAACTTCGAAAACCATTATGATTTTAGACACTAGGAGACACTAAAAATCTATGCTCGAAGCATAGATTTTTAGAAGCAAAAACATAAAACGACTTCTGTTGCGACACCGTGTCAAACGCTTTTGCCAAGTCCAAGAATACCCCGATGCATACTTTTCCGACCGTGAGATTGGTGACCGCAATCTTAACTCTGGACAATCTCTTTTAGTAAACCATACATCCATCTTGGAGTTGCTCGGCTTTTAATATACTTATAGATATAAACGCGAGAAAATACTCGTACCACAAATAATTAGTTCTTAGAGAAGCCTAAACCGGTTCTAATTAACCAATATAGTTTATAACAAAAAGCTCAAGTATCGCATGCCCTACTGACATTGATCTTGCAGTCCTTGGCTAACTACGATACTATCAACTGTTTATTTCTGGTCTATCCCACGCCATTAGTGGATCGCTTAGTCTAAGAACTAGTCAATAAAATGTGTATAAAATTTATCTTGATGTAAAACATGGCAACCAAATATAGTCCATGTTTGGTTCCTAATTTGAAAGTCATTTTATTATTATAGTAGAGAGAGTTTTGGTTACTATCATAAATAGGACCAGCATAGTTTTATTTAATTAAAACACATAGTAAGTTGTTTAAATTTTGCAAACTAAAGATTATTCATATAATCATGCTACATACGTATAATTTGTATTTGCAATTTTCTTAACCTATAAAGTAATAATAAAAATTATTAAAAAGAAAATTTAAATAAATTTAAAAAGCTTGGTTCAAAGCAAAACAAAGTTAAAACCCTGTGGCAGTGTACCTTTAACTAGCAAAAGTAAAAAGTAAGTAAGTTTAGCTGTTTATAAGGGTTGTCCACCCCTAACATTTTATTTTTATTTTTTAGACGAAATTTTAATTTTTTTTATAATGTGCCATTAAAAAATACATACAACCCTAAATTTTCACCCCTCTATCACTAACCCTTATTTGTTAATTAAATACTTATGACTTAACTCAGGTATGTAGCGAAAAATTCACAGAAAATACCAAAAAAGTTTTCATTCCGGGAAACCGAACAGTCTCTGGGGTAGCATAGCAAAATGTTCAATGTTGGTATGTACTAAAAAGGTAGGCTAGGTAAAATCACATTAAGGAGAAACGAAGTTCGCAGGGGCAGCTAGTAGGATATAAATTTGTAGCTAGATCTTGGACTAGACACACCTACGCAGCAATAATTGTTTTCTTAATGCGAACTCCTTTTACGTTTTATTACAAGTGCAAGGTTTCTTCAGCCTCCACTACTTGGTGTGTGTGTTTCATTTATTGCGATGTATTCGTAAAATCCTTCGTGAACACAAAATTTTAAAACATTTCAATGCATATTATATTTTTTTTTTAAATTGTACAAATTTTGCCAGACAATAAATTGACATTTTAAAAATCTGGGAAAGTTTTTAAATTTGTAGTTACTTCTAGTTATGTCTAGTAGGTATATTACGGTGATATGTTTACAAATGTTTTAATTTTAAAAATAAGTTTAACTAGAATTGTTTTTTTAGTAATTTTAGTGATTAAAATCAAGTATGTATATACAATTTTCTTAACCTACAAAGTAATAATAAAAATAATTAGAATTGTTTCTTTTTTATTCTCTTTCCTGAAATCTAAAGTTTTTGCGTAACCTGGTACTTGTTAAATAATCATAACAAAATGATAATAATAATAAAATTGGTTCCTTTCAGGTTACTATAGAGTAAATTACGATGACACAACTTGGAAACTCATTGCCAAAACACTGAAGGAAAATAGACATGCAATTGATGAATTGAACAGAGCACAAGTTAGTATTGGGAATTATTTTTAATAATTTAAATAAGTTCTTAAAAATTTAATAAAAAAACTCAGTGGCTGTACAACCCTTGGTCTTAGCCTAAAATATCGTTATCTGTATCGTGGTAATTCTAATAGGCAAGTAGGTGTTCAGCCTGCCTGTAGTGTATTTTTTGAAACTTCTTTATCGGGGTTGGAAAAAAATTTAGTGTAACATTTTTGCGTTACGCGTCACATTTTTCCGTTACGCGCCATGTTGCTTTTTGAAGTCAAACTTCTTTATCGGCGTTAAAATATGACATATAGTATGTTTTTGACTTTGAAGTTAGACAACGGATTACATTTTCGAAGTCAAACTTCTTTATCGGCGTTAAAATATGACATATAGTATGTTTTTGACTTTGAAGTTTGACAACGGATTACATTTTCGACTTGAAATTTGCTAATCGCAATTTGCAGCAATTAATTTGTAAATTGTATGCTAGGCAGTGTATCAAAATTTACTGTGTTTAAAGAAATAGTTTCTAATAAGGTCATAAAGAAGTTTCACTTCTTACGTGTGTACACCTAGTACACGCACACATTTTTTTTTCCTTCACCTTACGAATGAATGTTAAATGATCTCATAGACGAAAAAGTCTGTTAATGCGCGCGGCCGGAGTCAAACCTACGACGTCAGTGATAAAAGCCTCACGCATGATTATCTTTTGAATGTACTTTATTGTATTGATAAATGCATCGCCTTAAAATAATGTTTTAAGTAATTATTACACAATTTAAGATATATTTTTAAATAACAGGTACAGATGACCTCCATGTAAACAGTATGCATTTTGAATTTGTATTTTTTACATAGGTATCCATATATTTGTAGGCAATGCTCATATCTACTACCCTTTTTCGTATAATTATACAACAAAGTATTATGTAATATGTATTATTATTCCAAATAATCTTCAGATTGTCAACGATATATTCGCGCTGTACGCAGCTGGTGATGTCAGTGAAGATATAGCGCTTGAGGTATTGGAGTTTCTAAACATGGAACTAAGTAGTGTAGTATGGGACTCAGTTGTTAGCGGGTTTGAGCTGCTAAAAACAGATGGCGCTCATATGACTAAGATCAACTATGAGGAGTGGCAGGTAAAAATAAATATTGATTAGTAAATGAATTCCAAATTCAAATTTAAAATTTAGAATCATCTCCGTAGCTTCTTTAACTATGTAGGTTTCCTTCAGTTAAATTTTTTAACTTCATACATGCTCAAAGAAAAAGACCAGTTCAATGTTATGTCGTGTCAAATAGGATTTTAAAGAAATTTGTTAATAACATTAAATTATTATTTGAGATTACTTTCTAGATGATAAAGCTTAAACAAAAATTATAAGCATTTTTAATAAATTCCAAATATGTAATTTTTTATCGTCTTAGAAGCGGTTTAATTATTAATAAAGCTAATAGCTATTAAATATAGTTTATATGCATATAAAATTAAAAATAATACAATATTTTTTCAGGCTTTCATGCGCCAAAAAGTATCAACAATATATAAACGACTTATGGACGATATCGAACGAAGGCCCGAAATAAGGCTCTTTAGGAGCAATATAATAGAGTTCGCTTGCTCTATCAAACATCAACCCTGTATAAGTGATATGTGGAAGATCTATGGGGATTATAAGGAAGGAAGATTGCGGTTAGTAATAGTTCTATAAATTAGGCCCTGGTGCAGACATATTTGCATTTGTTTCGCTAATCATTTTTATATGAAACTAGCGGGCCCGACAGGCGTTGTCCTGCATGATATTTCAAGCGATTAGTATATTAAACAAAGTATGATACTCGTAGTACCGACTGCAGCGCCATGTGCTGCTCTGATTTGTGAATCTACCAGGGCGTCACCCAAACGCATACAAAAAAAAAACATCGCCTCTTACATCCTCTTTGACGATATTTGCAGCACGAATTCTGTCAATGTTATGTCAAACGCCGTAAGGTTACATCAAAAAAGTTTGAATTGTATGGTGGTTAAGTATTCTTAAATTTTCGAATTTTCCGCGCAATTTCCTTATTTTTTTCTTTCATAAGAACCTTCTCGTGACAATAAGAAATACAACAAAAAAAGAATTAGCTAAATCGGTCCAGCCGTTCACGCGTGATGCCGTGACCAAGGGAAATAGGGATTCGTTTTTATATAATATTATATAAAGATTAAGAAATCAGCCAGTGAACCCATGATTTTTGAGTCTAAGGGTAAGATTCAGATTCTAGACTTAGGGCTAAGCTAAGCTATGACTCCCGTATGACAAATCCATACATTTTTGACATAACAGAGCGCATAAGGGTGATATATAGCGCCTAATTTACTAGACTATCTAAAGTTAGTAATTCTTTTTGGGGAAAGGGATACTCTTCTTTAATAAAATCCCAGAGGCTCTTTTATCACTGCCTTTCAATAAATTTAAGAAATGTATTAAAGAAAAGCTGTGTAAAAAGGCTTACTATAAAGTCAACGATTATCTAGTTGATAAAAGGGCCTGGGACTAGTGCTAGACAGGCTACTTCTAATTAATTTGCGATATTTGTTTTAAATAAGTGTTGTTTGATGATTTGCTGTTTTAAAAGAGTACCGAGAGTTTTTTACGCCGGCTTTTTCTCTCGGCCTACACCCTCTGTCTTCTTTGCCGATGAGTAGGGATGCCTTCAAATTTAATGACGTGGAATAAGTGATACATGTATCTTATGTTCCATAATAAACATATTTTATTTTATTTTATTTTTTATCATTTTATTAAGGCAAACAAGTAATCAGCCTGAGTATTGTAGATTATCGAATTATAACTCTGTCATATGTAAAACCCAATACGCATGTGACTGAAGGGAGTCTGTCATATTTAGCTGTAAGTCAATCATATTTACCTTACAACAGAACCTTAGCATAGGGAATTCCATGTTTAAGCTGGTGATTTCTAGCCACGGTAACTGAGTTACTTGTTTTGAAAAGTCTTGTGATCCCTTGGTTTATAATATATCTTGGAAAATTTTAATACTGTTTTACTTAAGACCTGTATTTGAAGAGATAACTTACAAAATTGAGTTAGAATGACACTCTATTCTTGATATATTTCAGTAATAAAGGTTACTTCATAGAAAAATTACTAGTGTCTAACTTTAGTTTAGCACGTCTTTAGTACGCTAGTTAGCAGGAAATTTATTTAATGACGGTTGATTCTGTGTGGGTGAAAAGTTAATCTCTGGATTTTGGACATTACATAGAATGGTCTGCTAAAACTAGCTATAAACCGGAACATTTGAACTGTAACTTGTACAATTTGGTCATGATGTATCATGGAGGCAGCCAAAGAATTGCGAAGTTTGTTTACTTGTTTCCTATCTGAACACGTCTGAAATCTTATCTAAAATATTCCTGTATACTTATTGACAAACAAGATTATATTTGATTGATTAAGATATATATTGACAACGATATATCTATTTTATATAGACAACCATTATGTATAATTATTTGTAATTACTTCAGATTGGATCCTGACTTCCGAGCTGCGTGTTATTATGTAGTATTGAATGATGTCAATGGTAATTTAGCTGCAGAGAACTTCAATGATTTTGAGAATGAGGACAAGACTAGAGCTGAACATGCATTGTAAGTATACATTAACACATCTGATAGAAGCTGTGTCATTTTATGACTGATTCACGACTGATTTGAGCGCGACCGCCGCTGTGAAAACCGCTGTGAGAGTTCGAAAAGTGAGTTACAGAATCGCAAGGCAGTAGTCTCGCAATTCTCGACACTGGTGTCGTGCCTTCAACACCCGGTCGTGGATTAGAGGAAACATCACATGTCTGACACAAGAAAAACATCGTATGGCATATTTGAAAGTACAAAAAGCTGAATTATACAAAAAAATAATCTGATAAGACACCTAAAAATTGACATTGGGCTCCACTGTTTTTTAGTTATACTTCTTTAGGCGCGTTATGAAAAATTCAGTAAATTGTTATTTATAGACATAGAAATAGACATTTAAATGTACTCGATGCAAGAATTTTGACTACACAGAATGACATTTGCATTTACCTTTTAAAATAATAAAGGAGTTTTGATTATTTTTTCAAAAGAAATTTATTAATTTTATATTGTGCAATACTGCCAAAGCTACAACATATTTTTACTGATTGGTAGAGATGTTCTAAATATATTATTATATATACTTTTAACTAAATAGAATTTATGTTACACTTAATTTGAAGAGAATAATAATAAATAATTATTTATTTAATTTTTCAAATGTAAACTGAACTTAATTGACTATAATGACTCCTTTTCCAGTGTTTGATTATTTAATTGTAATTAATTATTTGCATGCAATCAAAAACTATTTTTAATAATGCCAAAGAAGTATAACTTCTTACGCGCGTACATAAGTACACGCACCCTTTTTTTTTAGTTAAGAAATAATTCAGTATTGTTATTTATAGACATAGACATAACATTTATAACTAACGAAATACACATAGAAACACACAAAATAATAATAATAGTAATCCAAAAAAGAAAGAAAAATAGTAAAAGTTTTTTTAAAGAATAAGGTACATTTTAAGTGTGTAATGTGTGTGTGGTTGTCACTGGCCCTGGCTCAGCATTATGCTGAGGAGCAGACGAGTTCCACGGCGCTAGTCATTCTGCCAGAGAACACACCAATATTATCAATATCTAATTCTTATCTATTTCCAGACGTGAAGAGAACAGGTTCTTATACCGAGTTCCTATAGGTCATCCGAGACCACTGCCTATTAAAATGTCAACTACCACAACAACCGAGGTAATACGTACTATAGTTTTATTTTTAAGTAAACTCTAAACATTATCAACATTTATAAAAATGTGTGTTGTGTACGCTTTAAAAACTCAAAAAGTAACTATTGCCATAATATTAAAAAAATCAAGAATTCTGCACCGATTGAGCTGAAATTTTAGCATGATAATATATAATCCGCGTCAGGGATTGTTTTTATCTATTTTTTTTTCCACAAGTATTGCAAAATTAAACTTATGTGAAATGTATTCTTTGTTTTGTTTCTCATTTCTCAACCATTCAATCACAATGTATGAATGATATGAATTTATTATTTTTCAACAGACTGCGACCCCCTTTTAAAACAAACTCGACCCCCCAGCTCGAGCTTTGGTTTACACTATACACATAGTGTTTATATTATTTGACTAATTTAGGCTTATAGTTTGTGTAATTAAATTATATAATAAGCGTTATGCTTGTGTGCGTGCACCCCTTTAATCGTCGCCACACATAGGTTCTAGGTTATGTATCTTGTTTTTAATGTGTGGCCTTTTTGGTGAATAAATAGATAAACATGTTTTTTCTTACAGGCACCAACAACCATCAAAGTAGCAGGTTGTAATGGAGCGAAGAAAAATTTGATTCCCGTAGTATTATTAAGTTTTGCGTTCCTTACTAGTATAAGTATATGATAATTTATACTTGAACATGAATATTTTAAAGATTTTTGTACTGTATCGCACAAAACCGATAAGTACAGTACAAATTACCGACTTGGAAAAACCTGAAGAAGGTTATCAATTCCATGTGTTATTATTTTTTAGTATTACCTTGAAAAAGCACTAAAAAGCAAACAATAAGATTTCTTATTTTAGTTATGTAACATCACCTTGATGGCTGAAAGTCTACCACGGCCCGCTTCACAAGACACTTTCTTTTGCGAACTGGCGAACTGTGAAATAGACTCCCGATGGGAATATTTAAAGAAAGAGTATACTCCTCTCTCAAAGGCCGACGCACCCACAAATATGTCTCCATACTTGCTATCCATAGGCTGCGATGACCTCCCTTTTTGGGCATCTCGCAGGATCGTTTGTCCCTATTCCAAATAAACATATATTCATTTAAAGAAAAAACTGTTTAACCGGATTGAAGTTATGTATTACTATAAATTTACAACTATTTAACATAATTTTAAATTTATCCGACGTTTCGCGTGCTTTACAGCGTGCGTGGTCACGGTGACTGAAGACAAAAGATGTTGGATGTCAAAAAGTATCACAGCTGTAGAGAAAGTTGCCTTATCTGTATTTATTACCCCGGAGTTGGTATCGACTAAAAGATGGAGGGATGTAAATTTATAATAATACATAACTTCAATCCGGTTAAACAGTTTTTTCTTTAAATGTGTAAAGGTTATGTAAATCAAAGACAATACTATGTATTCTTTTAATTCACACCTCAATATTCATAATCAGTTTAGTTTAACGAGTTATTTTTCGGCATACAAAATAAATATTATGTTATTTTTTTAAAGCGGGGAGGGATTATTAACGATATTAACTCATTGATAAACTTTTATCTGTTAACATTTTTAAATTTTCTTCAGTACATTCCGGCTTACATCTCGTTATTTCAGTATCTAGTCAGAGACTTTTTGTTACTATAAATAAAAACATAGATTTTTGTTAAACTTTATTTACTACTATATATGTACATATTAATCATAATTTAATTACCTTAACTTAATTGTTATTTAAATAAGTACAAATCAAGAGGACGCGTTTGATTTATACTTATTTATTATTTAAAATAAATTATTGAAGTAACTTATGTTTTATTTGCTAACAATATTCGCGAGTAAAAATGCAGTAAATAACTTTACCTATATACCCATACACCAAAATTATAACTACCCAACAATATATTTATTAAATATAATTATTCAAACTTAATCTAATTCACTTTGTGCAAAAATGACGTGTACAAAAATAATAAATTAAAAATATTTTATTCAATCCAACAATCTAGTTACAGATATAACTTAGATGCGATATGTGGCTAATATTTGCCTTATTTTAATTGGAAAACTATTAAACTATCTTTTTAATAGTTTAGTGTTTTCTTTAACTTAACTAAAATTAAAAAATAATTTTCACCCCAATAAACTTTTAAACTAAATCTTAAATTAAGAAAAATATTCTACGATTAAGTAATATTGGTTAATTAAATAAAGCCATCAAAACTGATACACTTAATAAAACAATAGAGCCTACTAGGGTAGGCGCATCATTTTCGTCTAACCATTCGTAAACTGTGTTCAAATATACTCTGTTCCAATCCATATCCTGTTGCATCTGGTCCCTAAGCCTTTCTGCGATAACCAAGGATGTATCCAGGTTACTATGGAGGGAGTTGACCCAAATTGTGAACTGTAATTAAATATTAACATTTAGAATCGTTATTTCGTGACTTACAGTTAACATATAGAAGTCTTAATTTTTTTACGTACACGACTCTCTTTATATATGTCAAGCGTTAAATTGAATCTCTCGATAAAAAATCTACCGGTCCATTGAAAAATACTCGATAAATTGAATAAAATCAATGTTCATTGGTCTCCTCGGTAACGGTAGGAATAGTACTTTACTCGCCAATTATTTAAAGTGTTTATCTTCCACAGACCTTTCGTTTGTTTACATATTATACTAGTACTAGCAGACCGGCCAAGCGTTGCTGTGGCTAAGGTTTTTGTTATATTACATAGTAGCAAACTATTCAAGGGTATCGGTAGGAGAACACCAGTCATGGGGACCACCATGATTTTTTTTGGTGGTAATGCCATTAAATTGTAGCTTATGTGAAACGTTGGTACTTTCAACACAGCGCCATCTGTTAGAATTGTGACTATCAAATAATTAACAAACAATTTGCAATAAAATAATATTGCGGGTATAAATTGAGATGTAGGCTATCCTATCTTTTAAGTTGGATCAAACTACACACGGTGTGCAAATTTGATTGATATCGGTTCGGTAGTTTAGGAGTCCATAGCGGACAAACAACGTGACACGTAATTTATATATATTAAGATGTACAGACCTTTGTCTTAATACGCTAAGCTTCTACGCTTTCGGAGCCGATACGAATGATGATTACTTGGCAGCTCTCACCACTAACGAAAGTTCTTTACAAAATCATTGACAGAAGTCGCTCACTCAAAAAAGATTTCAGACTTCTTTTCGAAATAAACATTTGTGAATAATTGTATTTAATTGTTAACAGATGATAATAATATAGAAATAATAAATCACTTATTTACTTGACTCCCCCACCCCCTTTTTGAAAACGCTTGTTTTTTTGTAGTCGTGGTAATTTTAAATTATCTCTGGTCCCTTGAGTTTTAAATTATCGAGAGTCGAATGTATCTAATATATTTATATCGTAGTAACACAGTTCTACCAGTCTTGGGTTTTGTCGTTAATAACTTCGAGTGCAATTAGCCTATTATTAACTAATTATTGTGTCATACTAGAAATGGTATTAATTTACAGGTAGCGCGGCTGTATTGAATTTGAATTTAGTCATGTTATTATATACCAAATCAATAGGGAGAGATTTGAAAAAACCCACTATGGATTTTCTGGCAAATTCTTGATCAACAAGAAATTCTTGAAAAAATGTACTTGATAATATAATGCAGTATATTTCAGTATGAAAATGGTTCACCCGTTTTTAATTTTGTTTTTTTTCATCCTTTTATTTTACTTACATCAGATGTCATGTCTCCATTAGCAATATTTCTTGACAGAGCGTATAAAACTTCTTCCAATTTCTCGGGTCCTCCCAGTCTAGAAACATTAAACAAATTAAAGAGAAATTAAAACGCTTATCTATTATAAAATTGAGATTCAGTTTTAAAATGACCTATAATCAAGGTAAACTCAAGGTGAAAATGACCTATAATCAAGCTAAACGTATAGCGAGTCTCAATTTCGTGAACACATGAGATCGAACCCCGGTAATGCCCTTAGAAAAATGTCCATAAAAGTCAACAAACAGTAAAATTTATTAAATTGCTAAATACTAGGACGCCGCAGTGGTCGCAATTCTGCTTCACTTCAGCAAAAATTTGAGCGGAGCGAGTGTTCAACTCAATTTTTAATGATGAGTAAAAATACATAGATTCAAAACATTTAATTGAAAGATTTGATTTTGTTGAAAGGACTTTTTAGTTTTAGGTCTCCTTCGAAGTTGTTTTTCAACTTATTTTGTGATTTATTCGTAAATATTATTGAGTTTTTATAGCCTATAGCACGGGAAATTTTTCCATCTTTAATTTAAAAAAGAATTTTCAAAATCGGTTGGTTCAAAAGCCTTAGTGCTCCTACGCACTGGCGACCATGGTCGCCGCGACCTGGCCGCGGCCGCCACGTGAATTCTGGACTTTATATGGCAATCGCTATGCCCCTACGACTAGGCCAGCGACCAGCGGCCACCGTTGGCGGGCGTCCATGATGCCACGCGACCAGCGACCAATCGTGGCCGTCGAGAACATCACTTCTTAAAATTCATCAGTGCTACCGCCCGGCGGCCGCGGCGACCAGACGTGGCTAGCTAGCTACAGAGTGATTATTTTACAATGGCCAATTTCGGACACGGAAAGGTTCATAATTGAAGTTGAAAATAGAAGAGGTTTATGGGATTTAGCATCAAATGATTACTCCAAAAAGAGTAAGGGAGGGGTGAGGTGAAGGGGAAGAGTGTCATAAGAGTGGGCGCATGGGAGCTTCGCTCGATTAATTATTATTAAGATACGTTCGTTCTATAATCTAGTGATTATAAGTCGTTTTGTGAATTGTTTATTTTCTTTAGTGAATTTATTTAAGACATTCATTTATCTTACGAAATACAATCCCATTAAAAATTAAGTGATGTCAGTAATTTATTTCTCTTAGTAGGTGTTTTCCTGCATCTTAATTGATGCGTTCTCTTCTTTTGTGTTTATTATCATGCCTTTGAGGTTCAAAGGCAAAGGCATGATAAAAGGCATGAGGTTAGAGCCATAATCAATACTGCCTTGCGATTCTGTAACTCACTTTTCGAACTCTCACAGCGGTTTTCGCAGCAGCGGTCGCGCTCAAATCAGTCGTGAAGCAGTCATTTTACGATTTGGCATTCTGATAAACAATAAACTACAAGCTTCCTCCGCTTGTCAATACGTAATGTGAAATTGCTTAATAGAATACCACGAGATTCCAAAAATGACGTGAGTGACGAAGGGAGTGTTGTTAGTGCGAGGTGAACTCACGGATTAACAGAATCACACGGCTGAACGGGAAAACAAAGTTTTACTGCAGCCAAAACTACTTACGCATTCCTTATCTGTGCCGTGTTCCTTGATATAAAATCTAATGCCCGTTTTGCATTCTGGAAGCGGGATTTGATGATTGCAATCATAATTCGAGTTTTCTCTTCAGTATTGTATGGACTGTTATCTGCTACAACTTCATTTAGATAGCTGTAAAAGTTATAATATTTAGCTTTTATTTTCATATCAAAAGCTTCTTCTGTCGGACTGATTTTAAACATCATTATATTTCTTAAAAATAAATAAAATACCAAAAAAGCAATAGTTTTATTTATGCAAGTATAAGGTAGTAATCCAATTTAAATTAGGAAAACTGGATATTTTTTCATTTTTGTACTCAATTGTGATTCTTACTTACGACGTAGTTCTAAAAACTATTAAAGCTGATAACTGGTGATTGGAAAAGTTTATAGGAGACTTGAAAAGGACATCATATCTAAAGCAATGGGATCCCTACTGTAATTACAAACCTTATGAATCACTGTATAAAAAACGTTGTGAATTTTCTTATAAAATGCAAAGAAACCTATTAGGACTGTTACTTCCAAATTTACGTTACGATACAATCAGTGTACGACGTTTAGTTCATTTTTAAGTACTGATTAAGTATGAAAGTGAACCGTGCTAAAATAAACTACTTTTGACTAAAATCCATGACAAATTTTAAAATTTTATCTCAGAACAATGGAAAATTAAAAAAGTAATAACAAGCTACTTTTACTTAGAAAGTAATAAAGCACAAAGTTGATTAAGCGTATTAATCAAAACTCTTGATTCGACTTTCGTTGCATAATATTTCGGTAATCAATATGCCTTTGTTTCAAAAAGGTGAAAGCAAAAATCGGCGTTTCTATTAGTTACTTTGTAGCTGTAGAGCTTTGAAGTTTGCCTTAATTCAGAACCGATGTGGTCACAAGGGTGTGAAACAAAACTGGGATTAAACATTTTAAAGAAAAACACCGGATTAAAGTTATGTTTATTATTATAAATTTACTGAAGCTATTTGGCAAACCTAATGGCTCACGGTGTACTCTATTTTGTCGCGGATTGTTATTTCGATTAATGAAACCGATTTTATTTGGAGATGATTGGATCCCAAATGTAATAAAAAAATTAAAATTAATTAAAATTTTAATAAGGACAAATTTCTAAAGTAATGGGCCGACGCTACTCGTGATTTACAGTAAGTGGACGGTAGACTGAATTTAAAAAACGATGTTGAATGTCAAAAATGCAAAGAAACCGCATAGTAAGCTGCACTATCTGTATTTATTTCCCCAGTGTAGACGGTATCGACTACAAGATGGAGGGTTTTGGCAAAAATAGTCACCGTGTCCTCTAATAAACTTTGCGGCTTAAAATTCCCCTGACAATTTTAATCTGGATCATTATTGATCCTCAGAACTAATGGAAAATAATAACCAAATATAAAAACTCTTTTTACATTCAACATCTTTGTACTTCAGTCACCACGTGACTACGCACGCTCATAATTACGCAAACCGTCGGATAAATTTCAAATTATGTCAAATAGTTGTAAATCCTTTTAATAATCAAACATAACTTTTAATCCGGATAAAAAGCGTTTTTTTACTTTAAATGTGCTAAAGGTTGCGTTAATTCAGCCGATGCAGGTCACAAAGGGGTGGAAACAAAGACGGAATTTAACATGCCTACGCTGACCACTATCTAGGAATTTAAATGAGATTAATAAGCAATAAACGATAGCTATTTTACAAACAGAACACGTTGCGTTATAATACCTTCTAAGGGCTAACTGCTAACTGCTTTTCGCAATCTCCAAGAAAATTATGTACTTACGAATAATCGTCATTAAATAAAATAATTGTTGTATTAAATCCTATCGCATAATTAAACATATTTCTAACAACTTCTCCCTTCATGTGTATTGCTGAATGTTCCAAATATATTATATTATATTCAATTATATATGATATCTTTGATGACGCCTACTTTAAGTCTATACTTACGATTGTATAAAATCATCGTCGCGCGAACAAGCCAGTGATTCGAGTACAACGACTCTCTCGTACTGGTTGTTTATAGTTGTCAAATAAGCCTCGAGGAGCTCCCTCTCTTCTTCTCCACCAGTCATCACGTTTGCACAGAACACTGCTGGGCGTAGATCAGCAGGGATATTAGGATTCCTAAAAACATAATTTTTGAAGTGAAACTTCTTTAGGCGCATGGGGGTAAATTTTTTACGGATACGTCACGAAGTTGTGCAGCGTTATTGTCGAAGAAAAGGGAGAGTGCGATTGAGACCGATTGAAAAAGAGTGAAAAGGGCGAATTACCTTATAGGTATTCTATTTTTAAAATTAAAATTTCGAGAATAATAATAAGAATAAAAGAGAATTTATGAAATATTATTATTTTATATTTTATGCAAAATAATTTATTGCAATCTCAAATGACGAATTGTAAATAAAAATGCCACATGTTTTTATTATCGAAGAAGTAAATTTAAAAAATTAAATTTATTATTTTTGTATTAACTTTCGACACTTTTTAATATTTTAATGACAATTAAATTCATTAAATTCTTAACATATCTTCCTTTTTCCCTCTCTCTCGGAAGTCTCGGATTTTTTTAGATTTGTATAAATATGAACAAGTCTTAAAAATTATATCGCCAAAGAAGTTTCACTTCTGACGTGTACCTTGTACGCACGCACTTTTTGTAATGACTAACAGCTGTACCCGTTTATACAATATTTTTGAAATTATTTTGGGTTCAACATTCAACTGGAATTAGTTGTAAAAATCGATACTAAAAGGACCAAATATCACAAGAGACAAAGTCACATTCTGGTCCTAAATAAGTTCTCAATCGTCTTATATTAGTAGATATACTTTTTTTACGAAAAGCTCTAGAGCTTTTAAAAGCTTTGTCGCACAAACAATAAGTAAAATATACAATTCTTGATAGTGAAATATCTTTTATCATTAGCCTATCAGCTCCTTTTAATATTTTTTTATAATTTCCTTAAAAGCCGTAGATGTCACAAATGTCAACCAAGGGTTTTATTTCAATGCTCACATATATAAATATTTCATAGAAATTCATATAGCATTTGTGTTTTATTTTAAAATAAATTACTTACACAACAGTATTATCTGCGGGATTTCTAAACCAGTCAACTGCTGCAGCAATACAAGGCTCGTATCCGCCACGACAAGAAATATCCATAATCAGACCTCGAGACAGGGTTCGCATAGCTCGTTCATTTACGTTTAACTCAGGGGTAAATGTTAGATCGGACTCTGCTGTCATCATTATTCGCCGTATAACTCTCTTAAATAATATAAAAAACAAATGAGCATTTAATATATTTAATATTGTCACAATTGTTATTATGTTGATATTTTTTTGTATACGCAAGTACTACACACGCCATAACACTTCAGTCTCACTAACTACGAGTGGCTTAGGCTATAAAGACGGCCCGTGGAGCGTCTACCATTCGGTAGAAGGCTCTCAGTCTAGCGTGTCCATGCTCCGTACAGCCGTAGCCGGACCCGTCAGGCAACCAAACTACGCATTTAGTGCTGCGCGGACGCAGAACTTAACCGAAATTGGGCGCGTACTGCCGCAAACAAACAATGATGGCCCGTGGAGCAAAAAATGGTCGACCGCACGGAGCTCCGCAGCGCTAAATGCAGCCTTTGAGCACTCGTATTTATTAGTATGAATCTATTACATTCATATATCAACATACCTAGTAAGGACACTTTATTGAAAATGTTATCATATTAATAACATTCCTTTATTACTGATAACAGATTACTAATGATTCTCATATATAAGGCTAACTCCAGAAAGGCATAGGACATGACGTTTTTATATCATACATTTGTTTGATGGCAAAGGAGGTGAACGACCCTTTGTACCTCACACACGTCTTCCATATCGAGAAAAATTATTGAAAGTATTAATGCAAAATAAAGACCTAGAAGGTTTTTTTGCTATCAAATTTATCATATACCTGATAGATATCTTGATCCAAGTCATCGTCACCATCAACAAGTGCTTCGAGATGATTTCTCAATATGTGCATATTTCTATCAAATGCTTTCCATACAACATACTCCGTCTCCAGATTTAGTGTCAAAACAATCCGTAGCGCAATAGAGTAGTCTACCCTTCCAGATCTTGCCAGATTTAAAGCGTCATCAAGGATCTATGACAAAAATAACACATATACTAATAACAAATCAGAAAATAAGGTTCATCAATTAATCATAAACAATCTCTCGACAGCTACGTTAAAATAATATATATGTAATTCGTATCCTTTTCTCTAACAACACACTAAATAGTTAAAGTCATCTCCAAGAACTCGGTTTCTTTGTACCTAGGGGACATGTGCGAAGGCTAAGGTTCTTTGCGATCTGGTGAAAAAGTCTGTTGCACAAATCCCCGTTAACAAATACGTTGCGCTTAAATGTCTTCTTATGTTCATCTTTATATGTTCACAGTAGCAATATTGTATGTATTATGTAATTAATATTATTTTATAAAAAAAAATTCGATATTATATTGGCTTACTTAGGAATTATTTTTGTAAATAAATATTTTAATATCAGAAATGCTTGAACTTCCGACACTAGTTTGTCAAAATATTGAAATAAGAAACAGTATAATATGATTTAGATTTGTATACACTAATATATAATACGTACGGTAGCTCGGTTAATTGGATGTATAATATTTCGTTGTTCTTCGTCTTCCAAAGCCTCTATAATCCTCTCCCATAATTCGTTATCGTAATTGACTCTATAATAACCTAAAGCAAAAAAAATTATTCAAATTGAAATAGTGTATGAAGATATTTAAAAAGAAATTCATAGAAATGTTAGTACGAGTATTGACTTCGTTTATTAACAATAAATAATAATTTAATGTTTTATTTGAAAAGACAAAATAAATGTTTCTCCGGAATGTTTTTTATTACAGCGCGATACTTATTAAAACAAGGCAAAACATATGATGATATATATTTATAAGATAAAATATAGCCTTATACAAGCTCTTTAGACTGGTACGTTGACACTGAAAATCACTTTTGTGAGCCCTAAAAGTAGTCAGATGCCCTGATAGACGTACCTTGTCCCTGAACATTAAATATAACCCAGTCCTCGTCCCCAAGATCCATAGAAATGGTTGTTGAAGCCTCCAACAAATGTGTTGGATAAATGTTGTTAAAATCTGGGTTAACCCGAGTTGTAAAACTCAATGGTATCATGAAGTTCATTTGGGGACGCGATGCAAATCCAAAACGTTCCTGGATAAAATTTAATAGAACTGAATATATTTTTAATTACAATTACAAAACTGTCACTGTTTTGAGTGCAGTAACAGTAGTGTTGTGACTATTTTCCGGACAAAAATGTCATGCATGCATAAATATCAAATTTTAAAATTCTTATTAGATTTAAATGGATTTAGCACAATTTTACAACTGAATTTGAATATGGCCATATTAAAAAGTCATGCAGCTGCAGCAGGCTTAGTCCAGACATTAGACATAATAATAAAAAAAAACTTGGGGCATTTCGTGTGAGGAAAAAGTGAGGTCGTAATTTTTTTCCTATTTTCGGGTTTATCATACATGCCTCTAGTGGGTATTATAATATAGTATAAACGCAACATTTTAGGGCCATGGGCCTTTTAAAAATAATGCTAATTGAAATTTAGTTTTTTGGAGTAGATTTGCTAATAGCATTTTTTTAAATACATAAAAAAATTAACTCCAAACAACATCATCAAACGTAAATATGTCTTAACAAAACACTCGTTACGACGAAGTAAGTCTATTGTGTCTAGTTGTTTATGTTTTTAGTTTCTGTCATCTCTGAGTTAATAATATTCATGATTATATTATATCTTTTAAGCTTTGAAAATCTGTTTCCATTGACCCCCTTCAAAGTCAGATTTTATATATTTTTAGGATAACATGCTGTGTACAACGCAAACTCAACATACCTGAGTCACAATCACACCACTACCCTGTCGCTGTTCGATGCGAACAACAGGGTAATTATTGTTTAAAATCCACGGTTCAATAAAGTCGATGACATTGTTTATAAGAGGTGTGGCCTGACTCCAAACGGTAGACAGTGTGTCATAAAAGTTGCGGGAGTTCACATTCGCTAAAGACCTGCAAAATATTTCTTATAAAATAAAACGATAAAGTAGATGCACGTAAAAATACCTTGGATAATGGAATATACAATAGAAAACGAAACGTTCGCGCGTTAAAATACATGTTATTTATCAGATCGAGACATGTGTGTGGTACTATACAAAGCACTATGCAACTTCTTTTGTTTTCATTTCTTCTACCCCTGACTTCTGCTACTTATGTCAAAACAAAAATACTGTGTAATATAATATTTTGTAAATATTAAATTAATATTTATTACATATTTAATTATTCCAAGTTCAAGATTTTTTGACGTGACAACGTCTTATAATTCGATGAAGCCGGTTGCAGGCACGAAAAAACATGACGCATGCGGCGTTACCTCGCTCTTGACGCATGCGGCATTACCTCTGAGGCGTTCCATTTGTCCAGTTGTTTTTTATTTATAGTAAAACTTACGCCGTATTAAACAGTGTGGCAGCCGCGTTGCGGATGTAATCAACTTCAGGGTTTTGAGAGAGAACCAAGCTCAACATTCTCATGATGGCTGGAGCTTTAGTTTTGAGCAAGCCATTGATATGGTTTCTTATAGCATCTTCATCATAAATATCTTCATTAATTTGTAAGGGTAGGGCATTCGTGTATGAATCGTATAGTAAACTCTCTTGAATGACATCGCTCACAAAGACATGGTCCATATCTATTCGTGCTACTTCCTCAGGGTTTGATTCCAACTAAAAATAATCATAGACTTTTTTTATTTCAATTGATTAAAAAATGAGAGGTCTGCATTGAAAACTTTTCATTTATGTTTAAGATATGTATAAAAGCATTTACAAACGATAAAAAATTGAAATAAGTTAATTTTATTTTTATCATTATTAAAATTCCAGAGAATATCGTATAGTATAGTAATTAGCTACATAATATAATAGATTGTGTGTATAATTTCATTAAATTGTGTCAAAGAGACAATTAATTTAGTGCTTCTGGTATGTTCATTTAGTAATTATCACAGATAATATCTTCTTGTTAAGGCCCTATCCCAGCACGAATTGCTGTGTCAGTGTCTCGGGGTGGACTGCGGGGCGCAGTTAAGAGCTGGAGCACTGAGCCGCGCCAGTCCGTAATAATAATGGATTACTTGGCTTGCGATAAAATATAACGTGTAAATTTAAATTTTCGTCATAAAATGAATTCAGTGTTAAAAATTGGCTATATTTGGATTTTTTTTTCTATCAAGCGAAGTTATTTAAATCGTGTATCGATCTTTCAAAATGGATACATAAATTACTCAACTCCACTATATAATTTTTCCATATTCCCTACTTCAAGAAATGATGACGAAACATGGAAAGAAGCAATGTACTTTTTTGGAGTTAGGCGACCATATAGGTCCTTAAGTACTTAGAAAATCTACGAAAACTCACCGCTCTAGCTGCCTCAAATGCGGTGTACCGACCTAAGCCAGTGATAACCCATTCATGTCTCCAGTTCGTGGGAGCCAAGACATATCCAAACCATTGTCTTGCCATTGCTTGGGCGATTTCAACAAAACCAATTTGCTTTTGTTTGGCGGCTGCCGATACTTCTATAACGATATAAGGTTCCCTGAAAAAAAAAAAATATTGATACTCCGCGCTGCAGCGTAGTTAATTTTATAAGTTACATAATTAGTAACTTTAAAAATATATGAGTCTAAGATATTTATTGACACATTATTCTTATCTTTTTTAGTTTCGTATACAATTTGATATAATAAGCCAAATATAAAAAACACACATTATATTACCGCGAAAACTACGAGAAATTTAATAGTTAGCGTTAGATAAGAAGGTAATTTTCATATGAATATCTTTGGCAGCGCTTCGTGGGTGGTTATGGAACTAAATATAGGCCCTTATATATTGTGTATTAACAATGTTGACTTAAATCGACTACATACTGTCAAAAGCGTATACAAAAACTAGAAGAAATTGTTACACCCATGGGTTAGAAAGGTAATTTTAATACAAGGTATTACATAGATTTTAAATCACTATTTTGGAAATGTTGTTTACAGATACACTTACCAGATCGCCATTGTCGATAACGCATACCAATCGCGATCGACATCCGGTAACGCCATTATATGCAATTCGCCTTGCTGATTGGCAATTATATTCTCGTATGGTTTCCCGGTGAAATTATTGAAAAAGTTAAAATAACTACTAATAGCTACGTATGACTGCTGGTCACCACTATTACGCCCTGGTCGCGTATATACGACGACTCTTGATGTTGGTAAGTTGGCTGCATTCAGATTGTGAGCTATCATGCCCCAAAGATGTGGGGTTCCTGGCAATGGCTCGAATTGTAGTCTAAAATCAAAAAGATTTAATTAATATCTATATTTAATATAAAGTTAATTAGATATTTTATCAAGATTTTTACTGTATTTAATTGAAGACCTAAGGTAGAGAAAATAACAGAAAGTCGATTCGCGGTTGATTTCCACAATATGACAGGCTTCCATTGATATTTCTTATGTTTGTTTCTTTTGTAGCATATATATTACTATTATCTTCCTCATTGATTAATGGACTGTATCGACTGACGTATACTAGAGCAGTGTTGATCTAGTGGCTTCAGCGTGCAACTCTCATCCCTGAGATCGTAGGTTGGATTACCGGCTGTGCATCAATGGACTTTCTTTCTATGTGCGCATTTAAAATTCGCTCGAACGCTGAAGGAAAACATCGTGGGAAACCGGCATGCTATAGATCCAAAAAGTCGACGGCGTGTGTCAAACAAAGGAGGCTGATCGCCTACTTGCCTATTAATTGACAAATGATCATGAAACAGATACAGAAATCTTAGGCCCAGACCAAAAAAGGTTGTAGCGACACTGATTTATGTTTTAATTTTGTATCGTCTGACAAATGACGTTATATGAACATATTTAAATACACGAAACCCAACTAAAGTTTTCATGACGGCCGATATATACGTTTGCAAAGTTAATACCAATTATTTCTGATATTTCAAAGAATTGTCTTCATACAGGGAGCCTTACTAGTGAAGCTATAACTCTAAGCTATAAATACATACTCATTTGCATTCGGTTGTTCTGCTAATTGTTTGGAGTTAGCTATAACATGATTGTATGAATTCAGTCCAGCGAATGTAAGCGAAATTGTCGTTTGAATATCAGGCTCATCAATACAAGGGAAGACACGCCTAGCATTTGTTGGGTGAAGATTCATAGCCACATATGAACTGAAATAAATGTTTAATGTTAAGAAAAGGAAGTATATAGAAAACTCATTCAAGATAACATAGTAAACGTAATGCTCGCATTGGAAGCACAGGCCCTGGAAGACCTACTTAATTACATTAAACAAGCAATTAATCGTTAAGTTAAACAATTCTAACTACACGTTAACAAAACAAATAACTTGTTGTAAGGAGTTTTTATAACATATAATTCTATATGAGTGAGCAGTGTTGGCTTAGTGGTTTCACCGTGTGACTCTCATCCCTGGGGTCGCAGCTTCGATCCCTGGCTGACTGTGCACCAAATGAGTTTCTTTCTATGTTCACATTTAACATTCGCTCAAACGGTGAAGGAAATCTTCGTGAGGAAACCGGCTTGCCTTAGACCCAAAAAGTCGACAGCGTGTCTGATTATCTACTTGCCTATTAGAGTGACAAATGATGACATGAAACAGATACATAAATCTAAGGCCTAGAGCTAAAAAGGTAAAAAGTATTACATATAATACCACTAATTAACTTCTGATAGGTCAAGTTACAGGTTGTTTACACCGATGAAAGGTCTTTTTATGTTAAATTAATTACAGAGCCTTTTTACATAAATGCGATATTTTTTTTAAATAATTACTCTGCATCGAAGCGTCCTCTATAGATACCAATACCAGCATTCTTCAACTCTCCCGTATATTCCACAATAACTATGAGGAAAGACGATGTTTCCTCAGGTGTAATTTTCAATTGGCCATCTTGCAGTTCCCAACTTGATACAATTTCATTAGCAACGGAAAAGCTCCCCACTACAACACTTGTTACTGTCAAATCTTCAACATAAAATTCTATAGGGTCACTCCTAGTTTCTTCTGTCAAAACAACTTCTATAACTGCTCGACCGGTAAAACTTGATTCCTCTACTGTTAGTTTAATTGTATATCGTCTGGCATTTTGTCCCGGTCTCAGAGATTTAACATTCATAACCGAAGAAACGCTACTTTCCAAATAATTTTGGTTTTTATTTTTTACTAACGGATAACTCGAAACATAGGCATAACATAGAATGCATATCACTAATGGCCATTTGTATTTTAACCGGATCATTTTGTCACTTTGCTCTCAATCGGAACACTGAATAAAATACACAGAAATAGGTCGATAATGATAAATCAGACACTTGAATTTTGATAGTGTCATTTTACTTTGACGAGATAAAGGTTATCGAAAAACGGTATTTCTGTAGAACCATAACCAAGTTATACTATTTATCATTGTAAGGTTGACGGTAGGTAAAATAATATGTGTAATAAGAAAAATACAATTACATTATTTACAGTGGAATCTCTCTCAGTGGAAAAGGACTCAAAATCTCGAGTTTAATGTTCATGGAGTTGACAATTTAAATATATTACTGTAAATGAACAGTGGGGATTATAGTTTTATCCACGGAATATAAATATAGTTTAAAAAACTGAAAATTGATTATTCTTGAATTAGAAAAATTAAAATAAAATATAAATAAATATTAACAAATTTTTTTTAGTAAATAGTCCCTAGTTTCTATATAATAAAACGTTTTTGCAAATTTGTAACGTTGCAACATCAGTATTTGACAAGAACTATACGATATCAAAATATTTCAGATTATTTTAGATAAACGAAGATTGTGTCAGTCACAACAGTTTAGGTCATTTTAATGTTAGACAATTTATTATTGATTGAAATAATAAATAGGCCTGTAATATAACATTACTAATGCAATTATTAATTCGGTAACTTTAAACAGATTACAAACTAAAAGTGTATCCTTTATAAGTTTAGTTTGTTTTTCATACATATTTTTTCTTTTCTCACAGTGGTTGCCTGGAAGAGATAGCTCGAAAGCGATAAGGCCGCCAGTGGCCCTCCTTTACATTTAATTACGTTAAATTTTTATATTGTAATGCAACGAAGTGTAAATAAATTAATAAATAAAATAAAAGTTTTTTCGCGAAATAGTGTGCTAACTATATGCTAACTATATATAACTTAACTGTTAGACAATGTATTATTGATTGAAATATTAAATTGGCCTGAAATATAACATAACTAAAGCAATTATTAATTCGATTAAATTAAACTTTAAAAAGAATACTAACTTAAAGTTTTTTCGCGACATAATGTGCAAACTTAATTAACTTCGATACGTATTTTCTGCGAATCCTTTGCAGGCTTTCATTAATAAATGCTGTTAAACCACGCCATATGTCGTAGCCAACGGCTATACAAGAACAACAAATATTTTAGTATACTATTATCCTATTTTTTTAATATTACAAAAAAAGTTGCAATTATTGTTTCTCAAAATCTACTTTATGCTATACCTATTACGATATTAAGTATACTGCAAATCTTAATTAAAATATAAAAATACTCACTCTTCGTCATAGGCACCTGTATAGAATCCAATTCCAGCTGACGCTAACGATCCCGTATATTGTATTTCAAAATCGTGTAACGTCGATTCTATACCAGTATCAATTTCTAATACCCCGTCGTCAGTGTTAACATTATTGACATCAGAAGATGTACCACCAGAAATTCTTTTAACGGATGATACCGTTAAGTCTTCGAAGTGAAACTTTACAGCATCTCCTACCGTGGCATCACTAACTTGCACCGAAACCCTCGCAACCCCAGCAAAAGTTCCAGCACCCAAATCAGGTGTTAGTTTAATGTCATATCTTGTTGCAGTCATACCAGCTCTTAGATTGTTCCTAGAGCTGGATTCAATATTCCTCAGCTGTATTCCATTTCCAACTTCTTTTGTTTCTTTTGTTGAGCTAACTCTACTTGTCACCAGATTTTCATTTCCATCTTCAAAAATAATATTAGCTTGTTCGGGTATTACCAAATTCGTAAATGAATCATCCTGCGTTTTCAAATTTTCTTCAATTAAATCATGTGATGTCTGACTTCTCAAAGGTAGTGTTGAGATTGCTGCTATAATAGTAGACAACGCTACTATTAATTTAAAAACACCCATAATTAATATCCAACTCAGTTCCAGCGAAAAACATACCACCGGTCTTCATCTAGAGAATGCCAAACACTAAAAGATCTATCTGACAATATCTTAAAAAGGAAACGCGATAAAAGCAATCGACACGCACACTCGTGTGGTGTGACAATTGATAAAATAAGACAAGTGGTTCTGTCATAGCTCTAAATAATCTTAAATTGTTACTAATGAGATGGGTTTTGTTCGAAATGTGTTGAGCTCTTCTCTCAATCTTTGACATTATTCAAAAGTCAAAAATCATTTATTCATATAGGTAACACAATGTACACGTATGATCGTCAAAAGAGAAATATAAATTAAATGCTTCTTATTTTACATTTTCTTCTCAAATCAAGGGCGTAGAACGGAAGAGAAGAACTGTCAATATACTCTCCGCCACTATTTTTAATCGCCAAGTTTTTTGTTTTACACATCGCTTGTAAGGAGCTGCAACCATTACACCTATTTCACATGACATCTTAAGTAATAAATAAAAATAATAAACCCTATGCTCCAATTGGAAGATATTGAAACCTGTGCTCAAATAGTAAAACAGTTTGTGTACCTACAACTGTAAACCACACAAATAAAACATTGTAAGGTTATATTAAATAGCTAACGTTAAGGTATAAAGGTGCTAGTTGGTAATAATCTAATTAAAATAATAAAATAATGTTTTAAATGGTACAAAGTTTAGACATGTTGTACGGTGCTAGTTGGTAATAATCTAATTAAAATAATAAAATAATGTTTTAAATGGTAAAAAAAAAAAAAAAAAAAAAAAAAAAAAAAAAAAAAAAAAAAAAAAAAAAAAAAAAAAGTTTTATTTTTTAAAAATTTAATTAAAATAATAAAATAATGTTTTAAATGGTACAAAGTTTAGACATGTTGTACGGTGCTAGTTGGTAATAATCTAATTAAAATAATAAAATAATGTTTTAAATGGTACAAAGTTTAGACATGTTGTACGGTGCTAGTTGGTTATAATCTAATTAAAATAATAAAATAATGTTTTAAATGGTACAAAGTTTAGACATGTTGTACATGCTTATCTCAGAAGTGTTTACAGGAAATTCTTTCGGATAATGGTATCTCAGAAGATAATTCTATAAAGATACAGCGAAATATATACTTTTATTTAAAAAACAGTTGAGGTTTGAGTAAATAAAAAATACCAAAATGATAATACAAATACATTGAATTGTTCTTTATTACTCTTGTTACGAGCTGGACTTATATATTATCAAATACATTGGGTTGGGTTTATGTTAAAGTGTTGGATATGACCGGTCAAAAATAAAAATTTCAATTGAGCTGGTAAATTTAAAATAAGTAAACGGATACATTTTTTTCTATATATAATGTACAGAAAGTAAATATAAGACTAACAAATTTTATTTGAACCTCGATTTATCATAAAAATTATTTAATTTACGAAATGAATTCTATCCACAACTGAATTTAGAACCAAAAGGCAGTGAAATAAATTTAAGATAACACTAGCAGTTTAATAAACTGATGCGCGTGTATTTTGAGATTTGGAGAAACTATCCAATCTATTTAAAGGAGTTCAAAGATGGTGCACTGATTACACTTTCCGGAAGCCTATTCCAGTCGGCCACTACTCGGTTTGGGAGAAAGTTCTTTAGTGAATTTGTGTTATGTTGAGTGGTCTTAAGTTTTAAAGAACTACCCCTCAAATGTGTATTTTCACTTAAAATAAAGAGCTTCTCAATTCCTGGAACATTATATGTTTATTTATGGTATGTTTGGGTTTTAAATTATTTTACATTAAAACTAAAAAATTGCGCTCGTCTGTTTACAAGAAAATGGCTTTAATTTAAACTTAATGAATTCAAAAGTACTCTTAAATGTCTCAAAAACTTTTAACTACATTATCGTAATCACACATAAAAATACTTCGTTTATTAAGTAAAACATATAGAAATAATAAATGCATTATATTCTTAACCAAAATATCTTAGTAGTTAAAAATAGACACGAAGATAGACATCAAAATTATTAGACTTGAGCTAATTGCGACAGCATTGCTGCGATAGTAGCTGCTAAACCAACTATTAACAGTTTCGTAGTTATTTTCGCTCCACGCAATGGATGAAGCCACGTTTTCCCGGATGCCGGCCACTCCCGCCAACTCAGCAGCGGAGAATATGTTCTGGTAACGTGTCACGAACGCCTCAATCTGTTAGAAAAAAAAAATATGATAATGTTAAAGTCAGTAATAAGGTTTAAATTACTCGTAGTCTGATAATATACGTGGTCTTTAAAATTGTTGCATATAAAGGATAAGTGAATACTTGAGTTATAAAAAATATAAAATCATATAAAATCATAAATTAAGATTTATCCTAAATCGTATGAATGGCTCAAAATTTTATATAGGATCGGTGAAAATTTCGTTAAAATTACCTTTGATCATTATGAAAGTATTTTTTTACATTTTTCGTAAGTAAATTTTTACCATAAAGATAATAATTATTGATTGATTTATTACCTTTTGAGAATGTGCTTGAGATGTTAATCTTCTTGCGAATGCATTTAATATGTTCGATGTTCCGGTCAGTCCTTGTACTCTGTAAAAATTTTCAACGATAAACTATTAAAAATCCTGAAAAATCAAATATATAGCAAATCTTATAACATTGATATTAAATATATACATATACGGTATATATATGTAATCCTTTAAATAATGAAACATACCTCGGTTGAATGGCTGCGAAATTTTCAATAACAAAGTCCAAAGCCTCTTCCATGCTCTCCGGACTTGAATTAATAGTTGCAACAATAATTGTATGTCTGTCCTGCTCGCGCACAGGTGATGTGTCGTCAATAACTTGGTTCAGGAAACTGAAATATTTTATTGATTCTATTTAAATACGAAATGACAAAGCATACTAGTGAATTTTTAACAATTGCGTACATTCTATATTGCATCTCTAACGAACGATATAATCATTTCTTACGTAACTCAGGCAAATAAATATTTGATATGGGTGATTATATAAAAGTTCCGTAACTCAATGTCTTCAGCCAATATATACAAAGTCTTATTATATTTTATTGAGATTACCATTTATTTTTAAACAATGAAACGTCCTTCATTTGGTCACCCAATTTCAGCTCTGTATTTTAAATACAAGTTAATAAAAACACACAATTAATGCTTAAAACGTCAGTCCTTTGGTATGCCACAATCCCGAAAACCAAAAATCAAGTGACTATCAATTAAACATTATCATTGTTTTAAGAAAACTTACTGTCTTACTATAATCTGTGATGTACATAGTAATATATACTAAAACTTTCATAATGCAATGTTCTCCGCGTTATTTAAAAATAGAAAAGAAACTTTGTGTTTGTTTTATGCATCAGTCCGTTGTGTGTTGTTTAAATTTCCAAATATCACTAATTAAACGACTAATCCCTGTATGAATTTTAATGTTGGTAATGAAGTTAGTTGCGGACCGCGCAATTTTTGTATAATCACCCATATACAACAATTTTGGGAAAAATATTTTTTTTTTTTGCTAGCTTTGTTTAATAATTGAATTACGCAGCTTTATAAACATAAGTGATTTATTTTATATTATTACTTAATTCACGTAATTTTATGAAAATTGTTTTATTTAAGTGATAAATCATGTTCACTTATACTAGATTACTTTTAATTAAAAATAGGAAAATACTTACAAGCTACGTAATTCAGGGTTAGAAGTACAAGCCAGCGAGTTCAAAAGAATAGATTGTTCGCTAGAGTCCTGGCTGGCTATAAATCTGTCCCATAAGAAGTTGAAGTTGTCAACGTCACCACCACGCAGACCAGAGCAGAACACTATTGTTTGAATATCTGGCTTTGGGCGATTATCTGAAATTTAACAAGACTTATTGGTTGAAGCGCCACTTCCTTTCGTCACCCATATCATAAAAATAAATCAGTATAAATACACCGCTCCAACCAAAATACTCGCTTATCTCTTCATTATAAAAAATAAAATAAAATATGTTTATTATGGAACACAAGATACATGTATCACTTATTCCACGTCATTAAATTTGAATCTGTAGGCATCCCTATTCATCGGCAAAGAAGACAAAGGGTGTAGGCCGAGAGAAAAAGCCGGCGTAAAAAACTCTCAGTACTCTTTTAAAATAGCAAATAATCAAACAACACTTATTTTAAAACAAATATCGCAAATTAATTAGAAGTAGCCTGTCCCAGGCCCTTTTATCAACTAGATAATCGTTAACTTTATAGTAAGCCTTTTTACACAGGCTCTTCTTTTACAAGCTCTTATTTTGATAGCATAGTGCAATCAGACTTAATTTCTGGATTCTTCTCATTTATTCTGTGTACCTATAGAAGATTTTCCCTGATATACAATCTCAATTAAACAAGACACGAATGTCGATGCGAACTGTTTTTAATCTACATGTAGGTACTGCGTAAAAATTATATTTAGTAGGTTCCACTCACACATACTATTGATTTTTTTCAAGTGTACAAAGGCGATTTATATAAAAAAAACTAAGATAAAAAATATATTATAACTGCTTCCGATGGACTTCCTGTTATTGCCGTCCGTTCCTGTTAAGTCCGTTGCAATAGTTGTTTGGTTGTTATGTTTTTAATCGTTATTTTTAAAATGAGGTACAATCTTTTGCAAGCGCCAAATTTTAAATAAAACATTAATTAAACTGTGGGGATAAAAAAAGTAAAAAATCATTTAATCATGTAGGTAACATAATGTACACTTATGACTCGTCAGTAAAGATATACATATTAATGCTTCTAATTTTACATTTACTGCCAGTTCTCAAATCAAGTGCGTAGAACAGAAGAGAAGAACTGGCAATAAACTCTCCGCCACTCTTTTTAATCGCCATTTTTTTTTTACACAACGTTTGTAAGGTGCTGCAACCATTACACCATGTTCCACATGACATATCAAGTAATTAATAATAATAACATAGATTTAAAAAAAAAAACAAAGACTTGTCCGCAAAGATACGCAATGCTAGTACGATATCTGTAGTTGTTTGGTAATTGGTTGGTGACTTACTTTCGTTATTTTTGAACTGCTGTAATAACTCTTGCGTGCGATTAACGCAGTGCTCGTTGCCATGGCGACAGTTTAGGTTAAGAATGATGTTCCGATGGTAAGCGGTAACGTGCTCGTCGCTTGTTTTAGCTTCGAAACCAAGCTCTTCGTAGAGTGGTGCGGTTAGCTCACGAATGTATCTCTGAAGAATAAATTATTAGATCATTAGCAACTATACTAACTCTAGAACGGTGAAGGAAAATATCGTGAGGAAACCGGCTTGCTCTCACCAAGTAGACGGCGTACGTCAGGCACAGGAGGCTGATCACCTCCTTGCCTAATAGATTAATAAATGATCATGAAACAGTTCTGTATCTGAGGCCCAGACCTAAAGAGGTTGTAGCGCTTCTGATTTTGTATACTTATGTACGCGCTTAGGACGACCGGAACAGAATAAAAATTTTATTCGTCTGAATAAGGTATGCAGTTCTGATGCAAAAAGAACTGTTGGGCCCAGTAAGTATATTATAAAAATCAAATAGACTAGTCGTACGTTCAAATCCCGCGCGTTTTCATGAAGGCTTGTATATAAAATAAAATTTTAAAGATACCGATACAATTCGAGTCTACGACTTATATGGGATTGTGGCGCTCTATCTATTCAATTCTTATTAAGAAATATTTCTTTTTAATTAAATAAAAGGCTCAATTTTTCGACGATTTTTATTCAAATTTTTCACAGAAAAAGTTCATAATTAATATTAAATTTCAGTTTCGATCTAATCAAGTCTGAAACCACATTGCCCTAATTAGCTCATTCGTATTCCATTTAAAGGTTGTCCCCAATTTTTACCTTTTCTCATTACAGCACACTGTCCTTTGTTTCACAAGCATTCAGCAATAGGCTACTATTATATACGTCAATCGACTATTGCTAAACGCATTTTCAAATTTTATGCAGTAGATTAATAATACTAACGATTATATTTTATATTACTAGCTGCCCCCGCTAACTTCGTTTCTCCTTAATACCTAGCCTATCTTTTAAGTACATACCAACATGGAACATTTTGCTATGCTGTATCATAAAAAAATAAAAGCAAAAAATTTTATCTAAGCAATAAAACAAATTGTTTGGGGTGGACACCCCTTATCACTTAGGGGTTTGATAGATAGTAGTCGATTCTCAGACTTACTGAATATGCATAAAAATTTCATAAGAGTCGGTTGAGCCGTTTTGGAGGAGTATGGGTACGAACATTGTGACACGAGAACTTTATATATTAGATTATTATTAACTTAATAATATTACGATAGATCTAAATATATTGAATTGCATTAAGTATAAAATTGCAATTACCTGGAAGAGAGCGTGTGCAGGTGTACCAGCGAGAACAACATCCAAATAGGCAAATGCGTTGTTTATGGATCCCCAAGGGATGTAATCCGTCTCATTCACGAGGTAACGTGATATTTCCAACGGGATTTCATAGTCCTGAAACAGATATGATCTGATATACAAATTTGACGGTTGACAAAGGTTATTAACCCTTAAACATCATTATTAGGTTTGCGCCTTCGATTTAACATATGAAGCCGTTGAACTCAAATCACCCTATTTATTTTGATTGTAGATTAACAATATTTCTAAATAACTGTTCAACTCAGTAACAAAAATGTCCGATTAGTAAACTATTGAACTAGCTTTCGGTTCAATATATTGAGAATGCGATAAAAGTACGACACATGACCAAGTTTAACATATAAAAACAAATTATTAAAATGTATTGTAACAAATATATTCTACAACTAAAAAATATTTCTCCAGATTAAGGAAAATTCTCCACTGAAAGAGATCAAGAGAGAGAGAAGATTTATCTACTTACAATTTTTCGCAAATCCCATTTGAAGCGTACGAAAATAAATTTTAATTGAACATTGGTTTTGTGAGAACTTTTTAACAAAAGGAATCCAGGATTAACCCTGTTGTTGACTGGATGACAATATTTTAAAAATGGAATGATTAATTCGATTTTTAAAATTTTCTCATGCACGCACTTAGATGTTCTCTGCCTTGAGTGAATTTTATCTGCTGCCCCAATGTTTGGCAGAATTACAATATAAATACATATTGCACGCGTGCAATATTTTAGTTTAGTCAGTCCAATGCACCAGAAACACTTTATCAACCCACTAGCATAGGTTCATGCATGAGTCAAACTGACACTTGAATCCCTAATTACCGTCAGCGATAGCATGTACATTGTACATACATTTTATGTATGGAAAATAGATATTTTTTTCGATATTATATACATATTATATATTACTACTAGTGGACCCCACAGACGTTGTCCTGCATGATATTTAAAGCGATTAGGATATTAAGCAAAGTATGAAAGTACCGACTGCAGCCTGCCGGGCTGATTTATGAATCTAAACCATTCCCAGATCCCCTTGAACACACACAAAAAATTTCATCAAAATCGGTCCAGTCGTTTGAGAGAAGTTCAGTGACATACACACTCACAGAAGAATTATATATATAAAGATTTTCAATACGTACTAGTCGTCCAGTCCTTGCCAAGTTGAAAGAGTCATCAACGATTTGTGCCCGATTTAATAAATGAATAACACTGTGTGAGGTTTGTAAAGCGTTGGCCAGTGCTCTCCAGTTCTGTAGGTCATAATTGACTCGGTAGTATCCTAAAAATATTTTAAATAAGTATTTATCGATACATAGATAAACCAATATGGTGCTAGGGTGCACAGAATACTAATCTCAGATATTTTCGGGTTTTAAAATTTTTTTTATTGACATGTCCCTAAAAAATCGATCTAAGCTAGTATTCGAATAAACGACCCGTTATATATAATTAATAATTAACTATTCGACTAACTATGCCTGTTTTCAAAGATATATATTGTATTTGAATGAGGTGACCCGGCAAGCGTTGCCATATATATTAATTGATAACTGATTAGTTATCGACCACTGAGAGTTGAGGTAATTACAATACTAATGTAAATGTGACTGAAAACTAAGGGTTATATGTTATATTATTTTTATTGCCAAATAATAAGAAATATTAAACGAAAAATAAACATTTGGTAGGCCTTTATCACTTAGGGGTATAAAAAATACGACCTACGGAATGTACACAAAATTTCTTGACAATCGATTAAGCCGATTAGAGGGATTGCAAACACAGTGGCACTTGAATGTTATATTATGAAACAACATCAGAGCAGCAGTTTTTGTTTTTATAAAGAATAAAAACCAAGTTATTTGGAATATGTGATTATTTTGAATTAAATAAAGCTTTTATTAATGTATTTCAATTCAATTCGTTTATGATCCCATAAACTGCAGTAAATTTTCTTAAATTGAGTAAAAAGAACATCTAACCCTGTGTTTGATGTTTACCATCTTATAAACTACTTTTCTATAAATCATTTTATATCTTGTTATTTCCCTCTTCAAATCGTCAGTAGGTTTTCAATTATATTTTTATAGAAAATCATAAGTGTAGTTAAATATGTTTTACCTGTCTGCTGCTTATTGATGATATACCAATCAGCATCAGGTAAGCCAGGGATGTCAACTGACAAAGCTGGACTGTTCGGCAATACCCATCCTTGAGCCTTTGTGTCACTGAAGTCTGGGGTCGTGGACAGAACCCAGTTTACTGGCACATGCCAAGCGTCATTTGCTGACAAAGCTGGGTCGGTCAGGAACCGACGCTGAAATTCCATGATTGCATATTTTAGTTTAATATATATGTAAGTTTCAAACGAGAAAGAAAATGTTTAAGATTTTTCTTTACATGGAACCAAGCAGGAGATGCTAGAGAACATTATAAACGAACCTGCATTTCTTTAAACCCAACGATGTGTTAGATATGGTTAGAAGCCTAAATAAAATTATATCAATATAGCAAAACCAAAATATTATTTATTTAAGTAGGTAGCATAAACCCTTATGAGTGCCAAAAATAAAATTTAATGATTCTAAATTTACATTTACCAAGATCTGTCTTTTTGTAGATCAAATAAAAAGAACTGGCACCTACCTGCCACTCTTTGTATAGGCAATTTTTTACAAATTGCTTGAAAAGAGCCATAGCCTCAACATTATGTATGGATGTTTAATTTCTACCAGCTGTAAGCATGGCGAAATAGGAGCACTTACATTATAACCCAAAAAGATTTGTCGGCTTCAAGGGGTACTAGTTCCTATATGGTACTCTTGCAACAAGATGAATCAACTACTAACAAATTATAGACAATTACTTTGGTCAAGATAACATTGAGCTCCCGCTTAGTGAATTAATAAAGTTTATTAATAATTTCAAAAATATAAAGATACTTATGCTTTTAATATCTATTTAATTAAGTTCTAAACGTTTTTATGAAACATGTTTAAGAATCTTGGTACAACTTCGCATGTGCCATTTGACTCGTTTGGTTGTGTACGAATTGACGTCGAACAACTGCCCGAAGTGAGTTGGTCGAGTCGGAGTAGGGAATAGATTCTAAAAGAAGTTGTGACGCACGCAATACATTTGTTTAACTTTGAAGTGTTACATGAAAGAAATGAATAGTGAATCAAGTCATTTAGTGTTTTATTTCCTACCCTAACAACTAGATCAACTTTATTACAACAACTCTTTTACATTTATTTATTCTATTATTTTAGTAGTTTTTTATATACATATTATATACCTTCTGATTAGCTAACCTTCTGTTATATATAAATTACAGTATTAAACGGTTACTTTGGTTTTAGATGGTAACATTAACTAAATATTGTATTTAAAAGTTTAGTAAATTTGTGTTTTTTTAAGTAGATTTAACAAAATATTTCAAATTTTTCCTTAAATTCATGTAGTATATAAAGAGCCTCAAATTTCACCTGTGCAATAGAAATGGATTGTGCACTCGCTGCCTGTCTTTCTACTGTAAGAACTGGGAAGCCACCCTGAGTGGTCCATCTCTGCATGATAGTAGCCACTTGGATGGGAAGGCTATGAGAAGATTGATCTAGAGCTTGCTGAAGGGATATGAAAAGATCTGGTGGAGTTACAGCATTACGGGAACTGAAAAATCATAAAAACACATGATGAAATAATTATTAAAGTAGCGAAGAAACCAGTGCCATTATTATATTTCATCAAATTGCCTGTATATGATCTTTAATATTTAAAAAGTTATGTATTTGTATCATAGTCCCACTGTAAGCTGTGAACGACTATTATAATTACGAAAAATATTCATACATATTATACTTACATGGACCTTCACATAAAGTACATATTTAGACCTTTCGGAAGACTTCTGCACAACACGAAATGCTGCATCATACGAATGACCGAACCCGCTAAAATTCAAAATAATAAATTTAAAATATGGTATTAACAATAGACAAATTAGTTTTCATAATATAATGATAATATAATATTATATAATTTAATAGTAATATAATTTAATATAATATAATATAATATACTATAATTAATATAATATTATATAATTTAATATAGATTTAATATCGAATATAATATATTATAATTTAATATAATATAATATAACTATATTATGAATATAATATAATATAATACTAATATAATATGAAATATAATATAAAACTTATAATATAATATAATATTGGAATCTAGTACATTTTCACAACACTCTATATCGTTAGGGTAAGTGCATTATACGGGTAGGATTAGAACCCGGTTACCAGACAAGATTTAACTTATCACTGTGGTATAGCGCTTAAAATGTCAGTCAAATTTCACTTATTTAAGATTCTGGAGTTATTATGTTGTTCCTTTAATACCAACACAAGAACAGCGTGTATTCCCTTATTAGTTCAGTGAGTTGAGACACTTTCTACTATGTTATATATCGTTATTCGTAAATTAGGGGGGTGTCAAACTTAAATTACTTATTTTTATTAAGTTAGGCTATAAAAATTTTTTGATTTCTTATGATACTGCACACAAGTACTACCAACCCTAATTTTGTCCCTAAACAGAGCTAGTTTGTTGGCCTAGTGGCTGAAATCAAAGCGTGGCAAAGATTTGCCGGGTCAGCTATTTACCATAATGGACTATTGTTATCTATCTGTAGCACTTAACTGTTTGCTGATCGGTTAAGGATAACATCGTGAGGAAACCGGCTAGCCTTACACCCACGACAAAGTCGAGTTTGTCTTATTAACAGAAGGCTGATCACTACTTTCTATTAATGTAAATATCATAAACAGTTCAGGAATCTGACAGCCCAGACCTAAAGAGGTTGTAGCGACACTGATTAATTAATTAATTATAAGAATAAAGTTATTAAACTTACACTTCTGGTAAGCAACAGCATTAAAAGTTCCGATGACCTGAGATGGTGTGTATACAGGGTGTGTCATAGGATTGACACTGAGCACGGCGTCGTTTTGGAAGACGCCTTGTACCAGCAAAACGTACTGATCCATCATACGCCATTCTGGTAGCACCTGTGTTCAGAGTAATATCAAAATATTGAGTACGCAATTCTGAGCCATAATTTATACGTACGTGTATACCCTAGATCTTTTGTAGCCAAAAATCTACGCAGTGAATTTTTTCGTTTACCAAGTTACGACATAGACATTTTTCGGACCTAATCCTTCTTATGGTTCCATATAAAGTGGGACATTAAATTAACATCATAAGAACTAAAATGTCATCTTTTTCAAAAAATATATTACAATAATTATGTACTTAATTTTGGAGCAAATATATATATGTATGTTTTAGCATTCCTTGCTATTTAAACTATATTTTTTTATGTCATAAGAGACAAACGGGCAGGCGGCTCATCTGATGTTAAGTTGAATACCGCCATCTATGGACTCCCACATTGCCAGAAGGCTCGCAAGTGCGTTGCCGGCCTTTTATAAATTGGTACGCTCTTTTCTTGAAGGACCCTAAGTCATATTGGTTCGGAAATACTTCAATGGGCAGCTGGTTCCACATAGTGGTGGTGCGCGGCAAATACTTTATCAATATATTTACTGGATTGTGAGATAAGCGAGTTCAAGACAATTAGCAGGTTAATATAAACTTCTATAATATTCGTTCGGTAAATTTAAAAATAATGTATTATCTTACTAATTCGGTTCCAAAGTTCTCAAAGAAGTTGGCGAAACCCTCATTGAGCCAAGTGTAGGTCCAGCTGTCGGGGCTGACTTCATTACCGAACCACATATGCATGTTCTCATGGCAGATGATGCGTCCTATATTTTGGAGAGTAGATGTTGTAGTCACACCCTCAGTTGCTAGAAGAGCGACCTCTCTGAAAATTAATAAAATATCAATGCTCATACAGTTTGATACAGGTTAATTGTTGCGGCCACGATGTTTATATTACCAAGGAATTTTGATTATTAAAAAGAAAGATTTTTTTATTTTTTCTTTTTACTAGAAAGCGCTTAATTTTCAGCTAACATCAATCTTGATTAATCATGGCTGCTTCGATCATATGTTTTAACTTAATATCTTTTAATTATTATGTTCCAGATCACTGTGCGTTTTAAACTATTTACCCAAAGCTATCCAATCTACGTGTATATTTTTTGTGCATCTCTTTGATTAATTTAAAATAAATTGATGAGATTCATGGGGTTTCTTATCTGATCCCTAGTAGCATTATTTTTAACTCATGTCTATGTATATTTTAATTATATCCCACAATATGCAGTCATGAACCTAAGATAAGAGCCATTTTCAATTTCAACGAATGTTTAAAAATCTCAACCTAACCAACCTTTATTGAAATAAAATGTGTCATTGTTAGACTTGACGCCGACACTTGTCACAGGTGGCATTGTAACTGGCATTTCTACCCTACGAGTCTATAGGCACATATGTTCTTTTATATATATAAAAGAGCACTCACAAATTATTTGAGGACCATAAAAGCTATACAAATGAACCTGGTAGGGACATAAAATGAGACTTATATTTAATTTACCATATAATTAATGCAAAGGTTAAACTTTAAATTTGTATTGAGTTATTTTGATATCTAATTAATCGTGTAGAGTTAAATGTTTAAAGAACTTTATTTCTCATTATAAAAAATGTATTTTTATTTACATGAGAAACTTAATATACGAACGATACACGTCGCCATCGGCCGTCCCAATTTTAGTCTACTAGGCTCATATGCATCTTTAATGCCCTTTTGAATTGGTTAAATGCGCTAATATTACGAATTTTAGACGCTCATTGATTAAATAATAATTGCACACCCTCATACTTAATAGACTAAATATTTTGTATCATTCGGCAAGATAAGCAAACTTGCTCGACGAGTATTGCGTGTAGTGGTGTGTTTGATTTTTTCAAGTTTAGTTTATTTTATTATGATTACATCAGCCATATGAAATACTATGTAAGATTTATTTCATGAGAAATAGGCGATTGAAAATAAACTTCCTTATAATAATATCCTAAGAAAGAGTTTAAAGATGCCTTAGGCTGTCTTAACAATAACAATAGGTTTTTTACATCCTACGGGAATGATAGTCTCATGTTAGGTTGTTTTATACTTTTATATAATTTAAAAAAAACTCGTGAACTCTCAGATGGACTTAAAATAGAAGAGTGAAAATTTCTTGAATATAAATCTTAATGGCTCATTATGTTATCAAAAGGCAACGTTTTTCATTACGGTAGGTTAATTTAGTGAGAGGCTATTGTTGGCCTGCAGCCCACCCGCGTCGCCGTAGGAGACCACAGCGCCGCCGTGGCACCGTGCAATTTCCAACCCGGGGCGCGCAGTTGCTCCAGCGGGGGAACAGGGGTCCATGCGTCGAAAAGAAGGGATGCTGACGATCCCTGCAAGCATCGCCCCCCCGACCTCCCCCAGCTTTATAAACAGGGTGACTTGGCCGACTGTGAAAGGCCCTGGTGCTGTGCCACCGGTCCACCTTCTACATCATTCGTGGCCGTAGAGGACCGTGATACTAACGGCTGATCGCGTGGCTGGATGCGGACAAGGCCACGCTGTTACCGTGTCCTCCGCCCCGGGCGATTGCTGGTGGCGCCGTGGGGTTTTAGTGGGAGACTGTTTCGAGTCCCACATAACCCTTCCCCCAAGGTCAACCGTGCCGCGGGAGGGATGTTAACGCATTTCCCACAAAAAAAAAAAAAAAAAAAAAAAAAAAAAAAAAAAAAAAAAAAAGTGAGAGGCTATTGTTGGAAGTTCTCCGTTGATGAGAACTGTTGCTATCAGCTCGGTACTTTGAATAATGGTACATTTGTCGCAGGCTTTAGTATAAATGGGTTTTATTCTATAGAGTTATGTAAGATGTTTGATATTTCGCAAGTATATTGTTAAATTTGCGTCAGTTGGCGTACACCTCTTTGATTTGAAGAACGGATTATACATAATTAAGAATCATTGAATTTATGAGTATAATAATATTTCTTTATTAGGGGTATTTTACAAAAATTTTAAAATATATAAATACGTGTCACGTTGTTTGCCGGTATGGACTCCTAAACTAGGTACTGAACCGATTTCAATCAAATTTGTACACTGTGTGCAGTTGGATCTAACTTTAAACATAGGATAGCTTACCTCTCAATTTATACCCGCAATATTATTTTATTGCAAATATTAGGTCCTTACATATGAAATTGGCGTTTTTCGTACTGGCCACTTTAATCACGATATTCTCCTCTTTGGTGAGGAATTCCAAATTCAAATTTGTACAGCTATTTACTCATGTATTTGTGCTTCGGTGACCGTCATTCATTTTTTTTTTCTTCTGTTTTTTCTGTTTGGTACTGATTTCACAAAGGAAAACTTAAAGGTATCGGGCATTATTTACGGAGTCGACTTCCGCCGTATCACTAGTGCTGGCGGAAACGACTCCGCGAGGGGGAGGGGGGGGGGGGGTGAATGACGTGGTATGACGGTCATGTTGCAAAAGAAAACAAGTTCGTTTTTGGTTCCAACGTTTTCGTTCTGAAAATTTCAAGCTGCAGAACAAGCCCCGTGGACGGCCTGAGACCCAAGTTGATAATGAAGTATTGAAGGCTATTGTGCCAACGCTAGACCACACACTGCACAACAGACGGCTACCAAATTAGAAGAGCTTCAATTGGAATGTCTAAGACATCCTCCGTACTCCCCGGACCTTGCTCCAACAGATTACCATTTTTTTGAAATTTGGACAACTTCTTGCAAGGGAAAAATTTAACTCTGATGGGGCAGTCCAACTCGCCTTCACAGATTTTATTGATTCCCGTCCGACTGGTTTTTTTAGTAAAGGGATCAATGAACTACCTATGAGATGGCAAAAGTGCAGAAAACAGGTTCATACTTTGATTCATTAAATATATTATATTTAAAAATATTCGACTTTTTTCCTCCCATACAAAACGCCAATTTCATTGTAAGGACCTAATATTTGTTTATTATTTGATACAATTCTAACAGATGGCGCTGTGTTAAAAGTACCAACGTTTCACATAAGCTTTCACATAAGTTCTCCTACAGTTTCCCTTGAATTTACTACTATGTAATATAACAAAAACCTTAGCCTCAGCAACGCTTGGCCGGTCTGCTAGTAAATTATAAAAACCTCTCTTTATTTCGAAGTTACTTATTATACAAACTAATAAGTAAAATAATCGACTACTATTTATATTTTTTGACCATAATTAAACAAGATTAAACAAAAATATTATTGTCTTACATAAGCCACGACCAATACCAATGAATATAATTCATTAATATATATTACCTGTAAATAACAAGTCCCCAATTTTCCATTGCACCAGCTGCAAAGTCTGGAACAGCCACTTTGTCGAGTTTAGGTAATGCGTACTTAAAGTTGGTGTATTCTTCCAATGCAACCATGTTCTTTTGACCAAAATCTAAAGCGAATGCTGCTGTACTCTGAGTTCCAGGTCTAGAATATACCCTGAAGGTAGTGTTGAAGATCGCATTTTGTTCGTTGGAGATGTATTCAAAGTTTGAGACGAGGAAAGCTAGAAGGTATGATGACTGTACTAGAGTGTCTTGAAATTCGTATTTGTTGAATCCCTGTAGTGCGGGCCTGTAAGATTATTTAAATATTTATTATTATTTTACTAACAATCCTATATTAAATAAGTTTCAAGTTAAGTAATTAAAATATCTACACATTAAAATAAATACATTGACAGGCTTTTAAAGGAGTTTAGTATAGTTTGACTGATGTAGGATATAAAGGTCCACGGATGTGATATAGCTACCGAAACCCCAATAAGTTAAATTTTAACTTATATTAAAGGTATCAATATCTTTTTATAACTTATTACTATTACTTAAAAAACTGTACAAATCATGAACCTCAATTGAGTCAAATGTACGTTGCCGACTTTATAATCGACTACAAAAACGCGTTTGACGGTTTTTATGATATAACTATGTTTATCTTATAAGGTACATAGACTGCTAAGTAGAACATTTATTTTTTTGTTTGTTGTTGTATTATTCTTCTTTTAAGTTGGCTTTAAACAATTAAAGGTCTTTTTATCAGATGTTGCCGTAGATTAGGAAGGTTAACCTTACGTTTCCGCTGACAGTGTAGACAAATCTTTTTATGTAAAGTAGAAGGCAGCAATAGGCAAGGAGGAACGCCTTGGATGTAATGTGATAAACCATCTAGCACGCCTCGAATGGTAGTTTCATGTCGATACACACTGGTTTAAGGCGTCAAGACAAGGGCCTTGCAAACGAAGACCATTTTCATTATATATAGATACAGACTATGTTTATCTTGTAAGGGCCCAAAGACTAGTTGGTTTGGAAATACTTTGTTGGTTGCTGGTTCCACTTTGGTGGTAAGTTGGCGCAATTAACGGCCTTTTATAACGCTCAGTTGTGGCAACACGGACTTTTCGAGTGATACGTTATGGTATTGGACTGGTCAATGTCTTCAGTTTACGCGAATACTACACAATTTATAAAACTTATTTTAAAGATATAATCGCGAAATTTGAACCATCGAGTAATGTTAATAATGCAATAAATTCGTTTATTTGTTTAGAAGTATGACACTCAATTTGTTCACAAACTAAAATTCAATACTACTCAATTTACAACTATTGAAAATACATACTTTGAAAGATCAGTTCTCAGAGGCATGTTGGTTCTGACAGTTGGGTAAGCGGGAGGTGCGTATACCGTCATTCTAAACACTGCCTTATATTTGGGTTCATCGAAGCAAGGGAATACGCGGCGAGCAAAAGTAGGCTGCAGCTGTGACGTCACAAGGTTCCTGTAAAAAATATTTCTCGTAGCTGACGTTTTACGCACAAATTATCATATCATTTTGGTGAATATTTTATGTTTCCATTTAACTGGATTTCGTGGATGACATGGCAATACACTGATTCAAACGATAACAATAACGTTATCACTATAATGGTTGTAAAAAATATTTTGCGTGCTGTAAAAACCACGAAAAATCGGAATCGGAATTTTAATCAATATAACTTTTTTAAACATTTAAAGAAAAAGTATTTATAATTATTAAAAATTTACAACTATTTAACATAATTTTAAATTTATCCGACGTTTCGTTTACATGGTAATAATAATAATACTAACAATCAAGTAAAAAAAAAAATTATAAATTTAAAAATATATACTTTATATTTGTAACAGTCATTTAATTTAGAAAAAGGATACAGAAGAAAACAAGGGTTCAATTTTTACTAAAATTATGATTCTTTGGACATTCAAATAGAGGGTAGATGAAAAAATCATCCACAAGCCTACCCTCATTCTTGCGATGCAATGGCTACTAAAGCGACGCGCGCTTTGGTTTAGTTGTCTATGTTAGATAGTTAGAGAAAGTCGCCCTCCAGACTTTCTGGGTGTTCTAACTAATCTTTGCAGTTGCCTTCATTGTATCCGACGGTCATTAATTTCTCAAGGTCAAGTTTGCTTATTAATTCTAACATTATTTTTCCTCCTATTCATACTGTGATCTTTAAAGGCATTTTTTATGTTACGGGAAGCAAACGGGCAGGAGGCGCACCTGATGTTAAGTGATACCGCCGCCCCTGGACACTCGAACTGCCAGAAGGCTCGCAAGCGCGCTGCCAGCCTTTTAAGAATTGGTACGCTCTTTTCTTGAAGGACCCTAACTAGAATTAATGACACTAAGACGTCAAGGTGATGGTACTTCTGCCTTGACGTCCGATGATGAAACTCAGCTGCAGGTATTAGTCCGAACAACTTCTCTGAACACTCTCATGGTAAATGCGGTAGAAGATCCACCCACATCTCTACGTCAAGGGATCAAACCGCTCGGAAAGTGACTGGTCGTCGATTTTAAATTGTTTATAATGTAAAGGTCGGTTATTGGGGTAATACAATAAATTACTTACACACGTCCAACACCTGGCTGCTCAAACGTTGATACATACAACCCGAACATATTATCTGCGTATTTTGACTCAAACTCTATGTTCACTTCAATAAGCTGCAAAGCAACCAACTGCTGAGTTGTTCTTATTCTTAGAAAATGCGTGTCATCAGTTGCCATAGTATAATTATCATATAGATTCACACCAGCATTGATTGCTGTGTTCAGACGAATGCTGTTTATTGTCATTTCCATAGCATGCATGACGATTTCTTGTGTGTTTATTTCAGGAATGATCCGGATATAGACGCTGCCCGTAAATGTATCCGTTTTACCCGGGTCAATGACCAGCTGGACATCGTATAAGGTGGGATGAGATTCTCCAGGTAAGCGGTAGTGTCCATACTGAGTGGATATATCTTGATTTAAGGGTAAAGCCAGAGCTGTCCCCAGGAGGGCTAGGAACAGTGAATACATGGCTGAAAAAGAAAGTTTAGTCATTTAAGTTAATAATAATATTTAATGATACGGTAACGGTGAAATCCGTATTAAAATTTGCCATTTTATTCAGGAAATACTTTCTTATATTTCATGCAATGGGTTGGATTCCCAGCCCCAAAGACCGAAATCAGAAAAGACTAAAAAAGTTATTTGTCCCTTTTTATCAAGTTGTTTTTACGCTGTGATGAAAGAGACAAATGAGTATTTTAGTTAAAACGGAATCAAAGTTTTTATGACTTATATATATTTCACTTCTAAATTAATCGCTTCTGTCAAAATTATTTTATTGATTGCTTTGATTATAGTGATGAATAATTGGCAAGGCAAGTCATATGACTTATAATGAAAATTAATCCGTGTAATCACGATTTGGTCGACTATATTAAATCTACAAAATATTATTATACACATTAAATGAGATTTTGGTATATTTTGATAAATTCAAAAACTAAAACTACTACTATAAGCCGTCTTTTATCTAGAAAACTTCACTTCTTTGATATCCCCAAGAAATAAAACCAATTTATAAAATGCTGCAATTTTTTAGCAACTTCAAAAAACGAAGGTTAAGTATAAGTTAGACGTGCATTTTCTGTTTCAAAATAAATGTAAACCATAATTCCTCCTTCCGCAGACATATTATGATTAAGATTTCCAGCGAATAGGTACGACTGTATGAGATTTTAAGTTTAACAAACTATTATATTCATGGGATCTTCATAGCACGTAATATTAGTTATCGTTTAAACTATATATATAAAAATGAAACCCGTTTTCCGTTGTCACGACATAACATTAAAACGGCTAGACCGATTTGTCTGATTCTTTTTTTATAATATTCCTTGATGTACGAGGATGGTTCTTACGGAGAGAAAAAATTAAAAAAAAAAAAAAAAAAAAAAAAAAAAAAAAAAAGGAAAAAAAAAAAAAAAATGTACTAAAAACAAAAAAGTCAAACAGTCTGAAAACATAACACTTTTATATATTCCAAATACAAGGGGAATATTCGGAAATAATAGATACCTCCATTAAATAAAGTTCAATTTTGAACTTTAATACCATATCATAAAGTTCAAGTGTTAGTGTAGTGTAAAGTTTTTAATTTTTTTTACATAATGTATTTATTTTTTGTCTTATTTATTTATTTATTTTGTCACCAAAATCAAAGTTATACAAATTTCAGATTAATCGGTTGACAGGAAGAGGGTGAAATTTGAATTACTAAATTTGACCCAAGAATAAAAAAAGGGGTGAGCTAAATAAAACCATTTAAAAATTGAGTCAAACAGTCTGAAAACAACACTTTTATATATTCCCATACAAAATATTCGAATAATACTTAAAAATTTGAACTTTAATACCATATCATAAAGTTCAAGTGTTAGTGGGGGGGACGGGAATATTATTTTTGACAATTTGTTTCTTATCAACTTTCTTTTTTTTATCTTACTAGCTAGACCGGTGTCCCGAATAGCAAAATAAGTATAAAAAAATAAAGAATCGACTGTTACGATGTTACGATGTTCGCCAGGCCAGCTAGTATATTTAATAATTATAGTGCATTTAAGAGTCAGGACTATTTTTATATGAATGTTTAAATCATGATTCTATTAGGAATTATATCTATATATATATATATATATATGGAATTCTCGGAAAATATATTTCTTATCATAAAATAGGTATTATTTGTGATGTCTTAATAATAAAATTTGACAAACACGTGACTTTTGATAATTTATCTACGATTTTTTGGCCACATTTTGATAAAAATCTATAATTGTATATTAGCAATGAGTTTGTTTGTTTATAAAAGCATTTTTAAGCCTTCCAAACAATATGTTTAAGGACCAATTTATGTAGTTTAGCTTAATTAAATTGACTTAATTTTCTACAGTAACTCAATCACAGGCTCATACTCATCTCAATTCTCGTGTCGCGGTGTTTGTAGTTAAACTCCTCCGAAACGGCTCGACCGATTCTCATGAAATTTTGTGTGCATATTGGGTATGTCTGAGAATCGGACAACATCTACCTTCTAAATGTTAAGGGTAGTCCAGCCCTAAATTATTATTTTTTTATGATACAACATTAAAAATACATACAACCCCTAATTTTCACCCCTCCACGATCAACCAATATTTTTTATTATAAATGATATACATGGCAAAACGACGTTTGCTGGATCAGCTAGTTAAATTATAAAGCAGCTTGATCATATGCTTGTTGACTCTGAAGGTAAAATTCTGAAACAAGATTACCGGTAGTTCCGATTCCCGGACGTCGAAAATTATAATATAAAAAACGTGTCGTAGCTTGTACCTCATTTTAAAATCATACTTATACAAAACATTTGTTTTGAAGGTACTAAGTATTTACACGCTTTATATTAGCTTCACCTGTATGTATGTATGCATGTATGTATGTATGTAACCGACTCCTTCGGACTCGATTTTGACCCACTTTTTACGGACAGATTTAATTCAAACTTTGCGCACCTGTCAAAGATCGATGACAATGCAATAATCCGAAAAAAAAATGAAAAAAATAAAAAAAATTAACTAAAAAATAAATAATAGTTTAAAAAAACTAGAACACACTCTTTTAAAGCACATCAAACTAAAAAGTGAAAAATAATTCCTAATTTAGGCTGAAAATGGTAATGAACAAAAAATACTGGTATTATTGTGAAAAAGCGTGGCGCGCTCTGTGCCATATTTTTCGTCTATCGAGCGTGTGTTCTAGTTTTTTTAAACTATTATTTATTTTAAGCTATATTTACTAACCATAATTGATTTTTGTAATCTAAAGTAAATAAATGATAATGTTTATAACAACTCTTTTATAATTTTATCAAAAGTAAATTTTTCTATATATATATATATAGTTCGTTATTTAACGAAAGCATTATTTTTTTAATGAAATTCATATTATGAAATTGAGTTCATAAGTGATTATTTATAAAGGTAAACAATTATTATATTGGTATATTGCCCAATGTTAACATGTTCTTAAATTGTATCGGCGTTATCTAAGGCGTCACTATCAAACCTACTTATCTTTATCTTATCAAGTCAATATCAGCTAAAGATGTGAATTTCGTGTAAAATATTTCGATAAAACGGAAATGAGAAAAAATATATTCGCCTCTCGCTTTCAGAACAATTTTATTGTCGAATTTCTACTGAAAATACAATTTATTGATAAATCTGACGTGATATAATTAGCGTATTTCCCGCGATTTATACTAGAAAGGATAATACCAAAAATAATTAACACGGCTCTATATACAAATAAATTACTTTACTATAACCAACTCCAAAATACACTAAAAAGTATTAAATTTTATTTTATATAATTGATTTTTCTTCTCCTATATATAAAAAAGGATTGAATGTGAGTGTTAATTAATAATTTCTCGAAAACGGTCAGCAAGGCTTAATTTTTTTTCATACACGTATATATTAATTAAACTATATAAAGTATATATCAATGTGCGATCAGCCTACTGTGCCTCACATTCGCTAGCAAGTTTTGGCTCTCAGACATGCCGTTTTACTCACGATGATTGTCTTACTGCACTAGCTAATGTTAATTGCGGACGTAAGAAGAAACATTCTTCAGTACACGGGTAATAATGGGTTAAAAGTCACCACTACTCCATCGGTGAAGTAATATTATAATTGAAATATTAATAAATATGTTAAATTACTCACCGTCATGAACTCACGTCAAAAGTTAGTACAAAACAGAAGCGAAGTTATTATATATAGTAATGACAATTTATATATTCTCTTATCTCTGTTTAATCGTGGTATTATCTATCTAAATGAGGCATGTTTTTACTAATATAGCACTGTATATTGTTTGTGACTCAAGAATTTTCAAAACTGTTATTGGCGTCGTGATTTTCCTTTGGCGATACCTATTTTAATACAGAAATATAATACAATTGACATAATTAAATGAAACGGAGGGCAACTGGTGGCCTATCGAGCGATCTCTTCCAGGCAACCTCTGTGAGAAAAGAAATTGATAAGGTAAGCAACAAATGCAAAAATACGTAAGACATTTTAGTTATTTAGACAAAACTAACGGAACAAAACAAAACATATATAAACAGTGATCAGGACAATATAAAAAATATATATGTTTGCATGCAATCCCAAGTTTGTAACATCAACACTTTTTGAAATTGTAGTTCAATAACGGTGGCTTGTAGCAATTGTTCACAAAAACTTAATACTAAAATCGAGATTGCTTGCTTTTGTATATAAAGAGTGCCAATGCAGCAATAGTACTCTGTAAAACTACTCCAGGTGTTGCAAGCAAAATATTTGAAGAGCCAGATAGGTATATTCTCTTCTAGACTATTCCAATAAGGGCGATATAACTAAAAAAATCTTATGCTTCAGTGTATTCGTTAATCTTATGCTTCAGTGTATTCGTTAAAAATATTCAAATCTGATAAAATATAAGTATACATTGCACCTGATGTATTGTCCTTACACGATTGTTTTGCTCATTATAACTCATTCAGATATTTCCTAGAATTCATCTCTTTCTTTACATTAGTCGAGTAATAAAGGAGTATGCCAAATATAGAAATAAAGGTTTTTATGATAGTGGTATATAATCGTATATAGACTTAAATAAAACTGAACTATTTATATTTGTATTCATAACCAAATTGTGGAAATCTATTTTGAGACTTGCCATTGAAACAAACCTTTGTAAGGGAACCTTTATAAGCGTGAGAATATACCTGAAATTAAGCCTAATCCAAAACTATTGAAAAGCACTCAAAACATCATGTAACGTTGAAAATGTTATGTATAGATTTTACTACTCAGTTCAAACCAAACTTCTTCCTCTTTTCATTGCCTTATGCAGAAAAATAAAGTGAATAGATGATAAAAAAAATCACATAAGTATGGTATGAAATATATAGGAATGATTCTAGACGATTTTGACTT